GCAGTAAAACAAAGGTGGGACAGGATGACAGGGTGGGACAGGATGACAGGCAAGTAAACAAAGGTGAGACAGGATGACAGGCAGATAAACAAAGGTGGGACAGGATGACAGGCAGATAAACAAAGGTGGGACAGGATGACAGGCAGTAAAACAAAGGTGGGACAGGATGACAGGCAGATAAACAAAGGTGAGACAGGATGACAGGCAGATAAACAAAGGTGAGACAGGATGATCAGATAACAAAGGCAGAATGTGTTACAGGCAGATTTAGGTGGGACAGGATGACAGGCAGTAAAACAAAGGTGGGACAGGATGACAGGCAGTTAAACAAAGGTGGGACAGGATGACAGGCAGTTAAACAAAGGTGGGACAGGATGACAGGCAGTTAAACAAAGGTGAGACAGGATGACAAAGGCAGAAAACAAAGGTGAACAGGATGACAAAGGCTTGGCTGATTTTAGGGTAAATTATTGACAGGCAGAAAACAAAGGTGATGACAGGATACAGGCAGATAATTAAATGGTCAAAGATTGCACATAATCAATTTAAGTAAACAAACCTTCTGTATAAGGTATTTTATGTTGTTTAAATGGTTAATGTGGTTGAGCAAAGATTGCACCTAATCAATTTAAGTAAACAAACCTTCTGTATAAGGTAGTTTATGTTGTTTAAATGGTCAAAGATTGCACATAATCCATTTAAGTAAACAAACCTTCTGTATAAGGTATTTTATGTTGTTTAAATGGTCAAAGATTGCACATAATCAATTTAAGTAAACAAACCTTCTGTATAAGGTATTTTATGTTGTTTAAATGGTCAAAGATTGCACCTAATCAATTTAAGTAAACAAACCTTCTGTATAAGGTATTTTATGTTGTTTAAAAAAATGGTCAAAGATTGCACCTAATCAATTTAAGTAAACAAACCTTCTGTATAAATTATTGGGGAAATCATCCTTGATGTAATACCTGTTGTTTAAATGGTCAAAGATTGCACATAATCAATTTAAGTAAACAAACCTTCTGTATAAGGTATTTTATGTTGTTTAAATGGTCAAAGATTGCACCTAATCAATTTAAGTAAACAAACCTTCTGTATAAGGTAGTTTATGTTGTTTAAATGGTCAAAGATTGCACCTAATCAATTTAAGTAAACAAACCTTCTGTATAAGGTAGTTTATGTTGTTTAAATGGTCAAAGATTGCACATAATCAATTTAAGTAAACAAACCTTCTGTATAAGGTATTTTATGTTGTTTAAATGGTCAAAGATTGCACATAATCAATTTAAGTAAACAAACCTTCTGTATAAGGTATTTTATGTTGTTTAAATGGTCAAAGATTGCACATAATCAATTTAAGTAAACAAACTTTCTGTATAAGGTATTTTATGGACCCCTGAAGGTATGAACCTTAGAGGTGCCTTTTTCACCAAATGTTGACCTAGTCTTATGAAATATCTAAAAAGATATTCGAAACGCATCTTGATAGCTCCAAATACACATTGGGTCCTGGTGGTGTTGATTTTTCCTCCGTTTAGGTCTCTTCATTGGTGCTTTGGGCTTAAAGTGTGGAAAACTAAAAAAAACTTCAGTTGACCAAAACTAATTCAAAGGTTAAAAAAGGTTAAAGATGCAACAAGCTTCAGAGAAAATAAAAATAAGTTTTTGTTCGCTAAAATTCTGGTCTTCCCATCTTGACCTAATTAACATATTTGCGCTTCGGTTTAAAGATGTACAATTTGACTAATATTTGAACCATAATTCAACATTGGTTCCCCTTCTCCCAAGGATGCTTTAGATAAAATTCCGTCAAATACCATCATCCCAAAAGAATTTAAAGTGATTCCTCTATTTCACCTCTTCAAACCTACGTCTCTGCCCCTTAGGGTGTCAGACCCACCATTTATACAAAATTGAGTTCTCTTCAAAGCATTCTTCAGACTAAATTTGGATAAAATGCAGTCACTCCTACAGATGGATTTAGAAGAATTTGCTTTATATATCCTCATTTGAGTCCCACCCCTCAAGCATCAGGGTGCTAAGGCTCACCGTTTATACAAAATTGGTTCTGCTTCCTCAAAATCACTTAATTTGGCCAAAAGACCTATCATCAGGTTATATGTATTGGACCAAAATAAAATTAGTTGATCTGGCGTAACCCACCCAACATATTTTTATTTGAAATATAGAATATCAGCCGGTCTGGATGTCGGAAGTGACCAATTTATCAGTCTTAATTGATTACCATACAAGTACGAACTTGTAAACATTTATTTACAACTCAAGCAAAAAAAGAAAACAACAAAAAAGAAATCACACAATGAATAACATCAACATAGCACACAAACTTTTACTCTAAAGATACAGAAGCCCCTTTTTCAGATTTTTATATAATACTCTTGATTTCCCAAATATATTAAACTGTTTAACCAGAAGTTAACCTGATAGAGGCATCAATATTTTCGGGGTCCAATCATGAGGGTACCCACAAGTCATAACCAGTGACGTTTAGTACTTTTTTGTCCAGCACATAGATATATATTCCTAAAACTCAGTTTCCGTAAAATATATATATACCATTTCTATTCCTTTTATAGAGTCATTAACCTGTCTTACCGACTGACAAGGTTAACAATAGTTCTAACATTTCCAAACGTAATATACTGGAATACACACTATCCACACACTTCGGAATAATCTGATTCACATACTATTAGCGTATTTGCATTCTTATTAACTCAAGTTCAGCTTTTGGTAATAAATGAACTCCAGTTAACTTCATCTGGAACACTCTGGACTCACCATCCTAGTTCAGAGAAACACGGCACACAGCCTGAAGGACACACAGTCCGACATACAGCATACATCTGTATGGACACACAGTCCTGAACAAAATATAGAGCACACAGCCCAAATGCAGCTCACAGTTTCATGGAAACACAGTCCTTGACAGCTTTGAAGCACACAGCTTAGAAATGTAATAATTACAGGCACACAACCATTAGCACCCATCTAATATAATATCATACTGACAGACACCAGTTCTAAGTTCCCCAATACATCATATCTGGAGTTAGGCATGCAGTCCTCCCAATAGTACTCTGGCAGTGCATGGAATCATGCCTTAAACAAAACCTCCACTATCGAAATTCTGTCTGGTACTGCCCAACCCTACCTGAGGTAACTGACCAAATAACTTGTACTTGCATGCTTAGCTTACTTCACTCATTTTTCCTGAGAACTACCCAATGCACACCCTGGCCTATAGTGACCTTCCAAGTTTCTCCACTCACCTGTGGCCTTGCACATGCATAACAGGTGTACAAATGACCTGTCACAGTTAAGTAAACATTGTAAACTAATAGTAAACATTGTGGCATGGAGTATCCTGACACTAGATATTTTTTCTCATGAAATTATTTTACAGAAATACATAAAAATAGTGAATGATTTAAGTGCCTTTATGAGTTACAATGTTTTGTGGTAGATCCATGTTGGTCTCTTAAGTGACCTAATGTAAGTGTAGTGATAAACTGTGCCAGTCTGTAAATGACAACGCTGAGATATCAAGTAAAATATGGCAGGTAGATGATAACTTAGCTATATTTCAACTACATTGTGTCCAATTTTTGTGGATGCATGTCAGAAACCATGAGAAAAATTGCAAAACAATTAATTCTTTGGAGAATTGAACAATCTAATATATATAGTCACATGCAAAAATCTCTGGCTGAAGCACAAAAGTGTTCTGATATGTTTGTTGAAGTTCCAAGAGACATGGTCATGATTCACATGTGTTAAAAGTTGGAAAATCTTAGGTATTTCAATCTTTATTTTTGAGGGCACTTTTTAAAAAATGTTTTTGCTCTCAAAAGTTAACATGACAAAAATATAGTCAAAATTAAACTTGAAATAAAACAATTCTTATAAATATACAAGAATGACTTCACAATGCCATTGTTGGTCAATTTGTGGCAAAAAAGGCATTATTTTCTAACATACTGTGTTATTGTTTACCAACATTTTTTCCCATCCAGTTTACATCGGTTTAAAAGGTTTTGCAATCTTTCCAATATTCTTATAAGTTTTTATTTAAATCTAGTCATACAAAAATATCAAAAGTTCTTAAATATTGAATACTCAGCGGTCTTTGAAATATGAAAAATTGTGATATCTAGACTTTTGCTAGTAAAGAGTGAATTAAATAATTTTCTGTTTTTTCTTTTTTTTTCTTTAGTCAATTGTGCAAACTAAAAAAACAGCTAATGCATTTCTTAAACATCATATAATTTCTACATTCCACCTGTGAAGCCTATCATTTGTGATTCATGATTTATATGTAGAGAGCCATTAACAAGCTCATTAATTCTGTTTTGATATAGTTAATACTTTTGGTTTATTAATGTTTAAAGTATATAAGTGTATTCTCTAAAAAAAGACCCATTATTTATTTCAAAATTGAGTACCTTCGGTATGAGGCACTGTTAAGAAGCATTTTGGTAAGTTGAACATTTGTATTTGGGGCCCCGCCATTTATACAAAATTGTCTCAACTTCCCAATGGATGCTTCTGACCAAAGATTTAAAGTACCTCAGTTGTTCATGACAAGAAGCTATTTCTAGAGATAAAAAGTTGACGGACGACGCACGCTGTGTCAGCTACACCCTCAGTCGATTGCTTTAGACTAGTTACATACTCTAGTTATAACTTTTCTATGCTAGACTAGTGACGTATAATATTATAGTATTATACGTCCCTGGCTAGACTGCTTTCATTGTATTGTAAAAAAAAGTCTGTTATTACAGCCCCTATATGCCTCTTGTGAAGTGGATAATCTCTATCCAGATATTAACGTTAGTTTTGATTTAAGAGTGCATAGTAGTCAGTTTGAAAGGATTTCACTTATTTGAGTAAAATGTCAATACTCTTAGTTATGAAACACTAATTTTTAATTACAAAACATGTATTTATGTAATATTTTGGCTTAGAGGGTATTAAACATGGCGGCCCTCCGGCATGTGCGCTTTGGTTGTAAGTCAAACTGGATAAATTTGTTCGCCGGTCAAGCCTCATTCGGACATTTTAATGAAAACACGGGAGCTGACAGTGCATTAAATGTAAGCTTTGAATGTTATTTCATTAAGCTTTGTAGTTGTGAGTAATATGGTGTGTGCAACCTTCTAAACTCAAAGCCAAACGTTTTCAGTCAGAAGTAAATTCACGGTGACCTGAATCGCTTCGTTTGTTTATATAGGTAATCTGATCCACATACATTTCAAATGTAAGACTTTAAGTAGAAATTTGAAGGGTCTTTAGATATTAGAACAGGCTCCGAAAGCTTTGTCAAAGCTTGTGATATAAGATAAGACAAAAAACAACAAACTTAGCGTATTGTATGGATATATAACCCAACAGCCCAGCGATTTGATCTTTAGGTTAGTATTCAGATCATGATCGTTGTACATACAGCTTCAAATTCAGTAGACTTGGCAAATTGTCTATAGCTAGTTTCAGGATAAACTATATTTTCAAATAAGAAAGAAGAACTAGTAAATTATTAAATTCTTATTATTGTCGGACTTTACATCAAACGTTTGAAAGGATTGGCACAGTATAATCTTATGAAGTATGATGGGTCTTGGTGTTTCTGATGAAGGATCATGCTTCTTTAGCTCAGTTGCTGGGACCATAGATAGCCACACCAGAGACCCTACTTCAGTTTCTGGTTGAGGCACTCTGTAGAAATATGTAATTTTCTTGTTCCTTCGCTCTGACCCCCAATGGAAATCTCATGGGTTGATTTGGAGTCTGGGGTTGAGATTTAGGAAATTGTTAGTAGTACTAAGGAGGAGGTCGGTTTGGCTCGTACATTATGTTTAATACTTTCATTTTATTGAGTATGCTTCTTTTGCTGAGTTGGTAGAACACTGAATTATTTCACTGGAGATCAGGGTTAGATTTTTGGTTGAGCAATGTATTTTACTCAGGGTTTTCCATAATTTTGCTATTAGTGGACTGTGTAGTGTAAGTAGGAGGCGGGCCAGCCATGTACGTGTAGTCGTTTATGGAACATTATTATGGAACTGGATTGGTGTAGGCGGCCAAATGATCAAAGTAGCTGGTCAAATTAGCCGGTGACCGGCTCTTATGGAAAACTCTGTTACTATCTTTCTTTTTTGTTTACAGAAATCGTTCCCATTAGTCATGACTAGCATAATGACCTGTGTTATCTGCATAAGATTGTTATACTAGGGTCAGCATGACATTTTGTAGCAAAATCTCATTTTATTGAAGTAACATTAAATTTATAGAAATCTTTAGGCCTACTTAAATCAAACCTTAAAGTAACTTCACCTCACATCAAATAACATTGTTGAACAAACATTGGAATACCACACAAGCAACCTGTTAGAAAAGAATATGGAGAGTGGCATGCCACACCAATGACAAACACCAATCACTTCACAGCCTCACAGACATTTTGTAAAAAAAGGCCAACACTACAAGCATGCAGTAAATAACACGCCTCATTTTTCTTAGAAAATCATATGCCACCATGTAACTATAACCACAAACATTCTGATCCCAGCAAATCTCAGAATAAGACATGAACAAAACCAAAACATCCAATCATCCAAGGACACCTACAAATTTAAATCCAAAACAATACACAATGCTCTTGCAGACATCTGCAGCCACAACTTAATTTCCTTGTTATTCATCCCTGAAAAACAAAAGCACATTTTTAATGGAATATTTATGGCAAATTTTTGACAATTGTGTGTCTTTTTGGAATTCTGTGTAATGACTTACGAAATTATTGTCAGCAATCATAAGATCTTCCCTAAGGTCAGTTTGGACAGACAAAACCCCTACCAATATGAAATTTATTTTATTATTAGACTGTCTAGATGTAGCACATTGGACCTAGAATTCCAAGTCACTGACTAGATCAAAGATTTCATGCAAAATCTTGGTGAAGTAAATAGAATGCTGATCACATACATGGCTATGCAGCTGAGAGACAATGAGATTTAATGTCATTTTAATTATGAGGTGACTTGGCACCAGAAACTGCATAAAGTACCAGACAGATTACACAAAATCTATGTACAAGAATTTTGTTTGAAGTGACCTGAACATCTTTGTGAATATTAAAGAGAAAGCTGGTGTAATTATAAGATTTTGATAGTTTCTGTGATAGAGTTGTTTATTTTGCTGTAATAATAATGATAATTATACATGTACTAATTTAGTCAGTCTACTAGACTTTGGAATCAAATGTCACTTGATTTCTTAATTTAACGTTATTCCAGATTTTACTCATTACATTTCAGAGCATTCAGAAAAGATGGTTTCATCCATCAAACTTCAAGAAGTTCCATGCCACTGGTCCTCAGAACCGACTATTAAGTACGGGGCTAATTTCAAGTCATTATGGTGTCAGTCCGACCTGGAGTGTGATTTCAGCACAAAGACAGCGCTACAACAGTACAGATGCCTCTAAGGTAAAATATATATTGTACCATATAACATTCTCCCACCCGTCTTATATAAGGCTTAGGTGCTTGGAAAATGTTGAGCAAATGTTGAAAGCAAAATAACTACATCTATTTAGTTCCTGCTTATCAATGGCAAAAATATGACAAAGTTAAGATTAGATCCCTAATTTTTACATCAGATGGTGAAATTTACACATGTTGAAATAAAACTCATAACGCATTCATAAGTTTGCAAAAACGCTTTTCTTTCATACCAGCATGAAACTAAATATATTTGTATCAAAGCTTATAATTAAAAACAAAAATAACACATAAATTTGTTGATTCAACAACAAATTATTTAAAACAAATCATTACACATAAAAGCTTGCTTGACACAATGTGACATCATTGACAACATCATTTTCAGTCATTCAAAATTCTTTCATGTAGTGAAGTTTTTGTTTACATTATTGAATGACAACAATCCACACACCAAGTGAATATTTAAACAGATATTCCATTCATACTAAAAAGAAGTTGAAAAGACACTTGGCAAGGTGGCATATTGCTAAAGACTCCTTAAACCATTATCAAATGGCTGGAGCTAAATATTTTTATCATCAGAAAATGGTCAAAACAGAAAGCTGCATTTTGCATACTAACAACAAAAAATTAGTTGTTGTATTTTGCATTTAATCAATACCCCAGGTTTATGAGAATACATGGCCCTATAGAAATCTTTCTTTCCAGATATAATTCTTCCATGGTAGCTTTGAGTATAATTGTCCTTCAATTCTGTCAAGTGGCCATCTTGGATATTGAAAATTGCTATATCTTGAGAACTGTTTGAGGGATATTTTCAAACATAATGTGTATTTTTCTCATAATCCCTAGCTAAAAACAAATGACTAACTGCCAACCATCATGGATTTGGCAGTTAAAGATTATTATCTCTATTTCCAAACTTCAAATCATAAGAGTGTAAATAGAGATTAGAAGAAGTAAAAAGATCCCCGATCCCAACTTTTAAAGAAGAAATGACCATCAAACAAGAGCTAGGATCCCAATGAGATTTCTTGTGCTATTTATTAGGTCATTGGACCCAAATGATCATTGATCATGAGCTGAAAATTAAAGGGGATGTTATGGAAAGGAAGCTGACAAATTGTTGTTATTTTTCAGCTTCTTTTCAAGTTCATAATGTCCATTTTTAAACATGATTATAGTTTCCTTGAACAACAGTTAATTCAAACCTCTTGAAGTACAATTGTAGGATTCACCTGGAACTTGTCAAAAAATCCTGAGATGGTCCTGACCAAGTGTTGTTATTTTTCAGGTCAGTCAGAAATTCATTTTAGCTGCCATCTTTAAAAACATACTTCAAACTTCTTTCCCATTTATGCTGGTGTCATTAAGCGGAAAATTGATGTTACAGAAAGGCAGCCAATAAAATGGTGATATTTTTCCTGTGGTTGAGCTGAAATTTTGCAGGAGTGTTTGGGAACTGTTTTGCCTTTACTGATAAAACTATTTTAATCCTTTGATAACTGTTTCTACTGCTGTTATATTCTATTTTTGTTTTTATAGTCAGATGACTGTAGGCCCTTGGACCTTTTTGTCCCACTAAAAACATTGCTTTTTCCAAAACATGTTTAGAAAAATATCTGTATTTGGTTTTGCAATGCCATGAGATTCCATGCTGGCATTGATTATTGGATTATGTTTTTAAATTCACCTGTTTAAAAGCGGTTCATGTCAATATTTAAGGGCATTCATATATTAACATGTATGAATTTGCAGAGTAATGTCCCTTTGACTTATAGAATTTTAGAAAATCTGGCAACAGGTGCTCATTTTCTTAGAGCTGGATTTTGAACTGAAATTTTATATATAGTTGCATTGCTTATGCCAAGTCAGCTTTGATCAACAGACATGGTCAACCAACAGCGGACCCAGTCTGAGAAGTTCCACTCTTGAAAAGTCAATAACACTAATGATAATCTACATACATCTTATGAGTCACATCTAGTTATCTTAAATTTTCTGCTGAAAAGTCTCTTGTTCTTTCTCAGGTGACCCCCGACAGTTCCGGATACATACTTGAGCCGCCAAATCTACCTGATGTTGCCGAGATGACACAGCAGGCTGTAAATGCATTGGGAGAACCAACCCTGGCTAGTATGGGACTAGGCAGCTACTACCCTCCAGGTTTATACCAACAAGGACTTGAGTTTCTTCATGTTGGGATTGGCATGCCATGGTGGGAGGCAATACTTTTGTGTAAGTTTGGCTTTAATGGGAATTTATACCACAGTAGTCTTCAACTCTGATCTGTCAACCTGCAATCAACAGTCAATACTGGAGTTGATTTATCATTTCGTCTGACAACTTACAGTCAGTGATCAACATTTTTGAGTAGATTTATTATCCAATCTGACAACCTGATATAAATTTCATGCATTCTCTTTCTTGCTTAGTTGATAAATATTAATCTTTTGACAAAAATCTACGTTTTACTTGTTAACCACATACATGATTGGTGAAATAAACATGTTCTTAGATTTGTGATACATTTAAGAGTGTTATTTCTAAAAATAAGTCCATTTATATTCCAATTGAAGTTCCAGGAAGCTACAATTGATAGCTGTAATTTTCTTATTTTTTCTTTCTGGCACTTTTTGAAATTCTTGATTTACAGCTACTGTGACAGTAAGATTACTGTCCTTGCCATTGTTGGTTATGTCCCAGAGGTTCTTAACAAATCATCTCAACAATGCGCCACAGTTGACTCGTTTGCAGGATAAGATGAACGAGGCCAAACTAGATGGAAATGATTTAGAGTGTAAGTATCTAAAAATAATCGACATAAGTCACCTTATTCATTTACAAAAATTGGCTAAATTGACGAAGTCTTCTCTTGGTGATCTAACCTGAAGGCTCAGGATGACCTATAATCATTGTATTTCATCTGTTATCGTGGACTATGCATATGCTTTTCACATTTCAAGGTATTAGGGTTGTGATGGGAGGAAATTTAAACATTAACCAAACTTTAATATTTGAGATCTTTTTACGTTTGAGCCATCTTTTCACAAAGTTGTAGGAGTTTTTGTTCACAGTAGTGAAAAATCTAGGTGTATGTATTGCTGTTGAGAGGCTACATTATTTAGCGTGACATTTTCTCTAATGTAAATTGCATTCACTGGACGTGTGATTTTCCAAACTTTGTGAATTAGTTTAATCTTCCACATTGAGTTATTGCATTGGTTATCTGGTTGATATTTGTTAAAAATGGTAATCAATTGATGTCTAAGGCCTGAGCCCATATTCATGAAACCGTTCTCATGCTCAAGCAAGAATGTTGTGCTCAAGCCTTATATCTTGTTTAAGTTCAAAATTAATAAATAAGACTGATTTTGCATAAGATTTTTAACAAATTTTGAAAGGACTTCAAGTCAGAGCTATATTCAGTGTTTATATTTGACATGTGTATTATTTTATATGATTTAGGTGAATTATAAAAAAGTTTGCTTGAGCACAAAATATGGGCCCTGATTTTGCCATAATGAATTATCTCACTTTTTCAGTAAAATACAAAATGCAGTGTTTATATGCAATAATTTGCCAGAGAAAAATTTAATGGAAGGATCAATCAATAAACTACATCAATTATTATGTAGGTCGAGAGTGAAGACAACACGAACGGGTTCGAAACATGTCAACAACTTGATGCACGAATAGATTGTGAATTGGAAAGGAGCTGTTTGTGTTGTCTTCACTCTCGACCTACATTCTACCTTTTTTAGTGAGGACTCAGTTTACTTTTTGTATCCACGGCTGTTCCCGGAAGAATTTACGGAATATCTTCGATTGTAGGATGTTGTGCCTCCATCCCTCGGTGTACATCAATTATTAGTTAGAAGTACAAAACACATGGAAAGCAAGACAAATTGTAATTCTATCACAATTTTTTCTAGACTGACAAGATTAGTTACCGTCTTCATGTTTAGTATGAGGGCACATAGTATGAGGAAGTACATGGCACCGAGTGAAAAAAAAATGCTATTTTCTATTTTCTGGTTTATTTTGAACTGAATTTGAGCCATTTAAAATGAGAAAAAATCAATATAGCATACCTGCATAGATCCATTCCATGTGGAAATGTAAACTTGCTTTGCATGATTGATCATAGCCCAAGGACATCCCTTGAAAATTGCTACTGTTGTTGCCTAGATGACATTCATTGTAACTTTGTCCTTTGTATGTTTGAAACACAGAATTCAGGAAAAAAAATGTCATTCTATTCCACAAATTGAATGCTTAAACTCTCTCTACTGACATAGTTTGAAAACACAGTGTTAGAGAGTGGGCCCAGTTCTACCACAGTGCCTTATTGCATTAGACATAATGGTGTGTGGCCTCACAGATTGTACAGGTAGCCCCCATCTTTCTTCATTTCCAAACATTGATCATTAGTTGTAGGTATACCTGTTTGCTTCCATCAATATTAACTTTATGGGAAGATGTGAACCTTACGTGTAAGTCTAAGCCTACTTATATAATCGGGACAAATTGTAGGTTTTTTTGTTTTGGTTTTCCTTTTTCTGTCTGGAATGGCTAGTGACAGTATTTGATGCAAAGTGCCCATACATTTGTATGTCCATCTTGCTCAAGGGTTAACAGTCGACTATGCCATATTGTAATTTAAACCAAGATCGGAAACATTGTGAAACATCAAGATTTTGACCAAAACTCCTCATTTCATCCCTTATACTTTCTTAAATTCCACTAGGGAGATTCTAAGATGATCGTTACCAAGTTTTATTATTTTTTAGGTCAGTCCAAAATCCAATATGGCTATTGCATTGAAAAAACAAATTTTAAACAAGTTCGACAAGTGCTGGTGCCATTGATCTGAAAATTAATGTGGATGTTAAAAAGATAAAACCTGTTATAGCTTTTTTGAACTGAAATTTTGTGGGAATGTTGAGCACCTGATATAAGGAGTGTTTTTCTCTTTACTGCCAAAATATTCTTTCTGATGGCTTGAGTCTACACCTCTATATATTTTATTTACTTTCAGTTGCAAGAGCTCAAATTCAGTTGCAAAAGTTTATGAAGAAGACAAAAACCAATCCTCTGAAGACTATGGTATTTCCGTTAGTACAGGTACTTATGTTATATAGATAATCATATGTAACATTTACTCAGTAAAAATAGACATAGAGCGACAGATTTATACTGTAAATCACTTCAATGTCATGAAGACCTTCTCTTCAGACATATTTCAGTGTACATGATCTCAAAAATGGTGATCTAGATATAACTTTAAATTTACAAATACTGAGCTTTTACATACAGTATAAGGACTCTGATATCATTACCGAACCGAATCAGCGTGGATGTCATCAAGAATTATTTCTGTACAAATAATTGCAAGGCATTCGATATTGACTCTCTTCGTGTATTAACAGGAAAATAAATCCCCAAATATAAGTGATTTACAGTACAATCTAGTTACACTGTGGTACATGTATATATTCCAGTAGACACTAGTTACACTGTGGTACATGTATATATTCCAGTAGACTCTAGTTACACTGTGGTACATGTATATATTCCAGTAGACTCTAGTTACACTGTGGTACATGTATATATTCCAGTAGACTCCAGTTACACTGTGGTACATGTATATATTTCAGTAGATTCCATTACACTGTGGTAAATGTATATATTTCAGTAGACTCCAGTTACACTGTGGTACATGTATATATTCCAATAGACTCCAGTTACACTGTGGTACATGTATATATTCCAGTAGACTCCAGTTACACTGTGGTACATGTATATATTCCAGTAGACTCCAGTTACACTGTGGTACATGTATATATTCCAGTAGACTCCAGTTACACTGTGGTACATGTATATATTCCAGTAGACTCCAGTTACACTGTGGTACATGTATATATTCCAGTAGACTCCAGTTACACTGTGGTACATGTATATATTCCAGTAGACTCCAGTTACACTGTGGTACATGTATATATTCCAGTAGACTCCAGTTACACTGTGGTACATGTATATATTCCAGTAGACTCCAGTTACACTGTGGTACATGTATATATTCCAGTAGACTCCAGTTACACTGTGGTACATGTATATATTCCAGTAGACTCCAGTTACACTGTGGTACATGTATATATTCCAGTAGACTCCAGTTACACTGTGGTACATGTATATATTCCAGTAGACTCCAGTTACACTGTGGTACATGTATATATTCCAGTAGACTCCAGTTACACTGTGGTACATGTATATATTCCAGTAGACTCCAGTTACACTGTGGTACATGTATATATTCCAGTAGACTCCAGTTACACTGTGGTACATGTATATATTCCAGTAGACTCCAGTTACACTGTGGTACATGTATATATTCCAGTAGACTCCAGTTACACTGTGGTACATGTTTGTATTCAAGTCAAATTGATAGATATTCTCAAAGTCATACATGTACCTGCTACATGAATGTAATTATGTCTTAACTTCACACATTATAGATATTATCATAGCATGTAATGATCTTCCTATTTCTTAATTTTTCTTTCAGATGCCAATATTTGTATCTATATTCATCGGCCTAAGGAAAATGGCATACTATCCTGTGGAGAGTATGTCGACTGGAGGTCTGTGGTGGTTTACTGACTTGACAGTGTCTGATCCCTATTTCATCCTGCCCATCCTCACTTCAGCAACACTTCTTCTCTCAATTGAGGTAATGTGGTAGATACTCGCAACAAATGATATTTCACGTTATACAGAGTTACTTTTATTGAATTTCAACTTTAGTTTGTTTCGTCTGTCAATATAAAAGGTGGGCTGAACATTAATTTTTGTGGTCATAGCTCAAGGTGTCAGGGTCAATGTTTGAAGGTCAAAAGTTCTACTTCATCACTTACAGGTATCCTTGTTGATTCCTGGTGGAGAGACGGTTCATATCTAAATAAGTACAACCAAGCGTTGTGTAATATTGCTTATATGTGTGATATTGTCATCTCCACCACATCTAGATAATCACTAGAGAATTGTTTGTTTGTTGGAGTGCCTTTATGAGGCAGGGTCTCCTTGTTATCGCTGGTGGCTTCCTCAGTAAACAACACACAAAGAAACTCATCAATCATGTGCAATTAGTCTTAATTAACTCGCCCAAGGACACAACCGTATCAGCATAGACTAGTCCATTTCTTAGTTTCATGAGAACCATGCACCGAATAGCAAACAAGAGTGAAAGGGGATTAAGAGATTGTAAAAAATCATGTGGAACTTGTTACTGTATTTGTTTGATGTGATAAATTCATTCAGGAGATTCAGATATTTCATTCCATTTACAGTTGGGAAGTGATGGGATTTCCAGTAAGACCTCAACTACAGCCGCTCGATATTTTATGAGAGGTGTTCCAATTGTTATGATACCTATCATGATGACATTTCCAGCGGTAAGCGATCTATACATTCAGGTTTTTCAAACTGACACACAAGGTTAGTGGGGCATATTGTTGTCTGTCAGTCTGCTCCAAACCAACAATGCATGGGACATTGGTATTTGTCCAGTCTGATCTGACCATGGTAATTGTTGTTGTTTGGGAAACCACTTACCAGTCGTAAACAAATTGTAATATTTTTACTCTCAAAAACAAAACACAATTTGCAATATGATACAACACGTCTGTAATATTATTTTGTATTATTAAGTGTATCACCATATTAACATTGACAGATAGCTTTACTGAAATATGCATCTAAAGAGGTTAATTAATACCTATAAGAAGGAAATCCTTATTTGTTGATCAACAGCCTGGATATGTAAATTTTGCCTCTTAGATGATAAACGCGGTCGCCTGTAAACAAAAATGGCTTCTTGCTGGATCGGTTGCGACAATGTTGGCGTTAATGTCACTTGTTTCATAATTTTAAATTGACTTAGAATTATCAAATAACATTTGCCATATCCATAACAAAATCCTGGGCTGAAAAACAGGACTTTACATACCGTGTCACTACTGTCACTGTCATTTCTAGTCACTACTGTCGCTGTCATTTCTAGTCACTACTGTGGCTGTCATTTCTAGTCACTACTGTCACTGTCATTTCTAGTCACTTCTGTCGCTGTCATTTCTAGTCACTACTGTCGCTATCATTTCTAGTCGACATCATGTTTTGATATTTACAAAAAGAACTGCCTTGTTTTCAATTAAATTGCACGATGAATAACAAAATTAAAGTTTTTACCAAGATGTGCCTTTAATTTTTCTGGATGAGCACATGAGAGGGATTTTAGTTATCCTTGGGATAACAATGCTAGTCTTTCATTTCAGCTGGTTTCAGTTGTTTCCAGCTGTGGTTGGATAATCCCTTATTTTTCTTGTAATATGGTATAATATACCTCTGTTGTCACAGCTAACTTCCTTTCTTAAACATTTACCTTTCTGTACTGTATTTTGTCTTTTTTATTTCAGGCTTTGAATGGCTATTGGCTTACGTCAAATGTATGTGGACTAGTGCTTACAACATTTCTTAGACAAGAGTATGTTCGAACATTTTTCAAAATCCCCAAGAAAATCAAACACCCAGTCAAAGAGGCAGACAAGAAACCATTCAAGCAGATTATGAAAGATGGTAGGTTAAGTTGTATAAATGTGTGGTCAGTTTTAGCTCTGAAGAACACGTGAGTATATGCTGTGATGTTACATCCACCATCATTCTTCTGTTGTCAAGGTGATGGATCTGTATCTTCATGAAGTAAATTACTCAAATGCATTACATGGACCAATTTCCAATGTCATTAGGATCAAATATGTTTGTTGACAAAAATCCATGTCTGTTTATATTGTGGTTATATTGGGTCAGCATAGTTATGGTGTAAACGATCACACAGCTGTATTTCTTTCACTCAATGTTCTGTTTCTGTAATGCACAGAAGCCAACTACCGATATGAAGGTCATTGTTGCTTGCAAAGTCAAACACATATTAGGAAGAACGGCTTTCAACATTTATTTGAAATTCAATGTGTTTGAACATCACGAAATAAAACCTGTTTTTTCAGTCACTAAGCTAGTAATGTAATAGTGCCTTTTGCTAAAGAGAAGCTCTCCATTTAAATCCTTTTTCTGTTACTATGGATAAAAAAATAAAAATAAAAAATTCTACTTTTCTTGGACCAGTGTTCGGAAACCATTCAAGATTATTACTCAAAACATGTACGGAATTCAAACTAGTACTCTAGTAGTGCCCATTGCTATGGGAAGCTTTCCATTTAAGCACTTTTTCTGTTACCATGGAAACAGATTGACTGAATAACAATTTTCAGTTTTTCCAGACCCGTGCTCTGAAACTGTACAAGATAATAACTCTAATAGAAATATTATAATTCATTAAGCTAGTAATGTAGTAGTGCTTTTTGCTGTCGGGAACTTCTCCATTTAATAACATTTTGTGTTACCAAGGAAACCGGTAGAATAACAAATTTCAGTTTTTTTCGGAGCAGTGTTCTGAAAAACATTCCAGATAAGTACTTGAAACTTTGTACAGCTATCAAGCTAGTAATCTTCTAGAAGTTCTTCATGTCAATACTTTCAGTTGTATAGAACAATTAGAAATAATGAATAGAAATTTAACTTGTTGATTACGTAACCATTGTATTAAAGAATGATGCCATGGCAGGGATGATTAACAGGTGATCAGCTTGGATACTTACTTTGAAAGTTTGTTATTTCTTGAAAGACATTTTCTCAGATTTCTTATGTAGAGTCCTCTTGGTCCCTGGATGTGCTGCTTTATTTTTTGGACTGATCAGAGAAACAAAAATCAGCGACAGGCAACCATGTTTGATTTGAGAGTTAAAGATTGTTATTGCTATATAATTAAGAGCAAAAACAGAGGAATGAGGATGAGGGAAAAGATCAAACTTTTGAAGAACAAATCAAAATTTGACAATGGTAGGCACCAATATTATTCGGGGATGTCTTGTCTTTGTATGGTGAGATATTGTTACCTTTAAGCGGTAAGAAAAATTCCAGATGAATCATTGATAAATTATTCATCATTATTTTAACTTCCAGCTTTGGCAGAAAGTAGAAGGAAGAAGAAAGCAAAGAATAGAGTAACGGAGAAAAAGGACAATTTTAAGAAAGCTGGTGCAGGACCATTAACAAAGACTTATGCAACAGATCCAACTTTAAAGAAAAATATAAAACAGAGGGCACATTAAGCCATTTAATGTTAATGAACAGATATTAACTTATATATATCATAAGCTGTACTAACAGTGACATCATCATGACAGACACAGAGGTACACCAACAGTGACATCATCATCACAGACACAGAGGTACACCAACAGTGACATCATCATCACAGACACAGAGGTACACCAACAGTGACATCATGTTGCTGGATTGAAAACACAACAAGACTAGATGACAGTTACCTTACCCCTCTTTAGACCTGTTACCATCCTGAATCACCAAACTCACAGAATTGCTCGCTCCTGAATGTATCTAATTTGGTTTCATTCACTTCATGTTAAATATTTTGATATTTAAGTAAAATACCTGATGTAGAAATTAAGAAATACATAATTATCATTACAGTCTCCAGAAGCATGATTTGTTTACATCATGTTCATATTTGTTTGTGGTGAAATACTAGCCACAATATACCAATTGCCTAGAAAGAACTTGTCTTAAGCTTGATTGGTTGAGTGTCAGACTAGTACTCTAAGGGTCCTGTGTTCAAATCTTAGCGGAGGCGTTGAAATAATTAACGACTCTGTGATGTGTAATTACATATGTGTATTTATTATAAGAGCAAACTGATTTTCTGTAAAATGGTATATATTCCTGGAGGTCAGTTATAGTGGTTTCCTTGATATCTGTTGATATATGAATTTGTAGACTAAGAGTATTCACAAAATCAAGAAAAAAATCTCCCATGAAAATTGATTACTTCACAATGTCACTTCAAATGTGTAGATACGTCAGTATTAGCAAAGCTTGGAGACTGAAGGCAGTGATATTTCATACTTGTTTGATATGTTTATAGTTGTATCAAATGCTATTAACAATTTGTGATTTTTTTTTAACCTGGTGAATATACATGTTACCATCCAGAATCTTATCTTCATGCAATGTCTTTCCATCCTAAGTGACTGCTGAGACCTAAAGTATATAACTTTATGTCTGATTTACAATACATATGCATGTTGGCTGGCATCTCAGTTTCTAATTTGAGCAAAGCTTTACAACAAATCCAAACACAGTGTATGAGTGAACAACTGAACAATAATTTGAGAAATATTGTAATTCAGAATGGAATAAATTGATGTTAAAACCATAAAAGACATGTAGAAACAAACATCTGTATTATAGATGATAAAGTGATCCCAGGTAACGATTCTAAAGATTACTTTCATATGTGACAAGCCAGTGCTTGAGATTGTGATATATAAAGACTTACTATGAAGTGAAGTTTGACACATTTAATGTCAGGTGGAATCTTGTTGAGAAATTGTAATTATGAAATTGTCAAAAAATAATAAAATGTTGAGAAGTTAGTTTTTGTCTATTTTCTTTCTTCATAACCATTTATTTGCTAATGGAATTGAGATACCCTAACAGTACTAAACATTTTTTTTAATCTTTTCAGTATCAAAAATAACAGGTATGACTTTATTTTGATTCAATGGTCAATGCATCTTCCCAATTATTTCGGTCAATGCTGATTTTTCTTGATGCCTCCAAGGATTTAGTCCCTTTGCATCACTGGTGATTCTGAGGACAAAACAAGTATATGTTGTGGTTTAATTCATTATTCAAAACTTCTAGCAAAAGGTGTTATTCACTTGTCGTTTGTACACCCTATATACAGATTGACATAACTTCAGGGTGATTCAAAATCTTATTGGAAGATGAAACTTAAAATTGTTTTACGAGTCTGAAACCAGTTGACCAGTAAGGTCAGGGTGATCTAGCTTTATCCATCATAGACAGCATAAACCAACGATAAATAAATAATATGATAACAATACTCTTCAAACCATGGCACATATGAAGTCAGACCTGTCTAAAAAGGCCACTCAAGGGAGCAGAGAAAGGTGGCCTTTATACACAGGTTCAATTACTCTGAATTGCATTAGATCAGAAACCTAAAAAGCATCCTTTAGAGGTTTGGCTGTTTTCTTGTATTCAAACCACACCAGAGTTTATATTTTGCAAAGAGATCGTGAAAGCGACGTTTGAAAATTGTCTATATTATTCAACATATGTCAGTCTGCATTCATTATCTGTCATGAGAACTTTGGAATTCCAAGAAATGCCCTGGGAATTTCATGATCAATGATGGAATCCCCTGTATTTAAGCCATCAATGCTGTCCTTTAGTCTCCGATGCTTGCGTATTCACAATAAATGAAGTGAGCAGAAAAAATCTATGTTGATCGCCTAAGTATAGGATCACACTCTTCTTTCTCCAAATTATCCTGATGGTCTGTCGAAATTCTTATATTGGTCTAGAGTCGATGAACTCCAGAATAATTCTGATTCTTCCACAAATTTAGAAACATTTAAAGATGATACAGGGGCTGATTGGTTAGTTATAAGCCTAGCATTGAAGAAGTTAAGCAGGGATTTCCTTTTTCAGTTCTATTTTTTCCTGACTAACTAAGGCTGTGTACCTGAAGACTGGTGTCATTCGGTCAGTTTATGTTGAAGAGGTAGCACTCTAAAGTAAACAAGGTAAGTGACTTTTGCGAAATGGACAAATCCCGTGAAAGAGCAGTGATTCAGTATTTGCTGAAGGTGTAACACCTTAGGAATATCCATACTGATATGGCAGCAACGCTAGGGAATAATGCCTCCCGTATGCAACAGCAAAAAGGTGGGTGGCGGAATTTAAATGTGGCAGGCAGAGCCTTGGGGATGACACCCATCCTGGAAGGCCTGTCACTGGTGCACAACCGGATATGGTCAATAAAGTCTGTTATATTGTAATGGCCGACAGGCGAGTTGTAGAGAGATACATAGCCATTACAGTTGGGATTGCACAAGAAAGAGTATATTCTGTTCTTACGGAAGATCTTGCAATGAGAAAGGTCTCATCCTGCTGGATACCAAGACTTCTGATATTTTCATATTTTCGCGTTTCGGAGAATAGCGGAAAATAATTGTCCTATAGGTACGGTATTCGGGTATCTTCGTGAGAGTTGTATGGTCCAATGGCAGTGCGACGCGTTGTCCGCACGTGCAAGTTAAGAAAGTGTGTAAGGGTAGGCGAGGTATCGGGCATTCTAGCCGTGGACACCCACAAGTACAGTCAAGAAAAATGGACCCGGCATCATTGGAAAACAAATTGCAAGAGCGCATTTCTGCTTCCCAGCACGACATGTTAGGCCAGCTCGAAACTATGTTAAGTTGGAAACTGGACTCTTTCAGAACAGAAATACAGGATTCCCAACGTCAGTTATCGGCAGACCAAATCTCAAAATTTGTGGAATTGAACACTCATTCTTATTCGTTCAGACATAAAGGCAACGAGGAGCAGTTCAAAGTTAACACCAAGGTTGTTGCTAAGTTGCAGGAGGCTCACTCTAGCATAGTTGAACAGCAGGATTTGGTTACGGCGGCCGACAAAATAACCGAGGGTATGAACATTTTAAAGTACAGGCAGAAACTCATAAGGTTAGCGGATTCTTCTGAAACGGGGTGGAAAATCGTAGCGGAATATGAGGCTAATGAGCTGGCTGAGGATTCAGACGATGAAAAACAGAGGGCGGAAATCAGGGCTCAAAGGAAAGTAAAGGCACGGAGACAATCCAGGCAGAGGCGGTTCTCCCCGTACGGCGCCCCTCGACCACAGGGACCTGGAGACTTGTCACACGTGGACGCGACAAAACCGACGATTCCGGCGCATAACAGGAGGCCAGGACTATGTTACTCTTGTGGAAAGCCAGGACACTGGAGGATAGAGTGTCAGCAGCAGCAACGTAGCGTTGGACAGGGACCAGACAATATAAGTATTCATGTTTTTCCTGAAGGGAGAGTGTCTGTGTCCAATATTTTTGTAGCGAGCGTTGAGTGTGGTTTTACTACAGCGGTAGTAAAAACAGCTGATCAGCATGTTGGGTCAGAGGTCAGGTCACCTATTGGAATGTTACGGCGAGCGTTTTATGAATGGGAGCGCATTGATGCGTGTCCAGTAGTACTCGATATTATACGGTACGGGTATAAGTTACCTTTGTATCAGATTCCGGACGTCATAGTTCTCGGAAATAACAAGTCAGCAAGAGATAATGCTTCATTTGTGAGAAACGAAATCCTGAGTTTGTTAGAGAAAAGGTGTATTTCGGAAGTCACGGTCAGGCCAAGGGTAATAAATCCTTTAACGGTGGCTGGTAATACCAAAAAGTTGAGGTTAGTTTTGGATTGTAGGCACGTCAACCCATGTCTTCATAAGTTCAGATTTCGGTTTGAGCATTCAGCCGTTGCTTTAGAGCTGTTGAGAAAAGGAGATTGGTTGTTTTCTTTCGATTTGAAATCTGCTTACCATCATATTGAGATTTTTTCCGATCACAGAGAATATTTAGGATTTAGTTGGGATTTCGGTGGGGTCACGAAATACTTTGTTTTCAATGTTCTGCCATTCGGGCTTTCAACTGCAAGTTACGTATTTTCCAAGGTTACGAGGGAGTTGATAAAGTATTGGAGATCCAAAGGTCAAAAGGTCATAATGTACTTGGACGACGGTTTAGGAGGCCACCGCCTGCAGGAACAGGCGCTGAAGTTGAGCAATGAAGTAAAGGTGGATTTAAACCGTTTCGGTTTTTTAATAGCTGATGAAAAATGTAGCTGGAAGCCATGTTTAGAGGCAGATTGGTTAGGTTTGGTTTGGAAGATGGGCGAAGGGAAGGTTTATATAACCGAAAAGAGATTGAGTAAGCTTGAATGCAGTTTAAGGGCCGTATTGGCAAGTCAGGGCGGTGACGCAAAGGGCGTTACCGCACGAGCTTTGGCGGGCGTGGTCGGTCAGATTATATCCATGAAAGTTGGTATAGGTCCCGTTACAAGGCTTATGACAAGATACATGTATGCCAACGTTTTAGCGAAGGCCAGTTGGGACTCTTGTATCTATATCAAGAGTGACGCTGTGTTTGAGGTAAGATTTTGGTTGGAGAATGTTCGTAGTTTGAACGGACGTGTCATTGAGCAGCCAAAGTCGCATGACGTGGCGGTTTTTAGCGACGCCTCCGGTATAGGGTACGGAGGTTATATGTTGAATGTCAATGACAGTGAAGTACTAGGGGTGTGGTCCGAGGCCGAGAAGGCAGAGAGCTCTACATGGCGAGAGCTGGAGGCTGTGAGACGCATAATGAGAACGTATGACGAAAGCCTGGTAGGGCGTAAGGTGTTATGGTACACTGATAACCAAAATGTGGCTAGTATATTGGTGTACGGTAGCAAAAAGTGTCGTTTGCACGCACAGGCTAGAGATGTTTTTGGAATGTGTTCAGGAAAGAACATCGAGTTGATTTCGGCCTGGATCCCAAGGGGAGATAATCTGGTGGCTGATTTGTAGAGCAAAGCCGGAGATTCAGAGGATTGGGGTATTAAGCCGTCAATTTTCAATTTTTTTAATAAGGCTTGGGGCCCTTTTTCGGCGGATAGATTCGCAAGTCCCTATAACGCAAAATGCGAGATTTTTAATTCCCAATGGTGGTGTCCGGGTACTTCAGGTATAGATGGCCTTATGCAACCCTGGGGTGGGCTTAATAACTGGTTGGTTCCCCCTCCTAGGTTGGTGCCGAAAGTCGTCAATAAAATGATAGATGAAAAGGCTAAGGGGACTTTGATAGTGCCTTATTGGAAATCGGCTCCGTTCTGGCCTGTTTTGGCTCCCTTAGGCGGAAGTTTTGCTAGTTTTATTAAGGAGCATATAATATTGCCCGCAAACGCGGTAGTCAAGGGGAAGGGAAGAAACGGGATTTTTGAGAAAGGTGGGGTAAAAATGGTGGCATTAAGAATAGCATTTTGATTACAAACAGTTGTTTCTGTTTTGTTTGCAGGCTGAAAGCTGACGTCTACGATTCAGGCGGCAGTGGAATCTGAAGGCCCGCTTTCTCCACGGTTACTTAAGTTATCTGGAAAAATGTCCCAATATTTGCTGCAAGCCAGGAGTGAATCTACAGTATCCAAATACTTTTCATATTTCCGGAAGTGGGAGGATTTTATTGTGCGAGAGCACGCGTGTGCATTACCGGCCCAACCAATACACGTGGCCTTATATGTGTCTTACCTGTTGGACAAAGGGAGTTCTTACAACGTCGTCAACGCCGCTGTATATGCAATCAAATGGGCCCACAGCATTAGTAGCTTGCCTGATCCATCCTACAGAGAACGGTTTTGTCAAAAACATGGTCGAAGCAGCCAAACGTCAGGAAAGGACCCCGCGCGTGAAGAAAGACTGTGTCTCGTCGGAACTGGTAATACAACTTTGTAAGAAATATAAAGACAGTAATGACGCTTTGATAGTCAGAGACTTGGCAATGATAGTGGTCAGCTTCGCAGGGTTTCTCAGATTTGACGAGTTGAGCAGGTTGCGTATGAGGGATGTTGCGTTTAAATACGTATGTAAGTCTTAATATTGAGAAGAGTAAAACTGATCAATATAGGTTCGGGAGTGAGGTAGTCATTTCAAAAGGAGAGACTGTGGCGTGCCCGTATCGAATGCTTGAAAGATATATAAAGTTAAGCAATATCTTAGAACCAAATGACTTTCTTTTCAAACCTTTCGTACGTAGCGGAGGCGTATGTAAGCCAATTTTAAAATGTAAGGCGCTTAGTTATACTCGTGCAAGGGAGTGTGTGGTGCAGAGGTTGAAGGAAATAGACGGGGGTCTGAATTTAGGATTACATTCTTTAAGGGCGGGCGGCGCCACGCAGGCGGCTAATAGCGACGTAAATGACAGGTGCTGGAAAAGGCACGGGCGGTGGGAAACCGACGTCGCTAAGGACGGTTATGTCGCTGATTCCTTGGCCCGTAGGCTGCAGGTTACTCAGAAGTTAGGTCTTTAAATGTGTTCGAGCTATTCGTTTTGTTAGGCGTTTAGGCATTTGAGCATTTGTTCAACCTTTTTTTTTATCTTATCGCCCGTTCTTTTATAGTCTATTGTCCACTACTGGCTAGCGGCAGTCATGTGTTGGAGCTATTGTTAGGAGATGAGTATAGAGAGGACCTGATCAAAAGCACACCAAGCAGACTTTTCGTGTGTTAAACTGGAGGTATACCCTGCTGACTTTCTGCAGAGGTTGGTGACTATGGATGAGACGTGGATCCATCATTTCACCCCGGCGGCCAAACAGTCTAAACAATGGAAGCACCCTGATTCACCCCCAACAAAGAAGGCAAAGACTGTTCCATCAGCTGGAAAGGTTATGGTCTCTGTTTTCTGGGATGCTGATGATATTTTGATGGTAGAATATCTGTAAAAGGTACAACCAATCAATGGCTCATGTTATATATCACTTCTTAGGCAGTTTGAAGAAAATATTAAACTCAAGCGCCGCGGAAAATTCAGTAAAGGTGTGTTGTTCTGCCAGGACAATGCCCATGTTCACAAGTCTGTCATTGTCGTGGCTGCCTTTAATGATTGTGGCTTTGAGCATTGAATGTATTGAGCATCCTTATTCGCCTAATCTCGTTCGATATGACTTTCATCCGTTTCCAAAATTGAAAAAGGCCATTCCCGGTACCTACTTTCAGTCAGACAATGACGTCATACATGCCGTGGAGAACTCTCTGACACGTCAAGAAAATGCAAAGGGCTTCTTTTAAAGTGGCAGTGAGGCCCTTAAACATCACTGGCAAAAGTGTATAGATACTGAAGGGGGCTATGTTAAAATTGAATGTGATATGTCCACCAAAAGTCAAACCCTTAAATGTGAGGCGCACAACTTGTAAGATGTGATGCTTTTGGAATTCCATGTAAAATAGGCAGTTGTGTAACCTTTCAAATCACCATTTATTTGGCTAATGTTTGTTGGCAATCAAGGATTTGTTGTTTTGTGTATTCCGGAAGAGAACCAAAGTGAACAGATATCTGGAATTACACAGAGGATGAGATTCCATGATAATAACTGATGTAACACCCCTCGCATTCTTATATTCGGGCCATTTAGCTGCTTTAACTTGTTTGGCAATTGTAAATTAAATAAAGTTTTAAACATAGTTTTGTAACAGTTAAACCATTCGGCATTTTCACATAGGATTTCAAAAGTTATACTCCTTTAAAACCAAACAATCAAAGGAAACAAACGCCTTTAACACAAACTAACTTGTCTTTTTCGGTCTGTGCATGTTTTTATGACATCAGAAGGAAGCTTATAGATAAGTACTTGATCACTCGTTAGTGGCAGTTTACACTTAACAACACGAGATTCATATGTTTGTATTTTCGCTAATATAATGTCCCTGCCGAACTGGTGTTACATATATATGTCTATTTTTAATTTTACGTTAACTCTGAAGTTAATTGTACTTACTACCAAGTCTTCATTCGATAATTAAAAATCAAATTTAAACATGCCATGTCAAAACATCATTTACACTAAGTAAGTATCTTATCTCAGCAAAATGATTCGGCTTTCATCTTCCATACAGAATAAGAACTAGATAAAATATATGCTATGCAATAAACACTAACATTGGTTAGATGGTCAACCCAATTGAAATGAAAATATTAGGGAAAATTCTAAATATAACAAGGAATTAACACATCCTTCGGAAATTTTATTTCTCATGATATTCGTATCTTACATAGTAGTTTGGAAATAATCAGAAGATATTTATATCTATCATACCAATGGTCAATAACATCACACGACTACATGGTCAGTGTGAATCTATACATATTTCAATGTGGTAGATCTAGCAACGCTTTGACCGCTAGACTCCGTGCAGTGTGAGGTTCAAAATAGCCGGTGATAGTAAAAATAACTCGCTAACCTGTCTAGAGAAAGGAACCAGTATCCAAGTTGTAATAATACCAGATTTATTACAGTACATATTACACAGAGTCAGCACTAATATCACTAACTGCTACATTTTAATAATTTAAAATAATTTTTTCGGGCCAAGTAGATCACAGATAGACTGGATAGGAATCTTTTTTCCTTCCAAAGCAATGAAAGAGGTATGGCGTATAATGATATCGAACACCTATTTCAGTAAGCCGCATTGGTACGCTCTTCAAAACGCCATTACTGACAACAGGTCCTCCTGTTACTGAGATTTTCTTTTCACCGATTACGAAGGTAACTTGTATCGAGGTTTATAGATTTGACGGTACAGAATACTGTTCGATTTTACTTTTGTTCCGATCAGGGCCATACCCCTTCCTTTTTGTGACCGTCACGAGTTAACGTTATCATCACCAATATTAAATAGACTTGAAGAAACGCGCATGTGCCATATAACTATATCAAATGCAATTATCTAATTTGCATTTAAAAGTATTTATAAACACGTAGTTTTGTCAACAAGGAACATTCTTCGCTCAAAACGAAGATATACACCAACATCAGCATGTATTTCTTTTCATTGCAAATTGCTTGTAACCTTTATTTTTCAGCAAATCGGATTCTTAGCTTTGACTGATGTTTCTAACTACAAAATGTAACTGCTTTAAGGAAATCTCAGCCATTGTTAGTAGTGTACATTGATCATTCATCGAGCTTCCCATCACGGATTCCAATTGCAATTCATCTATTACCGTCTACAAGTTTCCAATATGTCAAGACTATTTGGATGAAGACATTTACTTTACTAAAAAGTAATGTTTGCAACACCAATATTCGTTTTCAAACTAGTTATAAACTTTGCGGAGCTATTCAGAGCCAGGTCTAATATTCCCGATTCGTTCAGTGCAGTAGCTACATCAAAATTATACTTGAATGTGTCATCTACACGCTGGTCCAGAATAAGCTTCAGGAACACGCTTCCAATTAAGATCACGACCAGTAGGAAGACCGTCGCTATTCGAGACAGGATCAGCATCTTGGTATCGAGACTGAGCTTGTCACCTGGGTCGTTGTCGTCGCTGCTGTTGAAGTCAGCACTTGTCAGAAGTATGTTGTCACCGTGCATCTCATTAATTTCGTTCATTTCCAGCAATTCATAGGTGAGGGATCCATTAGGTTTTCCGTTAGGAACTGATCCATTCATAGCACCGGGAGGAACTGATCCATTCATAGCACCGGGAGGTACTGATCCATTCAGCTCACGAAGCTTATAGCCATTAGCGATGATTTTTTGGTCGTCTGGTAAGTTGCTTCTAGTAGATATGTTTCCACCTGTAGAAACAATGTTGTACAGTTATGAAAGGTTATGGAAGTAACGCGCTAAAAGGAGGGGGTGGGGTCTTAAGTATAGAACCACTATGACTTGTTTACTTGAGAAATTTGATCCTATATGCTTATATCAATGGTGTCTCGCGAATTTATGAGATGATATAAAAAATTTGGTATCCCGACTAAATGAACATGCTGGTCTGTTGTCTTCGCTGATATTTATGATAAGAAGTTCGGAGTCTCCAGATACTGTGGTAACTGATAGGATTCATTTCTTGATATTCTAAGAGGTTGAAGTTTTCAGGAAATCAATACTGAACATAGGGTAAACTGAAATAACGAGTATTCCAATGTGTTAGTTCCTAGCGACCATAAAATATCGCGGAAGACCAGTGAAGATTTAAAGTTTATGTCCTAAATATTTGATATCATAGAAATGGTAAAGCAGATATTTGAAGAAATTGAGCACAAATATAATCTCAGGTCGGGAGGCAAAGTGATAACGCACTCGCCTTTTATCAAAATGTCCGGGGTTCAATTTCACGAACGGACGTGAAAAGGTTAGGAGTCACCTGTCGGACTACGTGGGTTTTCCACGGGTGCTCTGGTTTCCTGCCACAGGAAGACCCTCGCAAGCTTCAATCCAGGCCAACAGGCCTGATCAGTACGAGTTAGATGGCTTGTTTCGCCATTGTTGTAAAACAAATAAAGTTTAGGACAGAAAACATTTCTATCACTGGTATGGAAAGATCAATCATGTAAACAAAATAAGGTCTAAATGAGATCCAACTATTAAATATTTGTATCAGTCTCCTTTTATGTATCATGCCATTTAGTATGTGTAAAACGTCAATGTTACCTTTTAGTTCAGTGTACAAAATAACGTCTTTCACTATTCCTGCCCGTCCCTGTGCCTGTTGAATAGAAAAGACATAAATATTCAAACACACATAATATAAACATTTCATTGTTCTGTTCTGATAGATGACAATTAAAATTACATTCATAAAACATGTCTTTCCAAACAAAATTAACACATTTACATCAGTTCAGATCCATGTTGTTTCCACACTTGAACAAAAAACAATCGCCCCCAACTGTGCACACTATTGTAAATAACTTGCAATTAGCGTGTTTATTACGGACAATTAACTCAATTTACAATGTCTGTGTACATGTAAAAAAAAAAATTTTTAAATAAATAAAATACCAACATGTCAAATTAATCATAATCCAAACTCAGATTCAACAAAACTAGAGCAAAATCTGAACAAAAAAAATTCAAAAAAGTTTCCATGGAAACTCCTGAAAAAGTCCTGTATATACAAAAGTAAACTGACTGGGCGTTTCTTTACAAACTACCTACCTTGGTAACCTCATCCTGCCAGTCCAGACTCTGAGCTTTAATCAACAGTAGGACGGAATGTACAAAGACCCCAATACAGGCTCCCCACCATGCTCCTTAAAAGAAATCATGATGTTGTAAATTCAAAGATGCTTCATTTGATCACTAATTGATTTTAAGCAAAGAGGCACCAATTCCTTGAAGTATTTGTTTACTTGGCTACGGCCATTTTGATGACTGTTTCCAACCTTTTCCCATCACTATTCAGCAATTGTCTCGATATCGTTTTAAATTGAACATGAACAGTTAATTTTGACATATCATGACTTTAATGAGAGATTGCTGGTTTTAGTTCATACATACAATACGTATGGGACGGGAAAACAAAGTAATACCAATTCCGTTGCCAAGTACCTGTAGAAGCTAATTAATCGGTACTGGAAACGTTTCTAGTATAGAATAATGACAAATATTATCAATTAACATATATACAGGTAGTAGTTGTGTGTACCTTCGTCTTCCATCTCTGTGAGAAGCAGCAGTGGAATAGATATAGACAAGGCTACGACATAGAAAGAGAAGAAGCTAGAAAGAGCACCATAGATCTGATGTCCCGCTCCTCTCAGGACTCCACACAAGATTTCCTGTAAAACACAAGTGATTCTACACTTTAACGATCTATTTTAAGGACATTGGAGAAGCATCTTGAACCACAGGATCCCGAAAAAATTAGACATAACGACATAAATAATCGTTAAAAACCGAAAACGAAAGCAGATGATCCGAAAACGGTTTCTTTTTCGTTTATTACGTCTCACATTCAGATATCCATCAAATTGTCCCCTAATCAGATATCAGTTAACGACCGCTTTTAATTCGTGGTATCTTTTTACATGTAAACAGAAAATATCCTATGTTATGAATTAAAAAGAATTACTACATATCTACCTACCTTGGTATGTTGAAAAATTTCATATATTGCTGCAATGATGAGCAGTGTAGAAGTGAGAATCTGAACCTCTCTGAAATACAACACTTTTGTTATATGATGAGTAGAAACTATTATTTTACTGGCGAAACTTTGAAAAATAGTCTTGATAAAAAGAAGGGGAAAAAACTAATATTTTGGCCTTCTGATTGAACTCTTCTGACACTCTATCACTTGATACACTTTTGTCAAATTCATGTGACAACACAAGGTGTTTTAGTCGTGTTTATTTATCTATTTTGTCTAATGATATGACGGAAATTCCTTAATAGTAAACGTATATTCTAGGTCGTCTCATAGAGTAATCAGCTTTGTATGTAAATCTTTTTTTTCCCCGAAAAAAAATCTATTTACATAATTGATAATCCAGAACTTTTTCTGCTTAATACAATTAATCTTGTATTCCATTGTATATACGTAATTAAGTCATACAGAGTACTCACATATCCGGACTAAAGAGTACAGGAATAACGTCTTTACTCACATATCCGGACTAAAGAGTACAGGAATAACGTCTTTACTTACATATCCGGACTAAATAGTACAGGAATAACGTCTTTACTTACACATCCGGACTAAAAAGTACAGGAATAACGTCTTTACAAATGAAGGTTGCCAGGGCTATGACTGTCGCCTCTGTCACTGTTGGTAAAATGTTAAATTATCACAGTATGTAATCCACTTCTTTACCTATGGTATTGACCATTTCAAAAAATCAAACACGTGGTCATTTAGTAGCAAATAAGGAGCAGAGAGTTTATTTTTAAATTTTAGATGTAATAAAAACAGGATATACTGGTATAACATTCTATGTATTCATAACATGTAATTAGAGAACCATTCCAGTCGTTGATTGATGAAATAAATAAAAAGGAAATCTAACGTATCTAACGTCTGATGACAATTATGTCTTTCGTATTCCTGACAGATTCTCTTTTAACATTGGTAACAATAATTATTGAATTCTTACCGCCGACGAACAGAACCACCCGGTAAGTGACCTTGGCTTTTTCAGCATCACCAGCCCCGAGATGATTACCCACAATTACCGAGGCGGAAGTTCCAATCGCATAAGGTATCTTTGATATCACAAAAAATTTGAAATCAGATTATATCTATTTCTTAGACCATTTCATATTGGTTCATCACGTGATGTAAGGCACAATTCCGATTTAGAATTTACAAAATAGTTGCAAGAGATTTCTATGATTTATCCAAATGAAATCATGAAAACTATTTACATTTTAATTAACAATATATCGATGGTTTGATCGTCTAGACTATTGGCATGCCAATGGGAACTAATTGTGTCACTTGACTGTGACTTGTTTTGATACGAGGTTGAATTTAGATGCCATTCTGAAGTGAAGGAACGCCTTTGCTCTGTTGTTACGAGAAGTATTTTACCGAGAGATGTGAACGGCATTTAAAATTCACGTTCTTTCTGATTGAATTATACTGAAGCGTAAAATACGTTCAAATCAAAGGAGTATACGTAAGAAGAAATCCTTAATATGATTGAATTTCTGATTATCAATAACTTCGTCGAATTTGGTGGCAAGATCTTCCAACAGACTTTTGCCATATTTGAACTGTACCTCTTTGTTGGATTATTTGTTTTTGTATCAATACGAGACTGAATTTATTCAGAAGCTTAACAACCACAGGTAACAAATATCCTGTTCCTTATTTTCACATGCAGATATATTCATGATCTGCTGTCTTTAAATAACTTGGCCCTAATTCTTGGTCGCATATAACCACTGAAGTGAAGAAATCAATGCAATGGTGAGCTCCTCTATATTCAGCCGCTTACATCGACCTTTACTTACCATGAAACCAACGAGAACAAATGCCTACCAAGCGGTTTAGCAAGTGTGATGATTTCAATTTCCTAATGATGAATTACCCATTTCTAGATGGTAACTATCCTTCTTGTGCTATCGTGTAAACATGCTGCACGTTTCGATACCACGAGCTTGTCCCAAATATCATAATAAATGCCGAGAGGAGACGGTTGAAATTACAAGACCGCTTTCGGAGAGACACAGGATGAAGAAGACTAGGAGATTTACAAGACTGAGTATCGTGAGTAAGCAATAGACGCGTACACTGTTGAATACCTAGTTTTGTGCTAACTGTAGGTTATGTTAAGAGTCCACCGACCTGTGATAATTTTTTAATGGAATATTTTTATTGAATGTTCAATTAAGGAAAAAATACGAAAAGGGCTTTGAAAAGTTTCCGTAAACACCTTTAAGAAAACTTTGTCATAAAATGTGCAATGATAAAGAAAATTATATACAAACGTCATTTTTTTATGAAATGCCTTTCTGATCAATCCTATCGTATATCAATATATAGTTACCATCAACGTCAAAGTAGCTACGTTGTATACAATTGTAAAAGCCGCAAGTTGAGTTGCTCCCAGTAAACCTGTGAAAATAGGTTCATTTAAATAAGAATAAAACAACACACACAATCAGCTTCTTTAAAAAGTATATACTTAAGTTAAATTGCTTCAACTTAAAAGGTTAACCAAAAGTAATGCCTAGATGTATTAAGGTAAAAGAACTTATCTTTATTCATTACTCCAGTTATTTCTCTAAGTTCTTCTCTAACATCAACAAACACCCAATTCAAGACGATGACCATGGTACCTCTAACCCATGGCCAAGCAAACGTTATTGATGACAAGTAAACCTTGTGTAAATCTTCATTTATTTTTACATATGCTTATTTTCTCTTATACTCTACCCGTTTTGATAATTGATAATAGCTCTTATATAGAATACCGGAGAGAAAAACCAGGATTTCATAGCTCCACCATTCCAAACACAACATTAACATTCCTGCTATGGCAAGGGTCAGATATGTTCCCCATTCGAACAGGCACTCTTTAGTCCAACCTTCAATAAAAGTAGAGATTATATTTAGGTGATAAAGTAACAAAACCAGGATCCCAAAAACAGTCATAACAAATGCGGATGTGGTGTACCAAAATAAAACACAAACGACCTTACAGGACAATATATCGGGTGTCATATGATAAAACCGTTTTAATACATAAGAACACACTACATAGAGTAAAATTTGGACACCGACATAGGTAGGGGTGCAGATATTGTCAATTAGATCCCTGGCAAATGCATTTGAGTTTTTCTTAATAAGACCTGCTAGACTCTCTCCTTAATTAAACCTGCTAGAATCTCTACTTAATAAAACCTGACATATTATTTCCTTAATAAAACCTGCTAGGCTCTCTCCTTAATAAAACATGACGTATTATCTCCTTAATAAAACCTGCTAGACTCTCTCCTTAATAAAACATGATAGGTTATCTTCTTTAAAAAACTTGCTGAACTATCTCCTTAATAAAAACCTGATTAATTCTGTTCTTAATAAAACCTGATAGACTATCTCCTTGCTAAAATCTGCTTGAATCTCTCCTTAATAAAACCTGACAGACTCACTCCTTAATTAATCCTGCTAGACTCTCGCCTTAATAAAACATGATAAATTTTGTTCTTGATAAAACCTGCTTGAATACCTCCTTGCTTAAATCTGCTTGAATCTCTCCTTAATAAAACCTTATAGACTTTCTCCTGAATAAAACCTGACAGACTCTTTCCTTAAAAAGACCTGCTAGACTCTCTCCTTAAAAAAATCTGAGCGACTCTCTCCGTAATTAAATCTGACATACTATCTCCTTGATAAAACCTGCTAGACTATCTCCTTGCTAAAACCTGCTGGAATCTCTCCTTAATAAAACCTGATAAAATCTGCTAGACAATCTCTTTGATAAAATCTGCTAGGCTCTCTCCATAAGAAAACCTGCTAAAATTGTTCCTTAATTAAACCTAATAAACTCTGTTCTTAGTAAGGCCGGCTAGGATATCTCCTTAATAAAACCTGCTGGGTATAGAATGTATTATATCAATGTTAGTATACAATGTGTTATATCAATGTGGGTATACAATGTATTGTATCAATGTGAGTATACAATGTATTATATCAATGTGGGTATACAATGTATTATATCAATGTGGGTATACAATGTATTATATCAACATTGGTATACAATGTATTATATCAACGTGGGTATACAATGTATTATATCAACGTTGGTATACAATGTATTATATCAATGTGGGTATACAATGTATATCAATGTGGGTATACAATGTATTATATCAATGTGAGTATACAATGTATTATATAAATGTTAGTATACAATGTATTATATCAATGTGAGTATACAATGTATTATATCAATGTGGGTATACAATGTATATCAATGTGGGTAAACAATGTATTATATCAATGTGGGTATACAATGTATTATATCAACGTTGGTATACAATGTATTATATCAATGTGGGTATACAATGTATTATATCAATGTGAGTATACAATGTATTATATCAATGTTAGTATACAATGTATTATATCAATGTGGGTATACAATGTATTATACCAGTGTGGGTATACAATGTATTATATCAATGTGGGTATACAATGTATTATATCAATGTGAGTAAACAATGTATTATATCAATGTGGGTATACAATGTATATCAATGTGGGTATACAATGTATTGTATCAATGTGAGTATACAATGTATTATATCAATGTTAGTATACAATGTATTATATCAATGTGGGTATACAATGTATTATATCAATGTGGGTATACAATGTATTATATCAACATTGGTATACAATGTATTATATCAACGTGGGTAAACAATGTATTATATCAACGTGGGTATACAATGTATTATATCAATGTGGGTATGCAATGTATTATATCAATGTGGGTATACAATGTATATCAATGTGGGTATACAATGTATTATATCAATGTGGGTATACAATGTATTATATCAATGTGAGTATACAATGTATTATATCAATGTTAGTATACAATGTATTATATCAATGTGGGTATACAATGTATTATATCAATTTGAGTAAACAATGTATTATATCAATGTGGGTATACAATGTATATCAATGTGGGTATACAATGTATTGTATCAATTTGAGTATACAATGTATTATATCAATGTTAGTATACAATGTATTATATCAATGTGGGTATACAATGTATCATATCAATGTGGGTATACAATGTATTATATCAATGTGGGTATACAATGTATTATATCAACGTGGGTAAACAATGTATTATATCAACGTTGGTATGCAATGTATTATATCAACGTGGGTATACAATGTATTATATCAACGTTGGTATGCAATGTATTATATCAATGTGGTATACAATGTATATCAATGTGGGTATACAATGTATTATATCAATGTGGGTATACAATGTATTATATCAATGTTAGTATACAATGTATTATATCAATGTGGGTATACAATATATCATATCAATGTGGGTATACAATGTATTATATCAATGTGGGTATACAATGTATTATATCAACGTGGGTAAACAATGTATTATATCAACCTTGGTATGCAATGTATTATATCAACGTGGGTATACAATGTATTATATCAACGTTGGTATGCAATGTATTATATCAATGTGGGTATACAATGTATATCAATGTGGGTATACAATTATTATATCAATGTGGGTATACAATGTATTATATCAATGTGAGTATACAATGTATTATATCAACGTGGGTATACAATGTATTATATCAATGTGGGTATACAATGTATTATATCAATGTGAGTATACAATGTATTATATCAATGTTAGTATACAAAGTATTATATCAATGTGGGTATACAATGTATTATACCAGTGTGGGTATACAATGTATTATATCAATGTGGGTATACGTGTGTATACAATGTATTATATCAATGTGGGTATACAATGTATTATATCAATGTGAGTAAACAATGTATTATATCAATGTGGGTATACAATGTATATCAATGTGGGTATACAATGTATTATATCAATGTGAGTATACAATGTATTATATCAATGTTAGTATACAATGTATCATGTCGAAGTGGATATGCATGGCAACATATCAACATGAACATGAGATGTTAATGTTGGTATACAAGGAATCGAGATCAATGAAAATCATATTTAAGATGAGAACACCCTAGATTGTTTGATTCCACAATTTCATTTCTTGATGATAATGTAATTGTTATAGTGATGTTCTAAGATTACCTGCCCATGTGTCTTTGTAGATCCCAGCAATCAAAATATACAATACTTGTAAAATAGAAAATAGCCATCGCGCAATTCCAAGTGCAATTCCAGCTCCACTAAATAAAACACAAAGAAACATCAATAAAACATCATAAAGTGCTGGACTGATAATGCTTGTAAACAAATTATCACTTACTTTCATTCACAATTCATTTGTGTGATTTTATTTGGAAAAGGACGATCACTTAAACAAAAAAGTTTACGAAACAAACAGAATAGTAAAAAGCTTAAAAATGCCTGGACGCCCTAGTCCGATACTAACAAGGTACCCATGTCCAGGTAGAAGACAAAGAACCAGTGTATCCCAACGTTAGCCAATCCAGAGGCCAGGCCCATGAACACGTTCGGTATAACGATCCCCTACAGAACAACATGTTTGATAAAAAATCAATTATATTATGACTGGAAACTCATGACAAATGACAGTCTAAGTAACAATTATTGTCATATGTTTTCGTGGTGCTCAAATTACTTGATACCTCCAAAAGTTGCAGTTTTGTTTGCTACTTGATTTAGCAGGTAAGTAGTACCTACGGTATCTCTTGGTATTGAATTTTTGTTTCTTTTCTTAGCTGTGTTTAATTTCGTTGATAAATAAATTCTAGTTTTTTCAAAGGAGCAAAATATTTAATGTTCTTATTGTATTAATAACTATATCAATGACAATGGTATTCAGGATTTACTTCTACTTTATTAAGACATTTTAGATATTACAACATTTACATAACACCTGACATTGTAAATACCAACAACATTGGTAAATACGGAAGTATACATTGTAAATACCAACAACATTGGTAAATACGGAAGTATACATACCTGACATTGTGAATACCAACATTGGTAAATATGGAAGTATACATACCTGACATTGTAAATACCAACATTGGTAAATATGGAAGTATAATACAGAAGTATACAGAAGTATATATACCTGACATTGTAAATACCAACATTGGTAAATACAGAAGTATACGTACCTGACATTGTAAATACCAACATTGGTAAATACAGAAGTATACATACCTGACACTGTAAATACCGTATAAGTATACATGTGAGAGCATGACCCTGTAATCATAATTAGAGTATGCTTTACGAAAAAATAATGCAAAACTGCAAACAGATACAAGTAGCCCATAGACCTTAACAGTCATCTGACATCATTAGATAACTACAGAATAATTTCAGTTCTTATTTTTCTCAAACTTGTGAAGAATATTTTTGAAATATTAGGGCCTCCTCGCTTAGATCCCCAACGGATGGCAAAAGTATGCATTTCCTTTATGAAATATGGCAAATTTTACTCATTTCCAACGCAACACCAGTGGAGGAGGGAAGGACAAGCATAGATTTCACAATTTTGTTAAAGATCGATGACAGCTTCACAACTACATGTATGAAAGAATAAATATCCCGATATGTTTAGTCCTTTTGAAGGTTTTTTAAAGTTTGACAATTTTTCCAAATCGGGCACCTGCCTTCGACTTCTTTTGGGTCAGATTCCTGAATTTCATAATTTTGAATAGTCTTGCCCCAATAATGCTTCTGATCTAATATCATTAAAGTAGGCGGGCCGGCTTTTAAAGGGATGTTGAAAATGTTGACGCACGCAGGGCGCGACGGCGGACAGAACATGTGGGCAATAGGTAATCTAGATATTCATCATGTTGATCAAAGCAGCGATATGTTCTTTTAATAAACGTATAAAAGATTTATTTAATTCCTCCGGTACAATTATCTACTAAATCCAGTGATTTAAACACGCACACCCCAAACCCCCTTTCCCCTCTTCCCTCAAAACCTACAACTACAGAAACATACTTTGATTCTAAACCATTGATAAAACTTTTGTCTTATGTTTTGATAAACTATGCAAATATTATTACACTGAGGCGCAAATCAACATCAATACAGTGGTGTTCTGACAGAAATACCATGCTGAGTAAGGTTTTCAATGCGCAATATTACCGGAAGTCCAAAGGAGTAAGCTGTGGCATGAAGGCCTGCAAGTCTGTAAAGTAATGAGATAAGGTCATTAGAGATGTAAAGATAGTGTACAATATCAGCATCCTTAGAAAGGTGTTATTATCTTTTTTGTCAGAATTACAATATGTTGTGATTCATTAACTAAGTTTTCATTTTATATAGGACATCCTATGTACAGAATTGTCTTGGATATGTTTTAAGTATTAAGAAAACCTCTACAATATAACCGTATCTTTTTGTATTAGAGATACGATATAAGGATATCATTAACTCTCTGCGTATGAGGGGAAGACTCTTCAGATTACAAGATGGGTTTGTCATTATGCGGGTCATTTGTTATCATGACAGTCTCGTTCATTTTTAGACAAGTGTTCAGAAATACGGCTTGAAATTAGTGATATTTAGAATTTTAGTATGGAAACCATGCTAATCAGAAATCAAAAGAATGTTTTTGTTCCATCATTTTTTTTTATTTCTCTACAGCATCTTCAATAATGATGTAGTTTCAGTTTGTAGAATCATCATGCCATTTGTCGTAGACACCATCGCATCCATCCAAAAACTGTGAGAAATAGCCAGCAAGAGGTTACCGCGAGTAAGTTGGTTTGTCACTGACACTTCAACGCAGAGCACGCCATATTCGATGGTTGACAATACATGTGCCCAGACGTTTCCCTGTGACATGTTGGAGCTTCGATCAGATGATCGTCAACGTACGTACCGGCATCGAGGAGAGCGTCCTGTAAACGCTTGTTTTAGAGCACGTCATATTTTGGGGTGGAATGGTTTAGGAAATAGTTCCCACGGTTTAGACACCTTTAGTGATCATTAACGGGAATTGGATGGCTGTACGCTATTGGGATCACCGGGCCTCATGTTGTGCCTTTCATTAAAACGCACCATTTGACCTTTCAGCACGTTGCAAGAGTTTGTTGGTATTTTCTTGCAAACTGAACATCGTCCCGATTGATTGACCTCCATATAACCGTGATTAGTCCTCAATCAAAAGTTCAGAATTGAGCAAACATCCAAAGTAACCTCTGCCAATTGGCCAACGCATGTTCGAGGAAGGCTCACACGATATAAGGGGTCGCTCTGACAACTGCTGTCATTTCAACTTTGTATACATTAGACCATCTTAATTCATAGCTTAATGAAATCTTCATTTGTTAAAAATCTAATAAACTTTGAAGACGGATGGTCCAATATTTGAAGTTATTGCATTTCGCTTATTGCTCGTTATTATTATTTCATTAAATCGGAAAGTTGAAGTTGCGTTTCTTTTTTTCCTCTTAGTTTGTGTACACACACATATATATACATGTGAGGGTACAGTTTTCATAACAATTCTGATATATCCGTAAAACGTACTACGGTTTCAGGAAAAAAAGCAAATTAGCTACTTGCTGCTACCTTACCGTGCCACTTCCGTCTCCTGTCCAAGCATCAGAAGCAAATGTTCCGTGTTGATGAAGATCGCTATACAGGGAAAGCAAGCCAGGAACAGGATGATCAACCCTATTTCGAACGAGATAACGCTAGTTAGAGATCTTAGTTAGTGACAGCCGAATGTTGGGGCTAGGGTTAGCACAAAAGCAGTCAATTCTCTAGTCGTTATATATATGATACGATAAAATCATTTGTAATATGATTTACTTTACTTATATATGACTTTGTATTTATATTACATATAATAATATCTTCAACCCAATAAAAATCTTATACTATAATGAAATTATTTGTAATGTAATCAGATATGTATGATATAAAATACAATTCAGTTATATCTAAACTAAAATCCTTTATTATGTTTGATATACAAAGTAATACAATAAAATACATTCAATCACTGGGGTTAAAGCCACGTGTAAATAACCAGAACATTATCTATATAAATTGTGAATATAAAACGAGTGTCGATAGAAACGGAAATTAAATCGCAACCAGATTTTGAGAATTTGCACTAGTATTTATAAACATTCGTTTTTGCAGCGCAAGTAGTTTTACTTGATTCATGAATGCAAAATTATCAAAATATTGATGTAAAAAAGCAATCTCATCATGACGCCATTATATCGCTTGAAAATGGCATGACATGGATCTTGTTACAAGACTGTGGATGTTTACTTGTTACAAGGCACTGTAGATGTTTACTTGGTACAAGGCACTGTGGATGTTTACTTGTTACAAGACTGTGGATGTTTACTTGTTACAAGACTGTGGATGTTTACTTGGTACAAGACTGTGGATGTTTACATGTTACAAGACTGTGGATGTTTACTTGGTACAAGACTGTGGATGTTTACTTGTTACAAGGCACTGTAGATGTTTACTTGTTACAAGGCTCTGTGGATGTTTACTTGTTACAAGACTGGATGTTTACTTGGTACAAGACTCTGTGGATGTTTACATGTTACAAGACTGGATGTTTACTTGGTACAAGGCACTGTGGATGTTTACATGTTACAAGACTTTGTGGATGTTTACATGTTACAAGACTGTAGATGTTTACTTGTTACAAGGCACTGTGGATGCTTACTTGGTACAAGGCACTGAATGGTTACTTGGTACAAGGCACTGTGGATGTTTACTTGTTACAAGACTGTGGATGTTTACTTGTTACAAGCACTATGGATGTTTACTTGTTACAAGACTGTGGATGTTTACTTGGTACAAGACTGTGGATGTTTACATGTTACAAGACTGTGGATGTTTACTTGTTACAAGGCACTGTGGATGTTTACTTGTTACAAGACTGGATGTTTACTTGGTACAAGACTCTGTGGATGTTTACATGTTACAAGACTGGATGTTTACTTGGTACAAGGCACTGTGGATGTTTACTTCTTACAAGGCACTGTGGATATTTACTTGTTACAAGGCACTGCAGATGTTGACTTGGTACAAGGCGTTGTGGATGTTTACATGGTACATGGCACTGTGGATGTTTACTTGGTACAAGACTATGGTTGTTTACTTGGTACAAGGCAGTGTTGGTGTTTACATGGTACAAGGCTCTGTGGATGTTTACTTGGTACAAGGCACTGTTGATGTTTACATGGTACAAGGCTCTGTGGATCTTTACTTGGTACAACACTCTGTGGATCTTTACTTGGTACAACACTCTGTGGATGCTTACATGGTACAAGGCGTTGTGGATGTTTACATGTTACAAGGCACTGTGGATGTTTACTTGTTACAAGGCACTGTAGATGTTTACTTGTTACAAGGCTTTGTGGTGTTTACTTGGTACAAGGCTCTGTAGATGTTTACCTGTTTCAAGGCGTTGTGGATGTTTACTTGGTACAGCACTCTGTGGATGTTTACCTGTTACAAGGCACTGTGGATGTTTACTTGGTACAAGGCGTTGTGGATGTTTACTTGGTACAAGGCACTGTGGATGTTTACCTGTTTCAAGGCGTTGTGGATGTTTACTTGGTACAGCACTCTGTGGATGTTTACCTGTTACAAGGCACTGTGGATGTTTACTTGGTACAAGGCGTTGTGGATGTTTACTTGGTACAAAGCACTGTGGATGTTTACTTGGTACAAGGCACTGTAGATGTTTAGTTGTTACAAAGCTTTGTGGTGTTTACTTGTTACAAGGTTTTGTTGGTGTTTACTTGCTACAAAGCTTTGTGGATGTTTACATGTTACAAGGCACTGTGGATGTTTACTTGGTACAAGGCACTGTAAATGTTTACTTGTTACAAGGCACTGTAGATGTTTACTTGTTACAAGACTCTGTGGATGTTTACTTGGTACAACACTCTGTGGATGTTTACTTGGTACAAGGTCCTGTGGATGTTTACCTGTTTCAAGGCGTTGTGGATGTTTACTTGGTACAGCACTCTGTGGATGTTTACCTGTTACAAGGCACTGTGGATGTTTACTTGGTACAACATTCTGTGGATGTTTACTTGGTACAAGGTCCTGTGGATGTTTACCTGTTACAAGGCACTGTAGATGTTTACTTGTTACAAGACTCTGTGGATGTTTACCTGTTACAAGACTCTGTGGATGTTTACTTGGTACAAGGTCCTGTGGATGTTTACCTGTTACAAGGCTCTGTTGAAGGGTTTTCTTTCAGTGCTGGTTGTGTTTTAAAGTTATATAGATGTAGTACATATACGAGGCGACACCATAACTCAGAAATCTTACAATGTTATGCGGGTAACATCACTCATACGTAACAGCTGACATCTATACTTATAAGTAACATTTGTCAAACAAAAATATCACCAAGTTTATCTAATGCTATTTATTATTTAACAAATGCGCGTGGGGCCGTGTTTCTGTTCGAGAAAAGGTATCTGTACATTGTAGCTTGATGGTGAATATATTCATTAGCGTCAGCAGTGAAAAAAAAATCAAAACAGTATAATGTATGCCAACAAGAAATCCCCACTAGATGAATTATAAAGTGAGGCTCGGATATGGGATATTATCGCGCACGCGCTCCTTTTGTTGGTATAAACGATATAGCGCTGTAAAAACATATTACTTTTATCTAATATCGAGTTATAAAAACCTGATAAATGAAGTTAAAACTGTGTATAATTGAAGCATGTACAAATCAATAAAAAAAATCGTATTTATATCTTAACGATGTCTCATGCGGAATTCATACTCTATTTTTCAGCGTTTATTCGGAGAAGAGACTTCAGTCAAAATTGATAGCTCGACCAAAATGATAAAAAAAAAATACCGTGTGATTTTACTTTATAACGGTGATGCTCAGGGATTACGTCGATGGCAAGAAGTGCTGACAGTAGAACAACACATCACTTTGTCAAAACCTCCTACGACACCGTAATCTGAACGTCAGAACAGTGATGGACAGGTGGAAACTTTTGCCTAGGTAACTGTCACGTGTTCACATTAGAACTATGTAATTCTGATTGGTTGAACATATCACAGACGTCAGTCACAATAAAACTCTTTATAAACAGTAACCACACAGAAACATGTAGTTATATAATGACATGCGTAAGTCCTTACCTCTTTGTAGAATAACCCCCACGCCGTACTGATTACCGCTTCCAAATGTCTGAAAGGTTGTGTTTCGGTTACAACATAAATAACACATAAAATATACATGTATGTGTCACCGAAGCGGTATATCATTCACACCAATTGAAGAACTTAAAGCAAACATACTTTTTTATAAATCCTATAACTGAATTTTAAACCTTTTCTTGTGTTTACATCAATGTTTTCGAACTCACTTGATCCAATATGATATACATGTACCAGAACAATGTTAAGGACATATTGGGGTCCAGTACCTGAGGAAACAGTGTATCGAACGCAGATGACAGTCCAACCATAACAGACGTCCCCAACACGTTTGTGATCTGAAAGGAAAGATCCATCGTCAGCTGACATACGCCATTAAACGGCTACTTTCGTTTTTAAAAGGTCCGAAACCATAGTTACTTAGATTTCATACCAGGCTTTTAAAGACTGTACAAACACCACACAGGTGAAGAATACATCTGTATACAAATTTTGAGTTGTTGCTAGATAATGTAGCACGAAGTAGTCCACTAAACTGCATTATGTAATTGTCCTTCCAGGACAGTGATTCTACTGAAACCTAGGACGAGACTTTGACTCTTTTTATGTATTATTATTGATATATTTTTACCCGTTTTTTTTTTTTTTTTTTTTACTTTTCTCCTTTTTCTAATCCTAATGCAAACTAAATCCTAGGTTTATACGAAGTAATGAATTACTGTTATCTGATGACAATGATATGTAATAGACTTACCAACTGATATATAAGTATGGACGGCATACGTTTTCGTAGCAGATTCTTAGTTTCATCTCTTCTTCAATTCACATGTAGTCACAATAGAAATGATTATTTTGTCAGAGACCACTATCCATGTATATATAAGTAGATAATACCTACACCAAATTACTCTTGCTCTAGTGTCTATGTCAGTCCCGATGGAGTTTGTGTCCTGTGACTTCCTGATCACAGCTTTCTCGCACCGTGATTACATGTAACAGACGTCTTGGATTTATTCTAATGCCTCCGCTAGTGTTCGCACCCAGAACTTCTGGCTTAGTAGCCTGTCGCACAACCAATCGAACTGGTATATTGCGGCTACAGTTTTACCTGGGTTACCTCAGACATGACCCAGGGATGTGTGTTTACCGTGGTAGACAGAGATGACCCAGGGATGTGTGTTTACCGTGGTAGACAGAGATGACCCAGGGGTGTGTGTTTACCGTGGTAGACAGAGCTGACCCAGGGATGTGTGTTTACCGAGGTAGACAGAGATGACCCAGGGATGTGTGTTTACCGTGGTAGACAGAGATGACCCAGGGATGTGTTTACCGTGATAGACAGAGATGACCCAGGGATATGTGTTTACCGTGGTAGACAGAGCTGACCTATGGATGTGTGTTTACCGGGTTAGACAGAGATGGCCCAGGGATGTGTGTTTACCGTGGTAGACAGAGATGACCCAGGGGTGTGTGTTTACCGTGGTAGACAGAGATGGCCCAGGGATGTGTGTTTACCGTGGCAGACAGAGCTGACCCAGGGATGTGTGTTTACCGGGGTAGACAGAGATGACCCAGGGGTGTGTGTTTACCGTGGTAGACAGAGATGACCCGGGGATGTGTGTTTAGCGTGGTAAACAGAGATGACCCAGGGATGTGTGTTTACCGTGGTAGACAGAGCTGACCTATGGATGTGTGTTTACCGGGTTATACAGAGATGGCCCAGGGATGTGTGTTTACCGTGGTAGACAGAGATGACCCAGGGGTGTGTGTTTACCGTGGTAGACAGAGATGACCCAGGGATGTGTGTTTACCGTGGTAGACAGAGCTGACCCAGGGATGTGTGTTTACCGGGGTAGACAGAGATGACCAAGGGGTGTGTGTTTACCGTGGTAGACAGAGCTGACCTATGGATGTGTGTTTACCGGGTTAGACAGAGATGGCCCAGTGATGTGTGTTTACCGTGGTAGACAGAGATGACCCAGTAATGTGTGTTTACCGGGGTAGACAGAGATGACCCAGGGATATGTGTTTACCGTGGTAGACAGAGATGAACCACGGATGTGTGTTTAGCGTGGTAAACAGAGATGACCCAGGGATGTGTGTTTACCGTGGTAGACAGAGCTGACCTATGGATGTGTGTTTACCGGGTTAGACAGAGATGGCCCAGGGATGTCTGTTTACCGTGGTAGACAGAGATGACCCAGGAGTGTGTGTTTACCGTGGTAGACAGAGATGATCCAGGGATGTGTGTTTACCGTGGTAGACAGAGCTGACCCAGGGATGTGTGTTTACCGGGGTAGACAGAGATGACCAAGGGATATGTGTTTACCGAGGTAGACATAGATGACCCAGGGATGTGTGTTTAGCATGGTAGACAGAGCTGACCTATGGATGTGTGTTTACCGGGTTAGACAGAGATGGCCCAGGGATGTGTGTTTACCGTGGTAGACAGAGATGACCCAGGGATGTGTGTTTACCGTGGTAGACAGAGATGACCCAGGGATGTGTGTTTACCGTGGTAGACAGAGCTGACCTATGGATGTGTGTTTACCGGGTTAGACAGAGATGGCCCAGGGATGTGTGTTTACCGTGGTAGACAGAGATGACCCAGGGATGTGTGTTTACCGTGGTAGACAGAGATGACTCAGGGGTGTGTGTTTACCGTGGTAGACAGAGCTGACCCAGGGATGTGTGTTTACCGGGGTAGACAGAGATGACCCAGGGATGTGTGTTTACCGTGGTAGACAGAGCTGACCTATGGATGTGTGTTTACCGGGTTAGACAGAGATGACCCAGTGATGTGTGTTTACCGTGGTAGACAGAGATGACCTAGGGATGTGTGTTTACCGTGGTAGACAGAGATGCGCCGTCAAGGGCCTCCTTGCTGAACTGTCCACAGAACGCTATGCTGACACAAGACATGGAGTACATCGATAGATAGGTCAGCACCTTTCATAAAACAAAATATCAGGAATTTGGTATAAAGCACAAACAATGCTTTACGGTGTTACGTCTATTTTTAGTAAGGTGGTGAATGACGTAATGCCATTACGTCAGTAAGCATAGTGTATACCAACATCTACTTGTATCCCACAACTGAGAATTTTAAACAAACACACATACCTTCCCATATACAAATGACCGAACTTATTCACGTATTACATAATATCCTCTGAAAACATTATGACGAGTTGTCAGATATGAGATGGTTGGATAAAATGATGTACTAGATATTTACTTTGTATCTAACATTTCCTATTAAATAAAATTCTTTTAGATCCTTCAGATAATATTGTATTGCAAAGATTAAAGAAATTAAATCGAACCTGTATCTATAATTTTTAATTGTGCTTTTGTGTTAAAATTATGTCGTGAATCTCGGTTTTTATGTCACCAATGAGTCAGAGGATGTGAAAAAATGACCATAGCAATTATTTTTATAGTTGGCCTCGGAAGTCTGGGGCTTGAATGGAAAAGTCGACACGATGCTTGTGGGATACTACGTACCATTGGCCACGAGAGCCGAAGGAGCTCTTTGAGTTGGGCCCTGTAACCGTCGTCGTGGAACTTGTCTTTGAGAACTCCACGTGACATGAGCAGCCACTGGGTGGCTCGCTCCCATGATGGGCATGGCATCACCTGTATTGATGACGATCTCTGTGGAGGATGTAAAGTCATGTTAAGTTATCACCACGTCACCAAACTAGGAATCTAATGTGATTATAGGAATTTATTATAGTTTCAGCAAGAGTGATTGCTTAACACAAATTTAGTTCTGTTTCAGTACCAAAGTTTTGGTCTAGAAAGAATGTATATGATTATTCTAGTATGTCAACTGGAGAGTTTTGGCATATCTTAAGCAATTTTTCGCTCAATATATTTCAGTATTGAATTGGTAATTTAAACCAAAATACAAAATTCAAAACGATAATCTATACTCAAATCCTAAGTACTGTTTTGTTTTTCAAAGTACTACAAATTGCGTTCAGGTTATCAAATTCACACCACGCGGTCTTTGTACTAGAAAATAGATATACGAGTGCGGACTGAAATATGTTAAACATTATATACATACCTTGTATTTCACTTTAACGAATCCTCAATCGGAAATCAAATTACAAAAGATATTCCGAAAAATCGTTTCGTGTCACTTCTTTTCCGCAGAAATGAAAGTACTGGGACATACCCGCATACAGTCCTGGGAAGCATGTGTTTCATTGATACGATCTATTAACCACTTACAACCCTCATCAGTGACACGTGCTGATGAAAAAAGGCTCCGTCCTACAGCAGAAATAAACTTGTAAATGATATGTAACATTTACGGTCAATACGTGTATAGTTTATATACCTGTTCCTATGTTTAATTATGTGTAATTTTTATATCTAGATCGGTGAATCTAAATGTCTGACAGTCTTTGTCTGGTCGTGAATTATAATTCAGAAGGTCGATTATCGTTATACTTTTAGTTTATATATGTATACTGTATAAAAATGATCTGGTTTAACCCCTGGTGTTCTCCTAGTTGTTTTTTAGTATTGTTTCAGTGTTTTAAACCACACCTGTAGACATGCACACGACGCTTTCTCTCTCCGATTCAGTATTTACATTTGGTTCCATTTTAATCCAAGGGGTATGTCTTGCACATATTTTCTTGTGAATCTCATCGGGTTGTATCGGTATAAAAGAACGGTTAAGGTGACAGCAAGTGTCTGGTTCCTCTCGGCCGATCTGTTCTCGGAAAGCCATAAACTTCCTATATCCCTCAGCCTCATACACGTACTTTATAGAAGGACATTATCTATAAATATTTTTTTTTCTAATTTCATTTTCAGTACGTGGACCGGTATTAGGGGTAGTACTACATAAATACACTGGACTGTCACATGAACAAGGGTAAAACTATGCGCTGCCCGTTCCATGATAGGGGCATAACAACAAATATGTGTGATGATTTCTACAACAAAAGTAGAACTTGGAACAGTGGTAGACTACGAAGCAAAATTTTGGAATATCTTATTCTATGTGAGATAAAAAAGTAAACCAAACCAGTCATTCATTTAATTATTTATATAATACGCAAAAACATGTACATTTTACAAAGTATATCATATCAAAAGTATCCAGCTCAGTCGTTTTTTCCCCTTTTTTCCCCTAATCCCACCTTGTAACAACTGCTGTGCTTTAACAGTTCAGCACATTTCTTTTATCATAAGCATTACAAGGAGAATACAGGAATCTCACAGTCTCCCTACCATACACCACCCATGTACTGACCTCACCAACCATCACAATTAAGATAAAGTATACAGGAATCTCACAGTCTCCCTACCATACACCACCCATGTACTGACCTCACCAACCATCACAATTAAGATAAAGTATACAGGAATCTCACAGTCTCCCTACCATACACCACCCATGTACTGACCTCACCAACCATCACAATTAAGATAAAGTATACAGGAATCTCACAGTCTCCCTACCATACACCACCCATGTACTACCAACCATCACAGGTAAGATACAGTATACATACACCACCCATGTACTGACCTCACCAACCATCACAATTAAGATAAAGTATACAGGAATCTCACAGTCTCCCTACCATACACCACCCATGTACTGACCCCACCAACCATCACAGGTAAGATACAGTATACAGGAATCTCTCAGTCTCCCCACCATACACCACCCATGTACTGACCCCACCAACCATCACAGGTAAGATACAGTATACAGGAATCTCACAGTCTCCCTACCATACACCACCCATGTACTGACCCCACCAACCATCACAATTAAGATAAAGTATACAGGAATCTCACAGTCTCCCTACCATACACCACCCATGTACTGACCTCACCAACCATCACAATTAAGATAAAGTATACAGGAATCTCACAGTCTCCCTACCATACACCACCCATGTACTGACCCCACCAACCATCACAGGTAAGATACAGTATACAGGAATCTCACAGTCTCCCTACCATACACCACCCATGTACTGACCTCACCAACCATCACAATTAAGATAAAGTATACAGGAATCTCACAGTCTCCCTACCATACACCACCCATGTACTGACCTCACCAACCATCACAATTAAGATAAAGTATACAGGAATCTCACAGTCTCCCTACCATACACCACCCATGTACTGACCCCACCAACCATCACAGGTAAGATACAGTATACAGGAATCTCACAGTCTCCCTACCATACACCACCCATGTACTGACCCCACCAACCATCACAGGTAAGATACAGTATACAGGAATCTCACAGTCTCCCCACCATACACCACCCATGTACTGACCTCACCAACCATCACAATTAAGATAAAGTATACAGGAATCTCACAGTCTCCCTACCATACACCACCCAAGTGCTGACCTCACCAAGCATCAAAGATAAAACACACTATAAAGAAATACTTGGTGTTTGTTATATTTACCATACTATGTGAACATGTTGTGTACTATTTTTCATAAGTTGTCTTCCCCACAGGTGTAAGTCTATCAAACACTACCTATACACTGATCTGATAAACAAGTCACACATCAGGATAAGACTTGACAATAGTATGATTTACATAAATGTAGAATATCTGATATGTCTATTTAAAAAGAGTGAAAAGTAGGTACTGAACACTCACATAACAAATTGTTTATGAACAGAATGAGAACATAATGATAAATGTTCAACATATGATGTTTTTTAATTTTAACCAAATAATATGTTTGTTGATAAAAACACACATCTCTAACACTTGTACATTTAAACATATTCCTCTAGAATTAATCACAAACAAACTCTAATAGAATTTGAATATCTTCAAATTCCTTCAACATCACAATCAACAATATCATCTGCACAGATCACCAAATGCTGAGTTCACGATTTCTGATCAGTGAAGGAAGTCCTTTGAGAATCCATGTTAAAAATTTAAAAACTTCCACAAATGTTCTTCCATACAAATTAATACCAAATATATTTATGAATAGCTTTCACACACAAGTTCTTTTTCAGTGATTCAATCTCACACATTCAATGTCTTTTTGGTTAATAATAGTCACTTAGGCATCACAAACTCTGTTGACTAGCATTGTAGGAGCCTGTTTGTCCAGTCCAAGCTTTCGGCCATTGACCACCAAAACCACAGGTGTATCTACTCTGATACTGGTGTAATCCAGCGTCTGAAGAATGACATTTATACATCATTACCATATTTATCCTGTACTCAGACCAGAGGGATAAAACATTGAATCATTATTGTTTGTTTATTATACAACAAGATATTGTCAGCAATATCAGTAAAATTGCACCATGTTGAGTGTTTGCTTTAATTACCAAGCATGCCATTGTTTTAGATTCCTACAACATCATTTATTAATGAAGAAAATTACAATTTGATATGTTGGTACACAAGAACCCCTGTTTTCTTGCATTAATCATTTGTTTTTGCTGCTTTTTCAGTTAGAGATACAAAAAATGTGAGTGCTTTAAAAAAAGTCATCATTTCATGTACTGCAGTTATTTTTTAATGAAAATATCCACACTTGTTCAAAAAACATTCGTCTATTTATGGAATCTACAATTTTCATCTAAAAAATGTCCAGAACATGTGTTAAATAAATCATAATGTAATTATTGTGTAATGGTAGGTTTTCTGATGACAATTAAAGGGATAAAACCCTTTTTAATATTATCAATATTTTGAACATATTTCAATAATATAGTTACTTACAAGGTCCTTGTGGTTGACTTTGACTTCCTGTAGGAAAGGTTCTGGTATGGCCACAGAATCCCACACCTTCACACCAGCTCCTTGTGCAATGTTATACACATTTACAGCTATACATATTCCTGCTTCATCTACCATACAAAATGTACTGAAAGTGAAAGTAGTCGCAATATGTTAAAATCATTTATATCAATACATGTCCTGACTTCATCTCGATACAAAATTTACAAAAAGTGAAAGTGTTATAGATATGGTTGCTTTATCAATCATTTATGACTCACCGAAAATGACAGCTCAGATCTTACCCATGTTGCTGTCATATCACTTCAGTGAAGACTTGTATTAAACCTTTTACTACTCTTAAACCTGCAGTCATTTCAATAAAGGAAGGTATATTACAACCCTAAAATTGAGTGAATAAAATCTAAGACTACTATAAAACACTTGTGATTGTTTTGGAGGTCCTCTCCTGATACAGCTATACTTACAAAGGCACGGGGTCCTCCCACGACACAGAACACACCACCCTGCCAAGCACCACTTTCTCATGGTTAACCTTACCAGGGACAAGCTCACTAAATGGACATTTGTTAAGAGTGATGACCTTGCCCTTCTGACTGGTATAACTTCCCCCACTGTATGGACCTAAATCTGCCTCTTTCAACTTCTCAATCATGGCTGACAATTTTTTACCTTTTAATTTTCCCTACAAGCAAAACAAAGATATCAAAATAAATATAATTAAGTAACCTCTCATATTTCAAAATTGAAATTATTTTTCCATACCATTTATTTACCATTATATAGACAAGTATCACAATAACTTTGTTTCACTATCTACAGTCTCTAGGTTCATCTCTTACTTTTGTTTGAGTTAGCTCTACAGTTTTTCGTAGGAAAGACATCCATCTGGTTAATCTCTTACTTTTGTTTAAGTTAGCTCTACAGTTTTTTGTATACTTTGTTGCACTATCTACAGTCTCTAGATTAATCGCTAACTTTTGTTTAAGTTAGCTCTACAGTTTTTTGTATACTCTGTTGCACTATCTACAGTCTCTAGATTAATCGCTAACTTTTGTTTGAGTTAGCTCTACAGTTTTTTGTATACTCTGTTGCACTATCTACAGTCTCTAGATTAATCGCTAACTTTTGTTTGAGTTAGCTCTACAGTTTTTTGTATACTTTGTTTCACTATCTACAGTCTCTAGATTAATCGCTAACTTTTGTTTAAGTTAGCTCTACAGTTTTTTGACTTTGACTTCCTGTAGGAAAGGTGTATACTTTGTTGCACTATCTACAGTCTCTAGATTAATCGCTAACTTTTGTTTGAGTTAGCTCTACAGTTTTTTGTATACTTTGTTTCACTATCTACAGTCTCTAAAGATTAATCGCTAACTTTTGTTTAAGTTAGCTCTACAGTTTTTTGTATACTTTGTTGCACTATCTACAGTCTCTAGATTAATCGCTAACTTTTGTTTAAGTTAGCTCTACAGTTTTTTGTATACTTTGTTGCACTATCTACAGTCTCTAGATTAATCGCTAACTTTTGTTTGAGTTAGCTCTACAGTTTTTTGTATACTTTGTTTCACTATCTACAGTCTCTAGATTAATCGCTAACTTTTGTTTAAGTTAGCTCTACAGTTTTTTGTATACTTTGTTGCACTATCTACAGTCTCTAGATTAATCGCTAACTTTTGTTTGAGTTAGCTCTACAGTTTTTTGTATACTTTGTTTCACTATCTACAGTCTCTAGATTAATCGCTAACTTTTGTTTAAGTTAGCTCTACAGTTTTTTGTATACTTTGTTGCACTATCTACAGTCTCTAGATTAATCGCTAACTTTTGTTTGAGTTAGCTCTACAGTTTTTTGTATACTTTGTTTCACTATCTACAGTCTCTATATTAATCGCTAACTTTTGTTTGAGTTAGCTCTACAATATTTTGTATACTTTGTTGCACTATCTACAGTCTCTAGATTAATCGCTTACTTTTGTTTGAGTTAGCTCTACAGTTTTTTGTATACTCTGTTGCACTATCTACAGTCTCTATATTAATCGCTTACTTTTGTTTGAGTTAGCTCTACAGTTTTTCGTAGGAAAGACATCAGCTCTTGCTCTTTTATTCCAGGTTCCTGCCATAAAGGATCCATCCATGCTGCAGAATCAAAGCCTTCCAATGCTGACTGATACTCTTCCTGGTATTTATATGCCTACAACATTGTACTCAGAAATATAAAACTGGCTTGTGCTGACAAACTCTGATGTATTTATCATAATCCCATGTCTGATGATAAGCCCATCCATATCTACTGATGCTTTGAGTCAGAGCATTTATATCAACCCTTGATTAATATGATTATGTTGGCCCCTTGATTCACAGGATTTTGTTGGCCCCCTGATTCACAAGATTATGTTGTCCCCTTGAATCACATAATTATGTTGGCCCCTTGATTCACAGGATTATGTTGGCCCCTTGATTCACAGATTGTGTTGGCCCCTTGATTCACATGATTATGTTGGCCCCTTTATTCACAAGATTCTGTTGGCCTCTTGATTCACATGATTATGTTGGCCCTTGATTCACATGATTATGTGGCCCCCTGATTCACATGATTATGTTGGCCCTTGATTCACATGATTATGTGGCCCCCTGATTCACATGATCATGTTGATACCTTGACTCACATGATTGTGTTGGCCCCTTGATTCACATGATTGTGTTGGCCCCTTGATTCACATGATTATGTTGGCCTCCTGATTCACATGATTATGTTGGCCCCTTGAGCCACATGATTATGTTGGCCCCTTTATTCACATGTCCCCTTGAGATTATGTCACATGATTATGCTGACCCCTTGATTCACATGATTATGTTGACCCCTTGAATCACATAATTATGTTGGCCCCTTTATTCACATGATTATGTTGGCCTCTTTATTCACATGATTATGTTGTCCCCTTGAGTCACATGATTATGTTGGCCCTTGATTCACATGATTATGTTGGCCTCTTGATGCGCATGATTATGTTGGCCAATTGAGCCACATGATTATGTTGGCCCCTTTATTCACATGATTATGTTGGCCCCTTGATTCACATGATTATGTTGGCCCCTTTATTCACATGATTATGTTGACCCCTTGATTCACATGATTATGTTGGCCCCTTGATTCACAGGATTATGTTGACCCCTTGATTCACATGATTATGTTGGCCCCTTTATTCACATGATTATGTTGGCCCCTGGAGTCACATGATTATGTGGCCTCCTGATTCACATGATTGTGTTGGCCCCTTGATTCACATGATTATGTTGGCCCCTTGATTCACAGGATTATGTTGACCCCTTGATTCACATGATTATGTTGACCCCTTGATTCACATGATTGTGTTGGCCCCCTGATTCGCATGATTATGTTGGCCCCTTGATTTACATGATTATGTGGCCTCCTGATTCACATGATTATGTTGGCCCCTGGAGTCACATGATTATGTTAGCCCCCTGATTCGCATGATTATGTTGGCCCCTTGAGTCACATGATTATGTTGGCCCCTTGATTCACATGATTATGTTGGCCCTTGATTCACAGGATTATGTTGGCCCCCTGATTCGCATGATTATGTTGGCCCCTTGAGTCACATGATTATGTTGGCCCCTTGATTCACATGATTATGTTGGCCCTTGATTCACAGGATTATGTTGGCCCCCTGATTCGCATGATTATGTTGGCCCCTTGAGTCACATGATTATGTTGGCCCCTTGATTCACATGATTATGTTGGCCCCTTGATTCGCATGATTATGTTGGCCCCTTGATTCACATGATTATGTTGGCCCCTTGATTCACATGATTATGTTGGCCCCTTGATTCACATGATTGTGTTGGCCCCTTGATTCACATGATTATGTGGCCTCCTGATTCACATGATTATGTGGCCTCCTGATTCACATGATTATGTGGCCTCCTGATTCACATGATTATGTGGCCTCCTGAGTCACATGATTATGTTGACCCCTTCATTCACATGATTATGTGGCTCCCTGATTCACATATTTTTGTTGGCCCCTTGATTTACTTTACACTGTATATTACAGGACTTACCATTGCTCTGTTGTAATGAAGATCAGCATTTGTTTTGGCTACAGGATCCTTCTCCTATTGTCAAACAAAATATTTTATCGCCACATTGTAATTGCAGTACTGCTAACCACAGAATGTTTTAAAATATAATCAGAATTAGATAAATATTCTGTTCAAACTGTTATTCTCAAAGGTTCTTTTTTACTCTTTAAAAATCAAATCAACACAAGTCTACACAAGAAACACTTGATCATTGGTGAAACTGAGTCCTGTTGCTTGTCTTCAGTAACCACTGAGACTTTGATTTCCTTTTTTGTTTTGTTTTCATGACTTGAGTTCTACAATTTTCTGTTACATCAAGTAACATCATTGTGAGCAATCTTAAAGTAATTTGTGTCAAAACTGAACAAAACATTTGTCTATGACTTTAAACTTTTGTTTTGTAGAAATCAGCATCAATGTAGATACTTACAGCTTGTTTGTAAGCTTTCATACATTGTGTCAGAGATTCTGGGTTCTGTACTCCGCTGGCAAAAAAGATGGACAAGTGGGCGTTGGCCAGAATCACTGAAATGTGTACACATGGTCTGTTACACTTCATTTATATGTATACAAACTGTACAGATGAACATTTTCATGGGGGATTAAATTTCAATGTCATTAAAGACCTAAAAACCTAAAATCAAGTACCAAGTAAAATTCTTCTACAGTTTCAGTAAATGTGTACAGATATAATGTGTTGTTTATCACTGAGGCAGTCATTGTGCTTGTCCAGTGAAAATTGTCTGAACTGGAACAACTGTGGAATATGAACCCTACTAATTTAAACACTGATACAGTAATCAGTATATATTACTGTCAACACAAACACATGTCAATTATTTCTATCTACTAAATATGCAAGGATTTTAATTCATAAAAGGTAGAAATCATAATTCAATAGTGATACTACTATTGCATAATTTGAAAACTTTCAAAAAGCAACACTAATAACAAACGCTTAATCAATCACCAAACTGTACTTATAATACCATCAGACTCCATCGTAAAACATGATGGCATTTTGTCTGACCTCTAAACTTTGGTACTCATTCTTTGTCAGAATTAAAATCTTACTCCAAGATATTCCATCATTGACGTCCAGTTGTACTGCCTCTTTAGCCTTGTCTAAACTCTCCTGAACCATCTTTAACCTCTGTGCCTGTGTGCCGGGCATCTGTCGCAGAACCATTGACAAGTTGCGCAGTGATACCTTGTTTTTTGACTAAACAAATTTCAAAACAGGTATTAATTAAACAAAAGATTAACTAAGTGAAAACTTGACAATACAAGGCAAAGACTGAGATATATTGTAACTGTAGAGATTGAGACACATTATAACTGTAGAAATTGAGACACATTATAACTGTAGAGACTGAGACACATTATAACTGTAGAGTAGAGACTGAGACACATTATAACTGTAGAGACTGAGACATATTGTAACTGTAGAGATTAAGACACTTTATAACTGTAGAGACTGAGACACATTATAACTGTTCAGAGTGAGACACATGATAACTGTAGAGGCTGAGACACATTATAAATGTAGAGACTGAGACACATTATAAACACATTATAACTGTAGAGACTGAGACACATTATAACTGTAGAGACTGAGACATACTGTAACTGTAGAGATTGAGACACATTATAACTGTTCAGAGTGAGACACATTATAACTGTAGAGGCTGAGACACATTATAAATGTAGAGACTGAGACACATTATAACTGTAGAGACATATTATAACTGTAGAGATTGAGACATATTGTAACTGTAACTGTTATACTGTTCAGAGTGAGACACATGATAACTGTAGAGGCTGAGACACATTATAAATGTAGAGACTGAGACACATTATAAACACATTATAACTGTAGAGACTGAGACACATTATAACTGTAGAGACTGAGACATATTGTAACTGTAGAGATTGAGACACATTATAACTGTTCAGAGTGAGACACATTATAACTGTAGAGGCTGAGACACATTATAAATGTAGAGACTGAGACACATTATAACTGTAGAGACTGAGACATATTATAACTGTAGAGATTGAGACATATTGTAACTGTAGATACTGAGACACATTATAACTGTAGAGACTGAGACACATTATAACTATAGAGACTGAGACACATTTTAACTGTAGAGACTGAGACACATCATAACTGTTCAGAGTGAGACACATGATAACTGTAGAGACTGAGACATATTGTAACTGTAGAGATTGAGACACATTATAAATGTAGAGATTGAGACACATTATAACATTTTGAGAAAAAAATAGTCAAATCTACATTAGCAAACACCATGAAGAAGCTACTATCAGTTTTTTTAAACAGACACAGGAATTTTACTCTTGTTTACAGGAAAGATTCTGAATAATGAGAGTGAAATTATGACAACAAACATCAGTACAGTGTATAGCAGACATAGTAGTTATTTGGGAAGAGCAACATTAGCATAGTGTGACTAGAATTTTACCAGTTATGTAAAGGTACTTAAATAAGAGTAAATTTCCTGGTATATCAACATTGTGATTCAGACTAAACCGGATGTCAGAGTTCCCAAGGATCAGATTAGGTTTACTATAGAATCGTGAATAAACCTTATGAAACAAGATTTACTAGTTTTTAATTTTGGGAACATTGGTGAAAACAAATAAAACTTCAGGATGAGTTTCATAAAATCTCATTATGATGAAATGAAAAGAAATTAAGATTTAAGTTCTTATAACACAACCAGTGGAAAATTTCAATGTCATGTTGCGATGACTATACAGTCACCTTCATCTGACAAATGACTAGTGTGAAGTGTACTACCACTGATGTATGTAGTGTACAAGATGGTAAGGAACCAATCAACTTTTTAAGCTGTGCTATATAGTCATATGTACATAAAGGTAAAAAATAGTGTAATAAAATCGTAAACAGATCATAGAACAGAAACTACACAAGATGGTAACACTGTACTGTAGTCAATGTGGCTATGGTTTGCTTATCTCTTGGTCACAGATGTAAGACATCTCATTACTACTTTACTTATGTGATAAATGTCCTTCAATATACATATCCCATCAAATTCTTTACAGGTCCTGAAAAAGAATGGCTAAAGATTAAACTATTGCTAAAGAAATCTGTTTCTTGGGATGAAAGTGCAATCACGTTCGTGAGAATCTACTGGTAAGTAGATCAAATATTTAAATAATGTACTGGATCAGTAGATTATCAACACTTGTCAGTACACACTCACATGGTTAAGGGCTCCAGAAAAACTGTTTATGGAGGAATTTATGTTGCCACTTTTCCAATAACATTCTCCAAGCTGGTTCCAAGCACCAACAAGTTTGGGATCCAATTTGACAGCCTTGGACAGAGCTTCCTCAGCATTTGGGTCATGTGAAGGTAGAACATTCAAAATTTTACCCTTCAGCATGAAATATACTGCCCTGTTGGATATTTCATCTAAATGATAATCAAACAAAAGATTAAAATGATTGTCATACACTGGCATGCAGTCTGAAATAAGGAATCAGCTCTGTTGTCATTTAATAATAAAAACCAATCTGTTGTCAGCTCTACTGATGAAATTCACTTTTTATTGAAATAAATTCATTAAAACATAAGTAAAATTGTATGTTAGAAAACTCTAAAATGTGAATAGAATTGAATTCTGTAAGTAATTAGCTACCATAAATCAATCAACATTTACATCATAAAATTGTCAATTTCACAAAAAACATCAACTCTTTTTACAAGAGGATATGTAGTTATCAGACTTTTTAACTGAAAGGATAGGTATAATAATAATTTGAACAGGTTTACAGTTTATTGAAGGTTGGAGATTTGGGTGAGGTTAAGGTCAAGAACATCATTAATATTTATGCAAATCTCTGTATCAATATATCTATATACTGGAAATATATTCTTCTAAGTTTAGATATTTGACCAACCGTTTAAACTTTCTAAATATTCTAAGGTTGATTGCATCTTCTTTTGGACATCATCATTTTTCTGATGTCCCTTCTCCTTGCCATTTATCTCCAGGTAGTGGTCCTTAAAATGGTACAGTTCTTCAACTGCTTCCTTCAACACAGAAAAATCAAACACCTCCTTAATGCACCTTTAAAGAATCATACGGGTTAATCATAAACTCAAAGGATGTATTTTCCTTTCGTCTGAAATTAATTTCTCCTTTACACAAGTAATCATATCAAGGAACTCATGTCAACTGAACATAATCATCAACTTGAAATATTTACTGCAGTATTGGTCCATATTTGTTTGTCCTTTAATCATGTAGACCTGGTGTGTTTATATCTGTGTCAATGTGTGTGAATGTCTTTGTGTGTGATCCTGTGATTGGTGTGTCGTGAGTATAACTCAGACTGACCAGTGACAGATGGACTGTATTACTTACCACAGACTTTACCCAGCACCCATTTCTACCCCCTAGGATTACCACCACCAGACACTCCAGACTAGAACTTGTAAGACATCTAGTAGTCAACATACAGAGTCCAACAAGGGGACATCGTCTACACAGACAATGAACTGCTCTGGGAGCCTGGTAAGTGTGTGAACAGTTGGGACATCGTCCACACAGACAATGAACTGCTCTGGGAGCCTGGTAAGTGTGTGAACAGTTGGGACATCGTCCACACAGACAATGAACTGCTCTGGGAGCCTGGTAAGTGTGTGAACAGTTGGGACATCGTCTACACAGACAATGAACTGCTCTGAGAGCCTGGTAAGTTTATGAACAGTTGTATGTATACTTTTGTTTTTGGTTGAGTTATAATCTGTTCTATATATATATATATGTGTGTGACCGATGTATATTGTAGGTTATTGTTACACATCCTTAAAACACCCAGAAGAATTCATGTCTGAGGCCTATCATGCACCAATGTTGGGTATGAATTTCTTCCTAAAAATAGTCAAAATTGTTCAAGCAGGAACTTTTGTGATATTCTATTAAAAGTTGCATTGATTTATGACAAGTAAATTCTTTTTCAGTGAAATATGTTTAATGAAGGTGTGCTGGCTACTTAGCAACTTGTTGTAACAGTCGACGCCATAGTAACTGTACTGTTACATAGGCTAGAGGTACTGCATCGATGTACAGTACTTGCCCATGTGCAAATAAATTTAATGTTTACAGCTGTATCATGTGTCACGACTATATGAATGTGTCGTGAGCCAAAAAAAATGAATAAGGCTAAGTTTTACATGCTAGTGTAACAAAGTGCAAATAATGATGTTTTATAATTTGTCTTGATTTTAAATTAAATTTAATGTTGCACCGCGTTTATTGTGCTGTTTGCGTGTGTATGTGCGCTGCGTATGGTCGCTAGGCTGTGTACCTGTATACGTGTATGTTCGTACCTGTCACTTGTCTAACCTGTTTACTTATTCTATGGTTCTATATATAGGTGTTACCTCGTTTTGGTATAGTGGTCAGTGTCTTTGTTAGCTTTTGGCGCGGTTTGAGAGAGACATTTGTAGAGGAACTGCGCGGACGTGTTACACACAGTTCGGTTCTTCCTAATTTTTACTATTCTGTGAAGTCTTCCTGAAGATCATATATATGGTATGTACAACATTTAGTTGTCATATAATCTAATAATATATTTGGTTATTTTGAATTATTATTTATTATTGTGAATTTTGGAAAAAGTATGTCTTAATTGGAATTAGCGATAAGGATTGAAATTATTGGTAAAGATTATAAAGTTATTAGAATCATATTAGTATTGGCCAAAACGTTCATATTGTCTGCAAATGTTGTTCATGCATGATCAGTATGTGTTGGTATGTATCTTTTACAGATAATCCATGTACGTAAATTAAGAAGTTTTTATACAGAAGTTCTTCTGTGAAACCCCCGACCCATAGTTGGGGTAGGTACATGTGTATTTTACTGATTGTAGTCAATTATGAATATGATATATATATATTATAGTAACAATATAGAAGCATTTTCTATTCTAAGATATATATTTATGATGATAAAAGTATTCATTGTAAAGATAGATTATTATTCTTGTTTTTTGTTTGAATAGTTTTAGCGTGATAACATATGAAATATGTATTCACTGAGCACTTCATGTACATTATGTAAGGATTAGTAATATCTGTGATATCTGCTTAATTCTTTGTGTATTGTCTTTGTAGGGTTTTTTTATCAAATGGAATAAAAATATGAAGCGTCGATCTGCGTCCTTCTTCTACACTCTATTTTACATTAGTTTGCGTATTGTGTGTAAAGTTGTGGTTTTCCCCGACCTGATAATTGTTCAAGAAGACAAGAAACCCGGTTAATGTTGCTAAGCACCATTACAACGGGGAGATATCCAACAAATAATCGAATAGTTGACATGACTCAACAGCGGTAAGTTAAATGTATCTGATGTACTAGTAGAAATATATACGATATCGCGAGATAGAACATTTTATTTCACTAGCCGGTCCGACGCGTGGTTTTGAGTGAACAACAGTGAACACAACACTGAACAATATGACAAACGTAATTTCTTAAAATATTTCACAAGACACTAATACCTGAAAAGCGTAAAATCACTTCCCTTTTCATTAAAACAACACAAAACCAACCTCTGCTTTTTGCTCAGCTGTCATTTTTGGTATCTTTTGTCAATTGCAGACTTTTGTTTTGATTTTGTCTTGACATGCAGTAACCAACTTAGTCACTTCTGCGCTCAAGACCGAGTTACTCGGATGCTTTACATCGATTTCTAATAAACACTACATGTAGCAATCAAACCCGGATAAAATATTTTAAAAGAGGGTATTGTGGGTGTGGTGCGCGTTTAGGTCATTAGACCGACAAAAAGAATGAATAGATAAATACGAATACTGAGTTGGTAACAAAATAGTATTTCGACCTCCAATCCACAAAATATGGGTAAAATAATAACAGAAGAAAGATTTGCACAAGGACCAATTGAAAAAGTAATGTCCTACCAAGTTGTCCAAGGAGAACAAGGTGAATGAACCAGAAGAAACCCGTCGGATATAAAAACTAATGGAGACTATAGTGGCAACATTTAAACTTACCCAGGCTTCATCAACTCGTTTTTTTTTCGAAACCAAGTTCGTAAGTTGAGGAAGCAGAAAAGAAATCAAAGTACTGAAAGTACTGAGAGGCTAAACGTATTGAAAAATGTTCACAAATAACCGCTAAGCTATATTACTTTCCCCATACTGCTACGGTTTGGAATGCAAAAATTATTAAAATAAGAGAACCAGAGGCTATTTTTCTTAATTTTAAGCAATCTTATATCTTCTTTAATTCTTATTTCAAATTTGACGACAATAATGTGAACAAATCAAAATAGGCAAAAATTAACAAAATACACACAACCATATATTTATCGCCAACAAGCCAAATGATAAATAGCTCTATGATGAAGTTGACTAAATAAAACCTTTGAAATACCCAAGATGTTGCAATTACTATCCTATCAATATTAGGATTTAGACAAATCGAAAGGACTTTATACCTACCTCTTTATTTTGAATGTATTGCAAAGTAATAGTCCTTACTTATTATAATTATATCTGTAGTTGAGGAAAGTAGATAAGGTATACACAGCATTTCAGATAGATAAAAGTGTAAGTAATTACATTAAATGTATTTACATGCCTATCTTCCTTGAAGTATCATGGTTAGACTTTTCTTCCAGTAATTATGTCGGAGAGGACTTATATAGGCTTATGCCTGCTGTCCGATCCTATTAATGCAATTTGTTTTTGTATTAATAAAATATTTTGAAATAAAAATTATGTCTATAAAGGCATAGTTCTATGAGATTAAACCAGACTTCCATATATATACAAAATTTACAATAATTTCACTATAGCTACTACTATTTCTGATCTCTAATGCATTAGATAATATCACCATGACACGCTAAATGAATAAATATGTTATGGAAATATTTCGTTTTAGTTAATTGATAATAATAAACATTGATATTTTGGGGTTTTTTTATACGCGCTTTGTTTGAAGGATTTTTTTTCATTTCAAGGAACTTTGATACACATTAACAAACATTGAGAAATCAGCACAATCAACCTTCATCAAATAAAACTAAAAGACAAAAAATATAAGTTATACTTTTTACTTTTTATCTTCAAAAACTTGAAAAAGTGTCGTGGCGGTTGGTGTGAAAATCTTGAAAAAGTGTCATATGGGCGGGTGTGCGCCAGTCCAATTTTGTGACGTCTAATGAGGTAACGTGGTGTTATATATTAAGACGATCTTGCCACAACAAGGATTAAAGCAAAATTGATGTTCTGTATGTAAGTTTTGTTTGTTTATAAGTGCTGTTAGTTGATAACTCAAACCAAGCCCCCAGACTAGCTTCTTATCATGGCGCCAACTCGCACGTACATTGTTCTGTACGCTTACGTCATGTCGAGAATTCCGTAAAATATATTGTTCAAAATTTATCAATAGTTCAACCACACTGTGCTTCTTTTTTGAAATATATAGAAATCGTATTGTTATTAAAAAATAAACTAATTTTGGATGCTTTTAAAATAGCGATTTGAAAGATCGCGGCATTATTTACGCAGAAAATTGCCGCTAGAGGGTTCTTACTCTTTTCGATATTTCAGCCAATGAGAAGGCCAGGATCGGTAAATTTTGTCTGAAAGGCCGTCGCAGTGGGCTTTGCGTACTGAGTACGTTTAGCCTAAAATCACAAACTAGACGTCATCACACAGCATTGCTGAAGTAAGGTCTGTCTCGAAATCGAAAATACGAAAGGAAAACGTCCCGTACATCATGCATAAGATGCAGTATTATTTCACTCATTTGGGCTTTTTAATCTTATTATGGGAAGACAAATGGTAGATTTGGAAGGAAAATCTGAACGACTAAACTATATACTTAGGGACTTTGAAATAAATCCAGTCGGAAATGGAGCCATATTGGGCCCCACAGTACACCAATAAAAAAAACAGTCCTTTGTACGGTTTTGTAGATTTATGTCACATTCCCAAGATAACTGGGTTATTAACATGAACAACGATACCACGAAAATGGTATATCGGGTGCTCAGTTTGGCTGTAAACCTGGTAGTGGTAATAGAGATGCAATGTTCGAACTTAATTCTTTAATTACAAAATTCTTACACAGTAACAATAGGCGTTACTGTATATTTGTTGATTATAAGAAAGCGTTTGATAGTACTTCACATAATAAGTTAAATGGTTTAAGTTGTGGAAATCTGGGGTCAGGGGACGTTTGCTGAAGGTGATAAATCTATATATGAAAATGTTAAATCGTGCGTGAAGTTGCATGGTAAATTGTCTCCAATGTACGACTTTAAGTCGGTTTATTACAAGGTTAATCTTTATCACCGATTATGTTTTCCTTATTTGTTAATGACACGGAGTCAGAACTTCTTGTATTCAGTTGTCAAATCTACCATATACAACTCGTTAATTTGTTTTTAATCATGTATGCAGACGATACTTTGCTATTTTCTGAAGACATTGTTGAGCTCCAAAATATTCTGGATTTTCTGAAGAGTTACTCGGATCATTGGGACTTGAACGTGAAGGTCGATAAGACCAAGATAGTAATTTTTAGAAAAAGTAAACGATTATTACCAAATAAACGGTGGTATTTTGATGGAAAAGATATAGATATTGTAGATCAGTTTTGTTATCTAGGATTGGTATACAATTATGACGGTGAATTTACAATAGCACATAATAACATAGCTGCACAAGGTAGAAAGGCATATTATCTCCTCAATCGTAGGATTAACAAGTTTGTTTTGAATGTAAAAACTAAGTTATCATTCATATCGTGAAATATTAACACTCCCGCCGGCCATCTCTATTCAAAATTATTCAGTTATTATCTAGTAATAATGTAAAAACTCTCAGGAATTTTGGCAGGTTTCTGATTCATGCTACGGCAAAAAGAAAAGAATGATTAAATACTTTAATTATTTTTTACTTATGCTATTCGAGATATTTTGAGTAGTTGAATGTTTCTTAATTAGTCTATACATTTTCATTTGCCAAAATTAACACTTCCGAATACTGGTGCTTCAGAATACCGCTCTGTTTAAAATTTGCTTGATATCTATGCGTACTTATGGATTTTGTGTCTTAATCTTATTGGTTATGGCTAATGTCCTCCGCCATCTTGGGTAAATGTAATTATTTGTATGTATATTCTCAGTCTTATAGGCTGTTGCATACGGAATGAAATAAGATTTTAAAAAAGCCCACTACAATGTAAGCATATTAACGAATCGGGTTCAAAATATGCCAATGAATGATAGCGGACTAAGACTGGGCTACAAATTTAATTTAACAACCAACAATGAAGGTTTGTTACACGATTGAATATAACACAATAAACCATCATCATCATCATCATCATCATCCTCAATCAATCCATCATCATCATCATCATCATCATCATCATCATCATCATCATCATCATCATCATCATCATCATCATATCATCAACATCATCACCATATCATCAACATCATCATCATCATCATCATCAACATTAACATCATCAACAGCAGCAGCAGCTATCTTTATTTACCCCAGAAGAAGATTTTAAAAACACCTCAAATCGACAAAATGAATGAAGATAGGAAGAGAGGGAGTGTTTAACAAGTAAATTCACTCAACTTTATATTAATATGTTAATGTCAAATAGAACCGCGTAGCACGCACAACGATCCGCACTTTCATTAGAAACAGATTCAGAGCGGCGGTACCCTGGAAATGGGTGTCTGTCTTCACATTTAATAGGGTGTGAAGAAATATGGCATTGTCCTCATTTTCAACTGAAGTGCATGCATCTGGGCCAAACTCGGAAAGAACTTTCTGTAGAAACTTTGTACGGAAGTCGCCTGTATACTAGCAAGTGGAGTTCGTGAATAACGACGTCCAGGAAAGTCTGAGAGCATAGACACCTGGTGTGGACAGGAGATGCTGGCATTGTCAATACTGTAAACAATAAATCAATTAACTCAATGTCCGCAACAGAATCAGGTACGGTCCACATTATGTTTGGTTTGTAAGAGGAATGACACTTTCTCATAATGTCAAAAGCGTGACCATCAGCCATTCGGACATTTAAAGCCGAGTTTTCGGGGGACAAAATGGCAGACTTCACGAGTTCGTGTTTATCCCAGCACTAGTTTGCCGGCGCGACGATTTACCCAAATACACCCAAATACACCTAAATATACCCAAATATACCCAAATATACTCAAATACACCAAATTATTTCCCAAATAAAGCCAAATCATAACCAAATACACCAAAATCTTACCCAGATATACCGAAATCTTACTCAAATACACCAAAATCTTACCCAGATATACCGAAATCTTACTCAAATACACCAAAATCTTACCCAGATATACCGAAATCTTACTCAAATACACCAAAATCTTACCCAGATATACCGAAATCTTACTCAAATACACCAAAATCTTACCCAGATATACCGAAATCTTACTCAAATACACCAAAATCTTACCCAGATATACCGAAATCTTACCCAAATCGTAACCAAATACACCCAAATATACCCAAATACACCAAAAATTTCCCCAAATATACCCAAATATACCAAAATCTTACCCAAATATACCAAAATCGTACCCAAATATACCAATATTTTTCCCAAATATACCAAAATCGTACCCAAATTCGTTCCCGCTTCTTTTTTGTCCGTTTTTGCCCGTTAGCCTATATGGTATTACGGAATTTACATTAATTGCCTTAATAAATGGAAGCTAAAATTAGACAAAGATAGTCTATTTGATCATGTGTATATCTTTTATTAGTAATAAAATATAATACCAGGAACGTATATAACAGACATACGTCAATGATAATACAGAGCCCGTTACGGCACGTTCCTGTAAATCGATTTGGCTTTATTTGAGTATATTTGGGTAAGATTTCGGTATGTTTGGGTAGATTTTGGGTATATTTGGGTAGATTTTAGGTATGTTTGGATAAGATTTGGCTTTATTTGGGTATATTTGAGTAAGATTTGGGTGTATTGGGGTGTATTTGGGTAAATCGTCGCGCTCCTAGTTTGCAGCGTAACGTTGGAAGCGGACTTTAATAGGTAAACTACCTTCTTGTAGAGACCAGCCTTAACAAGTGCACTTATAAACCTGGATGAGGAGTCTATTCCAATGATAGAATGTAGAGGTCTTCTGTCTTTGTCACGTGCAACTCGCGCACGTGCATCGTTTATCATTCATGACGACATTACAGTTCTTAGATGACCCTAAGAATAAGAGATCTCGACCACCATGCTCCAAAGCTGGGTCTGGCTGGATCGGGATATAATTCCCGACCACGACTATATTACATTTAGAGTTATGAATTTCGAAATTCCACTTTCAGTATAACCGTAATGCAGAATTCTTTGGAGAGAGAGCGGAACTTTACTTATAAGGGAAATATCTCCAGCTAGAGTAGGAATTCCGGCATTGACAGTCTCGACTTTCGCGCCGTGATTGCTATTTTCTAAAAGACCAAGAAGATTGTTTATAAACATTTGATAGAGAAAATCCGATAACTCACTGCCTTGTCTTACGCCCGATCCGACAGGATATTATGTGACGTCATCCCGTACCACGTCACGGCATTTGACATACCAATTAAGTTTTGATATATGATTCAATCAAACGCAATCAATCGATAATCTGTAAGATTGTAATGCTTAAGTATGGGTACGGGCGCAGTATCTCAGTATAATGATAGAATACCGTGTGTAATACCTTATTATACAGGGAAAACAAGGTCCGGGTAAAGCCAATATGGTGATTGTTTGTTCACTGAGGCGTGAAGTGATTCGAGTTGCCAGTTACCCCAGGCGTTGAGTAACGACTTGTTATCTATAGTGTTATCTACCTGTTATATGTCATTTCTAGGGTATTAGGCCATAATTAGCGGCGACTTTGTAACACTGACCTACCTAACCAGAACCAGAGTTTTGTCAAGTAAAATTATCATAAAAAATGCATGTGTCAGACGGAAAACGGGTGATTTCTCAGATGTTTTGTCTTGAGAATAACAAAAGTTATTGAAATAATTTTTTTAATTTGTCACAAAAGTTACTGTACGTGTCATTTCGGTTTGAAAATTACAGTTTTCTGAACATTTTCGTCAGGTTGGAAAGTAAGGATTATGTAAAGATTCTTTATACACAACCAGGAATTTTAATATGCCGAAATGACTGTTAGCAAATGAATAAAGCATAAAACCATTCGGCTACGCTTATTTTATTACTTGGTCATAGATGTGCGAGATTGTCAGCATGTCCGAAATTGACGCTATTCCACGACAACTCGTACACATATCACACCTTTGTGTACATGCTTTACTGGTCATTTGTCTGAGGAAGGTGACAGCGTACGGATCGTACTGGTCACCGAAACGTCACATATTAAAATTCCTGGTTGTGTATAAAGAATCTTTACACAATACACAGTTTTCCTTGACTGTTTATTTTGGAAAATACTCGTTAATTGCTTTTGGAGAATCACAGAAAGACGATAAAGTGAAATTTATAGATTTATTTGCTGTGTGTATAGCTTAACAGTGATACACCCCTGATCTAAAGTATGTTACATGCATTTTTATACAACTATGTTAATTGCATAAAGAAAAATACCATTGCTTAATAATATCAGTATCTATCATATCTAGGGACTTCCAAAAGGCCTCAGCTTGAATTATTTATCAATATTTGGACTTAAAAATACACATATTTGTTTTTTCATAGACATCATACATGCTTTACTACGGATTACATAACTATCGCTACAAGAATGAATTCAACAAATAATGTTGTTTTGATAATTAATTAAATTTATATTAGATACTGTACATGTCATTAAAACAAAAATATATTAGTAAATAAATAAATTGTTTTTCCGGATATTTAACACCTTTTGTAGGCACCTATTTTACAATACTCTTATATTTCGCAATCACTCATTGGTCAAATTTTTTGTCCTACAACCAATGAAACATCCTGTTATTTATTGCGCAAGTTGTTCACGAAGCTTTAGGCGAAGGAGAAAGTCTATCGTCTGAAGGACAGAAATCATAATAATTCCATTCCTGTACGCTGTATACATTTGCTGTTTAACCAAGGGTAAGAATGAAAATTCGTTTTATTTCTGTATATTATTCATTCAATTATTTGGTGTCAATTTCCTGTAATAATAGCGTCGTTGCACATCAGTCTGACTATAATTGTGATTATTTTTCTCCGTCATCTGCAGTCACTTGTTTATCTGTTTATAAGATATCAAGCATGTTGTTTTGTTTTATATTTTTGTTATGTATTTATTGATTTCTATGTAAAGATGTTCTTTTGTTTCCGTTTTCATACAATTGTCAAACCAATACGACGTTTTCGTCATTAAAAAGTGGATATATTTGACATACTTTACATATACTTACAACGCAATAAATATAAGTAGACAAGCTTCAAACATACTGTACCAATGATTTTTGGGACTCAGATATTTGAGTTATGGACTCTTGTCTTTGTAGTGGGACTTCGAAACATTTTTTGAACCCACTAGATCTCATGGTATCGGTACTCATCAGAATCTTAGAAATGGACTCGCCTTTAAAATCCCAAATGGAATGCTGCTGTACTGTCAAATTTTACATACCAACTTAAAATTACTAGTATGCTGACTTTGACTGTTTATCAAAATAGTAATACAAAAATACTATTTAGACCTTTAGCATGATTCTACTTACTCAAGTAAGCAATAAAGGTGGAAACAGACGTGAAGAACTGTCACATATATTAGCAGTTGATTAGTATTGTTTTACTATCTCATTGATAAGGACAATACCTGGATTCCTCACTCTTTATATTCAAAAATCTATGTTGCTGAAGGTTTTTATTTTCAGTAATGGATATAGTACTATAGTTAAAAATGAGGTAGAGAAACTTTAGTTGCATTAGTTATCATTATCATATCTTTGCCATCGTTACAACTTGTCTTGCTCTCACAGAATTATTAATTGAGCCAGTGACTGATAATGGAGCATATATAGATCAAAAGCATATAACTCAAGGATGGCATATAATCAGCACCTCCATGATGTCATATTGTTGAAATCCTACGAATATTATACAAAGTGATAACTGCTTCACCATAATGAAATTACCTTTTTATGAAAATTTGTGACAACATCATGGCAGGTCAAATGAAGTTGTAGCTGGAGTTTGTGATAACTTTTTCAAAGGTCATTTTGATAGACCTATGTCTGGTGTGGAGCCAGAAAGAAGTATAATAATGCAGAATTCTCTGATAGCAGATACCATTTGTTGTGATTGATTTTTAGGTCGTTTGCCAAATTAATAGGCACAACATATTGATTATTGGGATGTTAATTAATGTTTTAAAAACGATTCTTGTCTTGTCACTCATTGAGGCCACATTCAAAATTAAAACATTTGAGACAGTGCCAGTTTGCAGCTGATTACTGGGGAAAGACCAGCTGTAATGATTGCATTCAGTGAGTTTTAAATATGATCATCACACACGAACATTTACCAGCTATCTTCAGATCTGAAGTTTTAATATATCGACACCAACTGATCTTGTTGGTAGATGTTGGTGATTGTATATTTTATGCAAGAAAAATTGATTATATTGTGTATGAAAAATGAATGCGTCCCCAGAGGCATTCTTCAGTTTGGAATAAACTGTGGATACATGTGATGATTGTGGAATAAGAAATGCACTAATGAAATGTTCACATCATTGGTTGGACATCTCGGTAGTGGTTTTAACGGGAGATAGATATGTAGGTAATATATATTTTGTATTACTATTTCAATGTCATAGACAAGGTAGAAGAATTTCGTAGGGATTTTATTCTACCTGATACTGCTTGGGATCACATGCAGCAGATTATTAGCTTCGCAAGCTCCAACAAGGAGATTATCTGTGAACAAATGAACAATATCAATGAACTGCAAAGTAACTCCAGCTGGTGATAGCAGTAACATCCCCCCTTTTCTTCATATATTTGTGTTATACCTGTTGCCACTTAAGAAAATCATTTTAGATTATGATAGATTTTTAACAATTCTGCCTGATAATGTACATTTTGTCTGTATGACAAAGGTGCTGTTTGCATTGCATGTCATATCAGTGCCTGGACTGATAAACAGATTTTTTGGTGGATCTTTGTCCAGATATGTTGGCCTTGGGGTATATATCTAAATATTTACTACTGTTTAATTCAGTAAATGTGAGCTCGAGGTTCTTGTGATGTTGTGACCTCAAAGTGATCTGAACCCAATCTCAGACCAATTAACATGGTAGCATATGGGCTGTCACAATATATGTAGCGTAAATCCATTAAAATGACAAATAACAAACTTGAAGGAAGAAAATTACTGGTATGTTTCAGTTTAAGACAGCTTTTTGTTTCAAATACATTAGCAGATATTCTTGTCTGTGTACTCTATTATGACGGTTTTACTTGTAAGATGTTTTATATCTCGGACCAGTTTGACAATATACGCCATACCAAATTGAACATCAAAATATTTCATCAAAATTTGTGAAATAAGAAGCATATGCTGTATTTCATAGATGGTGTAAATATTAAATTCAAACTTTTATCAGTTTTATGACAATTGTGAGTTATCCAATTTTTACGAATCACTATTGTTAGCCTACAGGATGGCAGTGCGCAAGGGGTTCTTACTGTAGGAGAAAATGAATTATCTTTGGTATACCCCTTACCTTTTCAAGTCTGTTCGGAGAACCAAACCCCGAATGTCTTGGTGAAAGATGGATGGGTTTAACCCAACTACCCAAAATAAATAGATACTTGTATATATGCATACTCATTACTTTTCTCCTTGCCGTGTTTTCCATTTTCTTCTTGTGACTTATCATGACTAGGCAAATATAATTAGTGGAAACTTTTATGATATGCTTTGATGGTAATATAGTTAAATGCATAAGATAATTGTGACACAAGAATTTAAAGGAGCCATTTGAAAATAAATCATATCAGTTTAAAAAGGTAATAATTTTGTTGATTTGTTTAATTGAATATTAATGTACATTGAAATGCATAGACTGTGGGATATTATTTGTAATATAGACAATAAACTCTGATTTTTCCACTTTGAATGGAAAATTGATTTTCTGGTGTTTTTTGATATCAGGAAAATTTATAAGCCCTTGTAAATTGTCCTTTCGTATCTGCTATCAATCAGTTCTGCATTCTGGTACTAGGGAAAATTATCTGCAAATAAGTTAGCATTGTTCAGATAGTTGTGTATGCTCACTGTAAGTCAATAAATACAAAGTTGTCAAATACGAAATGTAATACAAATGTGATACAGAAAGGGAGATAACTCTGTATTGATTGGAATTGCTTTGGACATATTTATACATGTACATAACATTTACAGAAATACTTATAAGAATATCAGTATCAAGGATTGATAATCCCCTTAGCCTTACCCATAAATTCTTAACTGATTTTGTTTTGGATGAAATTAGAAATGTACTTAATCATGGGAATACTGAGGATAAGCTGATTCTGTGTATGAAGTGCTAAATGTCGCCCGAGATGGAACTTCTAATTTGCATCATTAATTATTTCAAAAAAAAAAATTAACCTTACCCAGTTTGTAAAAATTATATAACAGTGTGAAATATTAATAAAAGTAATTAGAAAATATGAATGGAAATTAGATATATGTAAGTTTAAAGAATATTCAGATGTGTTTCAAATGGAAAATTGAAGTACATGTATTGCCTGTCTTTTCTAATTCTAGTAAGTAAAAAATTTTAACAAAGTACCTGCATCATGTATTACTATATTTGTTAATAAATAAAAATTGTATATGCTACAGATTTTAAAATTTTAAATGACATGGTGTGTCATACTCATATAACAACTTCATAATGTAATAGTGTGCAGGTTACAACATATAGAAATACTTTAATCATGCAAATGTGTATACCTAGTGATTCATAAGTGTCTTCTACTGTTAGTTTTCAAGCTCGCTCAAGTCAAATGATGTGTCTAAATCAGATTATACTTTAATAAATTCCTTTACATTGAAGTTATGACACTCCTGGCATACTAGGTAATACATGTACTATGTCTAGTTTCAGGAAACATAGTCTCTATCATGATCTGATTTTAATTACTGTACACTGTCATCTGAAATTATGCAGAAATTCTAATTTTTAATTTCTGGTTCTTTTATCTCAGTCATCAGCTTTTTCTCTGACATTATGAAACCTCACTGATCTAGGGATTGTAGATGATGTCACTTTTCATTTTCAAATCTAAAGAGCTTAGTTCTACAGGCCATGTGTATGCATGCCCCTATTTCTGCATGTAACATATTTGTCCATTGCATCCATGAAGATTTTTGAGGATATTTTGATTAGTAATATGTGTCTTAAACTTGTCAGTATCATGATCATCAGCTTATATATATATATGTAGAAGAATAAATCTAGTGGCTCTTTAGACAAAAGGAACTGGCCAAAGTAGTTGTGAAATGCACAGCCATATATAGTAATACTTGTCCTATTTTTACCAGCTCCAGGCCAGCCAAAACAATTAAAGTATCTCCTTCTGTGACGGAATATAAGACCTGTAGCTGGTGTGCCCCAGGCTCTGGGTTACACACATAAAAAAATGATGACAAGTGACAGTGACGCTATCAAGTAAAACACCTATATAGTCCTTTGTCCTTGAAGATTTATATCTTTACTCTCATTCTAGATGATATGTATATTATTCAAGAGCACAATATTCATTTAATAGTAAGTACAGCATACATAATGTTTGAATATTGATATATTGGATTCATGCACTGGTGCTGTATGGTGTTTGAAGATAAAGACAAAATATGTCTTTTCCTAATATATCAGACTTGACATTGACACTGAAAAAGCAGTTTGGTAAGCACTGCATAATGATCAAGTTGATCTGTTTGATTATGCAATCACCCTATAAAATAAACATCAATCATCTTATTGATTGCGTTGGCAGTCACTGCTATCCAGTGTACAATAACATTATTTATCACCTGTCATAAATACCAGGAGAGTCATCCTATTATAAGCAATTGTGTGATGCTATTTCCATTTCATACATTCAACTGGAACCAGCCATCCTTCTACACTTGTATTTGTCCAGTAGAATCTTATTTGGTGTGGAAAATATCTGCAATTTTGGTAAGATAAACAGGAGAAAAAATATCAGAATTTCTTTTCAGTCCCATAAAAGCTGAACCAATTTTAAAGAGTGCCATTACTTCAGGTCATTATCTTACTGACTTATCTTCCCTTTGTTTGAAATTTATAGGATAAGTTATTTCAGAGATTAAATGTTTTCAAATCCACTCTTTTATGATCTAAGGTTAATTCTAGAGACAGAAATCAGTCTAATGTATTTTAATAGTAGAATTATTTATGAGAATTTCATGTTGAAATCTGAAGAAAAAACCCCGAAAAATGTTTTATTTTTTTCTCTCAATTTCCAATATTCAGTGTGTTATGATGACACTTAGCTTCAGAGTTGGTAACATTTATCATTGTGATTTAGATAGTGTTGTCAATGTTGGTAACTAGAGTGCTTATAGCTTCAGGTTGATATATGGCTTTAGCATAATAAATTTGTCAGGCTAAGAGAGATCATCACTCTCAACATGTTCAGACTGTCAGCATGGATCAATATCATTATGTTCAAAAATCATTTATATACCAGCTATAATGTGTCTTCGTCTCACAGTCACTCGGATTGTAGTAACCCTTCAACAATTTTTATTTTTGAAAACATTTTAGTTTTGTGAATAGGATCAATGCAAAAATAGATTACTAAAATCTTAGGTTATTAAACCATGTGCAAATAGGTCATGAACGGGATATTCAGAACATTTAAGTTAGGATTTCAAATGATAGTTTGTTTCATTTTTTTTTATGAGAAGTTCACAGAAAGATCTTTTCATTTTCTGACAGGAATTGTATGTCTCAATTCATCATATTAACAAACATACTATATTTAGATGTTATTTTGATCATGATTTGACTACAGCAAGTTTGCTTTTTATTAGCTTATCAGTGTGAAATATCATTTAAAATTGATAGAAAATAAACCTAGTAATGTATTTCCAATCCCAGCAGAATTATAAATGAACAGCGTATAGACCTGTGTATTTACCCAATATACTCCACATGAAATATATGATCCAGTCAGTGAATTAGTTTTGGATTCCCCAACATGCTATATTTAGACAGTGTAATATGTCCAAACTGACATTAGGAAAGATATTTTGATGTTGACATTAGTTTTAAAATCGTTAGAAAGAGATCTAAAAAGGTACAAAACAGAAATTTGTCAAATTGTGACTGTTTTAGTCCTGCTCAGGAAATAACTTCTCTCAGTGCAGACTGAATGGTGATGGTGATATCAGGATTCAGTATTCATGTCTATGAATTTAACAGAGCTGTTAATATATTAAATTAAAGGTATATAAGGTAACTTGATGTTTATCATCATGCAGGGGTCTTAATTAAAGCTGTTCTGTAACTCTATTATGAATTGTGAAATATCCCATGCAGTGCAAAGATAGTTATAAATAAACCAAATTTGTAATATCTTTTCTCATCACGTATCAATTCTTCTTATCAACTTAATAAATTGATATTTTAAGCTGTATCAAATACAGTAGATAATACACTTGATAATCTGATGAAAGTGTAGGAGGAGTCGTGATCAGTTTCACTTTTATATAAAATAATTATATTTCCTAGGATATGAAAATAATGGTATAAGGTTAAAAATATGACAAATAGATACACATGTAGGGAAATGCAGAATTAGCAGGTATATAAGGGATTTAATCCTTAATTAATTATGACCTATGACTTCATGTCACCAATGAATAGGAATATATCTATACATATATACACATATCCAACAAGAGACCAACTGCAGCTTCAGGTTTATGAATGTTCTGGCAAAATATACAGTAATTTACATTTGGATATGGGGCATGAAACACATTATTTTCTTGACATAGTGCAGGTGAGATATCACAAATTGTCTTAAGTGGGTGAGTAATTTTTAAACATTTCGCCAAGGTGACCTGGTTTTACAACATTTTCTGATGCAGACATAATTTTAACAAGTCACGTGATTCACTTGTACAATTTTCATTTTCATTCGTTATTGTAGCTGGATTGTTTATAAATTTGGCTCAGCTACGTTTTAAAAGAGTTAATGCTCTTTATATAATTATATTTCATTTGATTCATATCTAATTAATCATGATGCTGTCATTTGATTTTATATAGTCCTAATTGGCATCACTGTAAAACCTTAATTAGAATATTACTTTTCAAATCCATTTCCTCATCATCAATGATAATTGTGTTTAAGATAACAGTATGTGGAAATATCACTGATTGTTATCTGTATCAATTGTTAATACATATTTCGCAATTAACATTAATGTAAGTCATATGCATAGAGAGTATGTGACTGTGCAGAATCCAATGCATGTTAAAAATTACTACATGGTGTGTACCAGATTTTAGATTTGTATTTAAACATAATTCTTCTCTCCAGAAGTAATAGTTTTTTATATGACGGCAATAAAAATATTCTTAGCTTTTCTTTGGAGGGCAAAAATAAAGCATACTTATGAAAAAGATTACCAAGAGATGCTTATACCTGATGTATATATGCATGTATTTCGCAATATTCATTTTCATTGTCATCATGCCTTGTTGGTTTCCACATCAACAACTATGACATCATAGAGAATGATTAATATGATTCATAGCCCATGGCTTTCATTATAAATTGAACAAAGTATATTGTGGTATTAAATTTTAGTAATAGTTAAAAAAAAAATTTATCAACACACGAAAAGAATCTTAATTTATTATTGTAAGCCTAAATTCAAAAAGATAAAACAAATTGATGTATGGTCATTTTCAAGAAAATTGCTTGGAACAAATATAATATTTTTGATTGATCACTCTGATTGCTTAAATTGACACACTAATTTTTTACATACATGTATGTATCACTCTGTGTGTGTATTTGAGCCCAAAGCTGTAATAGTTTGTTCTTCAGGATCCAACATACATGTGATGGCTAGATCATGTTGTATGTCACTGACTTTACATGCATATAGATTTTCCACAGCCTGATCATAAAAATGTATAAAACACACAATCCATCAAACACTTGTGGTTTTATATCATCATACATTGTATAAGGTAAAAAAACCTTATCACTTCAAACAGTGAATGGCTATAGGACACAAGTGAGGTTAATATGGAATTTAATTAATTTCGTTGAATTTACGTCAGTAACGCTTGGTTTGCCACAATGCTAGTATGTGTACTGGTACGTAGTGTGGCTGAGTAAGGTAGGGACACCTGTGGATTTCACCTCATTATAGCGTCTACCATGTGCAGCAAAACACACTACATCCTCCTATCCCAGGTATGAACTCAGCATCAGTGTATTGATTCATGGTTGGAGTATTGGGAGTGGGATTTATCTTTCTATTTCTACAGCATCCAAGGTTGTATTGCGTCTTTCAATGTCATTGGGGACATGCACATGTCATGGCTTTGATTTTGTCTTGTCCCACATGTGTCGTATGTGAAATAAGACTTGAAATTTGAACTTCGTCTTCTATAACTGAAACTTGTCTTTAAAATAAGTGTATGTACTGATCATGAGGATTAAATATATATGTGCATTAAACCTATCATTATGGTTAATGCATTTTCTTTAAATGATGTTGCAAAAAAAAAACCCAACAACATTAGATTCGGAATTACTGGTATATTTAGATAACTGTGTATGTATTGTTGCATGAAGTTCATGTTCTCATTTGTAAAATACTCAAATTGTTTACATTTTGTTTTCTTTTTTTATGTTTATATATATGTATATATCCAAATTTCCTGTTTTGTTTCAATTAACGTAGAACAGTTTATGACATCAAAGTTATTTGAATTGTTAATGTTGTTATTTACTGTTTCATTATTTCTGTTCATGATTGCTTTGTCTACAGGTTTTGATATTTAAGATTGTTTAGTAACCATGGAGACGAACCCATTACTGGATGACAGCCATGATAAGGAGGTCAGAGAGAGGGAAATTCAGCTTGATTTGGTTTTGCATGCTACTTTTCAGTGTGTTCTAATCGTTTGTAGTGTTTTCACTTTCCACTTTGTTTTTTTACTTGTACTACCTTTGTTTACTCCTTGTATATTCCACTTTCACTTTCCACTTTTGTTGTGCTGATTAAATGAACCTTGACTGCTTGACTATTTTTCCCATGCAAAATGAGACTTTGAACTTAAAAACTCAAAGTTCATTGTCATATTTGTGATGTAAAACATGACTTTTCGATTATCATCCAAAACACATAAGTTCTCTACATTTTCTAAAAAAACTGAGTTCATTGCTTAAATAAATCTGGTACTAAGGAAAGTCATATATGAAATTTTCACTTTGAACAAATCTGTAATTGTGGCCTTACCAATGACATATAAGTTTTGATTATCATCTGGTCAAGGTAAGTCAGATGTGATCATCATCATACATGATAATAAAACCCATTCCGTTGTTTTAAATTACAAAAAAAAAAAAAAAAAATTCATATTTTGTAATTTTAATTGTGTTAATACTCAGAGTCTCATTTTGTTTGTCTTCAGTTTGTATTTACACATGTTGTATATAGCTAGTGTATTATAGAATTCAGCATATGTATTTCTATTATTTCATTATACCTATATTTCTTATTTACAAAGCTTCTTTTCTCTCCACAGAAAACACAATAAGCTTTGATAATTTATGTGTTTCTTTTATCGCTGAGATTTACCAGTCCTTGTTGATTTGTGGTTTTACTTTCTTTTTCATGTTTTTTAAAGCTGTTCTTCTGCATAGTCAATTTGAATCAAAATTTTTAATAATTGAATTTTCTAATTAATTAGAATTGTTATCAATATATTTACAGAGATGTTGATTTTTAAGTTAATTTTTGAGTGTAAATGATTTCATTAAACATCAAATTGATGCTTGCTGACAAGTATTATTTTGCTCTAATGTAAGCAGCAATAAATAATAGTCTATGAGATTTTTGTGAACAAAGATTTGTGATATTGTGGTGTCTGTAGTTCTGTAGCAGAAACCCAAATTCATGTTATAGTTGTTTTCTTCCATGATTTAAATAGAAATTCTCCTGTAGTCTTCCTTGTATGTAGATGTAGTGTTGTCTGTATCTGTGTTACACGCTATACACATCACCTTACATGTTGATAAATTTAAGACCATAATTAGCAATATGTAGGTACATATGTATATATACAGCAGGGACAGTTATACACATATAGGTGCATAACTAAATTTGTTGAAGTAACTGTTTAGACAGTGTAAAACATGAAATGAATACAATTTGAATGTACATTACAAGTATTTTCAAATTCATACAGTCTTATAATTTTTTCTTTCCAATATTTTTGCTGTCTGTAGTCCTGCTGGCTTTAATTGTAAGCAAAAAGTGCACATTTAAAAAAAAAAAAGGAAAAATTCTTTAATCTCTGATATGTAAAATGTGTTAACAAATTCAGCAAAAAAGATATTTTGTAACTTAACAACTGATTCCAAGTAATTATAGGCTAGCCTATTTCTGTTGTGGCTCAGAATACCAACAAATGCTGACATCATCGTTCTATGATATCCTCACCGATTGTTATTTGGGTTGAACATTATGTGTTGATTTATTCAATGGTATCTTGGTGAATTAGACAGTTTGATGGTATGACTGAATACTATGATTCATCATGATGATTGATGAACTGATTTTCAGCAGGTTACATATTAGTTTTCTTCCATCTTCTATGTGGCTATATTGATATCTTACCAATCAACTTATCTACTTGTAATACTATCCTGAATTCATATATGAAGCTTTTATTTCTTATCTGCATTAATTGAAATTTTTTGTATCTTTTTTCCTGCAGTCCTACTTAATACCATCAGTGTTTATACATAAGCATGCAGACATCTGCTGAATATATACCCCTTGCATCTGTACTGTGCATTTGTCTAATACCTCACCAAACAAAGGATGTTTAGAATTACCCTTATTATTCCATTCTGAAAGAAAATGTTCTAGATAAATTAATGATTCTGGTTAATGTGAAAAATAATAATAATAATAAGCAATTCAAAGATTTGTCTGGATGATTTAAAAATGTACGAAAGCAATTTTGAAATGTCATTGACATATATAAATCGAAATAAGTGCCTAAAATATCTTGTCATTGGGATATTTGAATACTAGTAGAATTTCTCTTGAAAAATGAGAAAAAGGGGTGTTATCCCTTTGGAATAGGTTTGCGAAATAAGTCCTAGAAATTGTGTAATATGTGCCATACCTCAATCTTGAAAACATACATCATGTGTTTGGTTTTGTCTTTGATTCCTTGTATATTGTCACTATAACTATATAGCTAGCTTACAGATACTGCTTCCGTCTAATAAAGCTTTATCACTCAGCTTTGAACTATAGATTAATTCCTTTATCATTCAAACCTGTTATCAGGATGTTTTCTTGCATTGCAACCATTCGTGAAGCCAGTAAATCCATTATTATCATGTGTTGAACAAAATGATAGCCCCAAATACAATAAAAAGATATATCTGTCTTGATTTAAAGGTTATGTTGGTCAACAAGGTATTCATCGACTGGCTGCAATTATTCTTTTCTGCCTCTGCTTATACACGTGCATGTAAAGCTTTTCTGCAAAATATTGATCCACCCAAAACAGTGCTAGCTATGTCTTTATCCAGCCTCATTTATGTGAATATTAAACCTCTTCCATATAGACATTTTTGGGAAATGATTACAAAAGATTTATTTGAAGTTATTTCATTTTCAATCGGTTTATGGTTATTTAATTTTTTTGTTCACTAATTGTCATTGCATGTTTTAAAATTATTGTTTTCATTCTAGAGAAAGAATGCATGTAAATGTTTTTGCATTGAGCTATTTCCATCGTTAAAGCACAACATTTTATTTCATATTAATTTTCCATATTAATAATGCTATCATTTTGCATACTGTTATGGCATTTTATTTCAATTATACCATGGGTATTGTGTTAGGTGGCAGGGATTTGCATCCTAGAAAAGCAATATATGAAAGGAAATGCAGTTATTTGTTTTGCGTTAGGTATACATGTTCATGTACTTTCTAAGTGTTGTTATAAATGAGCACTGATTTTGCATTCCTATGTTTCCATCTTAGGAGAGAACTATGGAGAGGATCACGGACATTGAGCTGAGCAGTATCCAGTCGGAGAATCCTCAAGCCAGGTCATTTTCAAACAATGCCACTTCAATACTGATACAGGTGCAGTATATTCATTATTGTCCCAACATAACCTCGAAGTAATTTCAAATTTTGATGGGGATGTTTGTCTTTGGCGAAAAGTGCTTACATTTTGATATTTGTTGAAATTGAAGAAAACATTGCAGAAATCTTGAGAAGAATACTTTAATTCAATTTTGTTTTCACAAAACCTGGAACTGATATAAAGAACTAAGTCCAAGTGACCTGTATAGTGTACCATACAACCTATGATCATAGTGACCCAGTTGCAGAGCTTGGTCTAGACTTCCTAAATGGAACATCTTGACCCACATACAAGATCTAGTGTCAAAAATGTATTAGATTTTCTATTTTTTTCCTGATCAATAAGAATACTCAGCTTTTAATCTTCAAATTGAAACTCTAGAATTTTGATGTGTATGGATACAGTGTTCCACAGTTGTTTGAATGCTATCATAGATGTAGATCTCGGATCATACTGTGTAATTACACATTGTTACACAGTTGTTTGAATGCTATCATAGATGTAGATACTGTGTAATTACACATTGTTACACAGTTGTTTGAATGCTATCATGGATGTAGATCTCAGGCCATACTGTGTAATTACACATTGTTCCACAGTTGTTTGAATGCTATCATAGATGTAGATCTCGGGCCATACTGTGTAATTACACATTGTTACACAGTTGTTTGAATGCTATCATAGATGTAGATCTCCGGCCATACTGTGTAATTACACATTGTTACACAGTTGTTTGAATGCTATCATGGATTTAGATCTCAGGCCATACTGTGTAATTACACATTGTTACACAGTTGTTTGAATGCTATCATGGATGTAGATCTCAGGCCATACTGTGTATTGACAATGTAACACAGTTGTTTGAATGCTATCATGGATATAGATCTCAGGCCATACTGTGTAATTACACATTGTTACACAGTTGTTTGAATGCTATCATGGATGTAGATCTCAGGCCATACTGTGTAATTACACATTGTTACACAGTTGTTTGAATGCTATCATGGATATAGATCTCAGGCCATACTGTGTATTTGTTTGGTTGAACAATTGTAGTATGTTTTATGAACCTAAGGTTTGATAGGACCAGGATAGCAATGTTTACAAAATATTCAAGCTCTCATTGTTATCCCTTTTGACTTCTTACCTCTGGAAATTTTGGCTCAGACAGAAGTTCATCAGGGATGCTATGCAACACATGTCATAATACTTTCATTTTTGAATAACATTATACAGCTAAAGGTCCATGTTCTTCCTTTTTGGTCTGTAGCTGGTCGTGGTATTGTAATAACTGTATCTTTGTAAGCCTTCTTCAAGATTTACAAATTCTTCAAAGGCACTTGAATTAGCTGAAACTTTCAGAAAGTGTGATAGGAACCAGTATTTACAAGGCAAGATATTCCTCGGGGATACTTAGTGGAAACTCTTTTTCTGATATTTTGACATTTTACTGTAAGGGAAACATTATCGATACAAAGGTTGACTTCTTCATCATTCAAAGAATATTCACGAGAACGCCAATATTTACGAGAGGATTGCCCATAGCTTTGTTCATTTCATTTTTGAAATCAACATTTGCCTGGAGGTTTCAGTGATTACCCCTGTGTACTATCATACCAACAATATTGGCTTCTTGAAGCTTTCATTCTGCAGCAGACTAATGACTGCTTTCTGCCAACTGGTGGTTATAATACTTTATAGCACCTTACCTAAGTGTAGATTAAAGCTGTTCATTCCCAGATAATGTATTGGTCTCTCTCGTGATGACATCACTGTCTTTGTGCCCATTTGTAGTACATACAAGTGTGTGTTTGTTTAACAATATGACTTCCATAGTTCTTATCTAGCAGCAAGTCCATGTCTGGTAATCAGCCAGTCTGCTTCCATTTTTGTTTCAGTAGAAGTACAAACAAGTGTTGTTGTGTAATAACCCCACTCCCTAATTTCAGACAAAATTGTCTATTGTCCCTTGGATAGTAGTGATCGTCTAATCATTTGACATCCTTTGATGCAATTGTCAATTGTAATTTTTCAGAATCGATCTTCGGTACCTCAATATTTTCTTGTGTTTTAACAAAAACAAATTCATATGCTCATCAACATTACTGTACCTGTTGCTTATTAAAAACAGCCTTCTGATGAGCTTATTAGCTTATATGCATGTAACTGTAGAGGAAATTCCTATAAAATTTCTTTAAACTGCAGTAGGTTTTGATTCTAGATCTGGACCTGCCATTTAGCTCTTGTTACCTGTCTGGATATGCTTCCTGTCTGATGTATAAAGTCTGACCTTCCCAGGTCACTTGTAGGTGTACATGTTCTTGCCACATACATGTCATATGTCAGACATACATCTAAACCAGTAGTATACTTAAAAATTCTGTACAATATATTCCTTGTGAGACATAGGGAATGTGAATAAGTTTACAAGTTAACAGTTTCTAACATATCTGTTATACAGTTTAGTGTGGAAAGCTGCATGCTCTGACTACCAGCTTGATTGATGATTCATAATGCCATTTTAATTACATAGAAATAATTGTATGCAGCATTTGTAAGCTGTAAATGTGGTCAGAAAGATCAAAACAGATTGTTTTATAACTTCATGGAACATATGACCTTATTATAATGTAATACTTTGAAAAAACATTGGTAATTCATTGTAAGCTATCAATTAAATATCTTATTCTGCCGTCTGTGACACACATGCATGTACCTTATTTATCAGGCGATAAGTCCATGTCTGGTTATCAGCTCACTAATTAAAGTGCTGCTGAATAAAATGTTAAACAATAAGCTGGTCCCTTGCCTTTGAAAAAGAATTTAATAAGGTATGTGTTTGTCCCTAAGCTTATTGTCCTGTAATCAGGTATGTGTTTGCCCCAAGGCTGATAATAAGGTATGTGTTTGCCCCAAAGCTGATAAGGTGTGTTTGTCCCCAAGCATATTGTCCTGTAATCAGGTATGTGTTTGCCCCAAAGCTGATAAGGTATGTGTTTGTCCCCAAGCTTATTGTCCTGTGATCAGGTATGTGTTTGCCCCAAAGCTGATAATAAGGTATGTGTTTGCCCCGAAACTGATAAGGTATGTGTTTGTCCCCAAGCTTATTGCACAGTAATAAGGTATGTGTTTGCCCCAAGGCTGATAATATGGTATGTGTTTGTCCCTAAGCTTATTGTCCTGTAATCAGGTAATTGTTTGCCCCAAAGCTTATAATAAAGTATGTGTTTGTCCCTAAGCTTATAATAAGGTATATGTTTGCCCCAAAGCTGATAATATGGTATGTGTTTGTCCCTAAGCTTATTGTCCTGTAATCAGGTATGTGTTTGCCCCAAGGCTGATAATAGGTATGTGTTTGCCCCAAAGCTTATAAGGTATGTGTTTGTCCCCAAGCTTATTGTCCTGTGATCAGGTATGTGTTTGCCCCAAAGCTGATAATAAGGTATGTGTTTGCCCCGAAGCTGATAAGGTATGTGTTTGTCCCCAAGCTTATTGCACAGTAATAAGGTATGTGTTTGCCCCAAGGCTGATAATATGGTATGTGTTTGTCCCTAAGCTTATAATATGGTATGTGTTTGTCCCCAAGCTTATTGCACAGTAATAAGGTATGTGTTTGCCCTAAGGCTGATAATATGGTATGTGTTTGTCCCCAAAGCTGATAATAAGGTATGTGTTTGTCCCTAAGCTTATAATATGGTATGTGTTTGTCCCTAAGCTTATTGTCCTTTAATAAGGTATGTGTTTGTCCCCAAGCTTATAATAAGGTATGTGTTTGTCCCTAAGCTTATAATAAGGTATGTGTTTGTCCCCAAGCTTATAATAAGGTATGTGTTTGTCCCTAAGCTTATAATATGGTATGTGTTTGTCCCTAAGCTTATTGTCCTTTAATAAGGTATGTGTTTGTCCCCAAGCTTATAATAAGGTATGTGTTTGTCCCTAAGCTTATAATAAGGTATGTGTTTGTCCCCAAGCTTATAATAAGGTATGTGTTTGCCCCAAAGCTTATAATATGGTATGTGTTTGTCCCCAAGCTTATAATTAGGTATGTGTTTGCCCCAAAGCTTATAATATGGTATGTGTTTGTCCCCAAGCTTATAATATGGTATGTGTTTGTCCCTAAGCTTATAATAAGATATGTGTTTGTCCCTAAGCTTATTGTCCTGTAATTATGTAATAAGCTCATCCCCTGACTGTAAATAAGAATTTACATGTTGGTCTTAAAGCTGTTTGCCCTATAAAAATTGTGTTGGCCCTCAAGCACTCTCTTATAAATACAAAGTCAGTTGTACATTGTACCCCCAGTATTCAATCACTCTCCTATAAATACATAGTCATGGTACACTGTACCCACAGTATTCAATCACTCTCCTATAAATACATAGTTAAGGGTACACTGTACCCCAGTATTCAATCACTCTCTTATAAATACAAAGTCAGTTGTACACTGTACCCCAGTATTCAATCACTCTCCTATAAATACATAGTTAGGGGTATAAATACATAGTCAGGGTACACTGTACCCCCCAGTATTCAATCACTCTCCTATAAATACATAGTTAGGGGTGTACTGTACCCCAGTATTCAATCACTCTCCTATAAATACATAGTTAAGGGTACACTGTACCCCAGTATTCAATCACTCTCCTATAAATACATAGTTAAGGGTACACTGTACCCCAGTATTCAATCACTCTCCTATAAATACATAGTCAGTTGTACACTGTAACCCAGTATTCAATCACTCTCCTATAAATACATAGTCATGGTACACTGTACCCCCAGTATTCAATCACTCTCCTATAAATACATAGTCAGTGGTACACTGTACCCCCAGTATTCAATCACTCTCCTATAAATACATAGTTACACTGTACCCCAGTATTCAATCACTCTCCTATAAGTACATAGTCAGTGGTACACTGTACCCCCAGTATTCAATCACTCTCCTATAAATACATAGTTAGTGGTACACTGTACCCCAGTATTCAATCACTCTCCTATAAATACATAGTCATGGTACACTGTACCCCCAGTATTCAATCACTCTCCTATAAATACATAGTTAAAGGTACACTGTACCCCCAGTATTCAATCACTCTCCTATAAATACATAGTTAGGGGTACACTGTACCCCAGTATTCAATCACTCTCCTATAAATACATAGTTAAGGGTACACTGTACCCTCAGTATTCAATCACTCTCCTATAAATACATAGTTAGTGGTACACCGACCCCAGTATTCAATCACTCTCCTATAAATACATAATTAGGGGTACACTGTACCCACAGTATTCAATCACTCTCCTATAAATACATAGTTAGGGGTGTACTGTACCCCAGTATTCAATCACTCTCCTATAAATACATAGTTAGGGGTACACTGTACCCCAGTATTCAATCACTCTCCTATAAATACATAATTAGGGGTACACTGTACCCCAGTATTCAATCACTCATCTATAAATACAAAGTCAGTTGTACACTGTACCCCAGTATTCAATCACTCTCCTATAAATACATAGTTAGGGGTACACTGTACCCCAGTATTCAATCACTCTCCTATAAATACATAATTAGGGGTACACTGTACCCCAGTATTCAATCACTCATCTATAAATACAAAGTCAGTTGTACACTGTACCCCAGTATTCAATCACTCTCCTATAAATACATAGTTAGGGGTACACTGTGCCCCAGTATTCAATCACTCATCTATAAATACATAGTTAAGGGTACAAAATACTGTTGTTTTTTAAACTGACCAACTGTTCAACATGCCATTAGTCATAGTAATGTCTTGGTACTGAAGTGAAGAGTGGCATTGTCTACATTAGAATTTGGCTTTAATGAAATCATAGACTTGCTTGACATTATTATACATTTTTCTAAATTTCTTATGAATATGTATTACTATAAGTTGTAGAGGTAATTTGTTTTGTGATCAGTAGAATAAACTTAAGCCACTGTCTGATCAAAGTTAAGTTGGTAATCTCATTCAATAGATTGACTTGTGGCCAACGTAATATGACATCAGCACTCCTATGATTAAGATCCTCTCTTTATTCTTCAGTGATGATGAGTTTTTTTGTATAGTTTTACCACCTCAGTTCTGTTGTGTATTTATTTTATTATTTGTGTTGGTGTGGATTAAACACACACCATGAATTGGTAAATAACCCAAATATATTTCACAACAGAATAAGATCTACCCATCCCAACAATAGTTGAGGTCAGGTGGTTACTATCTAATTCTATTTAGTTTACATCTACTTTTCTGAACCACATTATATACCAGTAGCAGCTGATTAGGAAGGACAGAAGCTTTTTAAAAACACCCATTTGTTGCAATCATGAAATTATTGGTCTAAATGAAATATATAAATATAAGCTTTATTTATTTTACAACAATTGCAAAACAAGTTATTTCAACTTATACTAATCAAGCTTGCTTGGCCAGATGTAAGGTTGCGAGGGGTCTTATGGGAGGAAACAGGAGTACCAGGAGAAAACCCACGTGGTCATGCAGCTGACCACATACCTTTTCATGTCCTTTCTGGGAATCAAACCCCGGACAGGCTAGGTGAAAGGCGAGTGCGTTACCACTTTGCCACCCGACCACCCATTATTGGATTCTTGGTCATAATCACTTGTTTGTTATTTCAGTTTTATTTGTAAAAGAACTCCTCGCAATGTTAACAGTAAGATATATTAATCTAATAAAATTATGATATTTTAATTTTAATTTTAATTTATATGGGAAATAATGAAATAAATTGGTTATTTGGTTAGTTATCTTATTTCTGTTGGAGAGAGTTGACAGATTTTTGTATTTTAGTTGATCGATAATATAATTGATTAATTAATTAATTTCAACCCTGGTGCAGATACTAGCCATAATATACCTCATTGACTAGAGAGAACTTTTATTTAGCTCAGACGGGTTGTGGCAGAGTAAGGAACAAGAGGTTCTTTCAGGGTTTGAATCCTTGCGGAGCATTGAAAAAAATAATGACCTGTGTGATACAACTATTGTATCCTACTAGCATTGTGAAAAGAAGCAGTTTGTATGTAATTTATATAATTCATAATTATACGATAAAATAGGATCTGATTAGACATCGTTTGGCTGTTCCTTTAGTACACTCACTGAATTAAAGTTCACATGGATCCATGCTCTTGTATCGGATAACCCCACGGTATGATGAGTGAATTATGATAATAGAGTGTGACAAAGACCTTGTGGAAATGACTCTTTGTCTGCTCTGGTTTCAAAGTCAAAATAATGTCATTCACACATCTGCATACACTTACAGTATTGTATTATACATATAACTGTTAGATATAGGCTCTTTATCAGTGACAAACCATAAAATAGTGCTAATACTTGTCCAGGTAATTAGTTGATAAGGAAATGATTAACATGTGATTGAAGTTATATGACTGGATATTAAATATACAAGCAAGAACTCCGTATACATGTATATAGTAATTTATCATATCTATATGTCTGATTTATTTTATACATTAGTAATAAGTTATTAATTTGAAGAGCTGAGCATTCATGAATGAAAAATGAAAATGAACCTTTATTTTATGGTGTTCATAAGTTCACCAATTTACATAAGTTCTGTAGAGTTTTAGTAAGAAGTCCTAAGGGAAGAGATGTTGTTGTGTTGGAGGAAAGCCTAGGGAGAAAACCTATAAGTCAGTGGTGGACAAACAACCAACTCCACCGACATCATCACCCAACTGCATCTTGAACCCATGTAGAATGGGAACATAGTGTAGAGCCCAAGAGGGATTGCACACATCTACAGTTCTACTGTCAGCTTATTAGTGATCACGGCTTTCTAGGCACCTATGTTCAGCGTATAAGGATGAAATTTATATTTAAATAAGCTTCAAAAAATCAGTTTTTATAATTCAGTTTCACATAAACACAAGCCATTCCTAAGCAATAAATCCCGCTAACAAGCGACTTTATCTATTTTAGTTGTCTTGTCTTTACATATGATGTTGATGACGCAAGGCAGAAAAGGCATTTTTGATTAATGTAGAGACAGTAGTATGTATTTATGATGTTAGAATATACGTTACATGCATTGTAAGCACTGATGTTTGTCGTTGAGAGGATACTCAGCAACGGGAGGAGTTTCGGAGATGGAAAACCTATAACAAACTAACTAAATATATTGTTACACGTCTATTGTGTGTTGTTTCTATGAATGGCCTTTGTTAAGTAATGATATTCATACCTGATATGGTAGTAATTTATTACATACAGAATACATACATATGCATATACTTAATGTTATATATTAGACATGTAGGTACATTTCTTATTTCTGTCATGTATAATATATATTTACCTAGCAGTATAATAAGCCCATGTGTGATAATATTAACCTACCCTTATGGCAATTCTATGGAATCACTAACAAATGATACTTTATTGTCCTGTAACAAGCCAGCCCCCTTATTTTAAAATTCTGAAATGGCCCAGTGTGCTTATTATTACAAATACATTTATGTAGATGCAATCTTGATCTGTGACATGACTCACTTTTCAATATGAGTTCATAACTATAAAGCCTTATAAATGTCTTTCATGATACTTAAATTGGCGAGATTGAAAATGAAATTAACTTAGCAATACATTAGTTGATAAATATGATATAATAAGCAGTTGCTGAAGCTGAGAATTTTAAATATATTGAAAATATAGTCATGATTTGCATCCATTAAAAAATCATATTGAAAATTCATGAAGTTTATCATATGAATATTGGATAAATGCACCTTCAAATTTATAATATAACACTTATTTTGGCTGATATTGATTTTGTTACTCGCCTTCTAGATTTACATTCTTTAGGCCCTTGTCATTACCAGAAAGTTGTAGAGGAAACAGCTGTATGATACAGTTTGCTTCATTATTTGACATAATTATAGTAGTGTATGTAGTACGAAATTTGTGTTATTCATTTTGTCTTGTGGGTCTTCTGTACAATCCTGGAATGATAATGATATTTAAAACAACAATAATGTATAAATGACTTCACAAGTCACTGACCTGTCACAGTATAATGTGGTTGTGTTATGGGATTAAATTTGCTCTTAATTCACTGTTGTTGTTTATATTTCAGGAAGATGACATTGAAACGCCATATGGAAATCTGCATGTTGCCATACAGGGTGACCGATCTAAAATGGCAATTATCACTTTACACGACATTGGTCTGAATCGTAAGTGGTTGTTCTTCATTGTCTTCACTCCTCTTGTGTTTTCACTATTCCAATGTCTTCACTCTTTCTGTGTTTTCACTCCCCTGTGTTTTCACTCTTCCTGTGTCTTCACTCTTCCAATGTCTTCACTCTTCCTGTATTTTCACTCCCCCTGTGTTTTCACTCTTCCTGTGTCTTCACTCTCCCTGTGTCTTTACTCTTCTAGTCTACATTCTTCTTGTATCTTCACTCTCCCTGTGTCTTCACACTTCCTAGTCTCCACTCTTCCTTGTCTCCACTCTCCCTGTGTCTTCACTCTCCCTGTGTCTTCACACTTCCTTGTCTCCACTCTTCCTTGTCTCCACTCTTCCTGTGTCTTCACTGTCTTCACTCTTATTGGTCTTCACTTTGTCTTCACTCTCCCTGTGTCTCCACTCTTCCTTGTCTCCACTCTTCCTGTGTCGTCACTCTTCCTGTGTCTTCACTCTTCCTGTGTCTCCACTCTTCCAATGTTTTCACTGTATCTCCACTCTTCCTGTGTCTTCACTCTTCCTGTGTCTTCACTGTGTCTTCACTCTTCCTGTGTCTTCACTGTATCATCACTCTTCCTGTGTCTTCACTGTGTCTTCACTCTTCCTGTGTCTTCACTCTCCCTGTGTCTTCACTCTTCTTGTGTCTTCACTCTTCCTGTGTCTTCACTCTTCCTGTGTCTTCACTCTTCTTGTGTTTTCACTCTTCCTGTGTCTTCACCCTTCCTGTGTCTTCACTCTTCTTGTGTCTTCACTCTCCCTGTGTCTTCACTCTTCCTGTGTCTTCACTCTTCCTGTGTCTTCACTGTGTCTTCACTGTATCTTCACTCTTCCTATGTCTTCACTCTTCTTGTGTCTTCACTCTTCCTGTGTCTTCACTGTGTCTTCACTCTTCCTGTGTCTTCACTGTGTCTTCATTCTTCCTGTATCTTCACTGTGTTTTCACTCTTTTTGTGGTTTTAGCTGTATGTAAATTGACCTTTTTCACATATTCCTGTTCGTGAGTTATATAGGAACTATATTAATCCTCACTGATTTCGTTTCACAAAGTGAAGTAATTATGTATTCTTAGAAAAGAAATATATATTAATGCATAACTTTAAAGAAGGCATGCTGTTGATTTGTGTTATGTTCATAAGCAGACTACAGTGATATCAAAGTCAATGTGGAACTTGTTTTAACTTATACTTGTCGGTTTAATTAACATCAAATATAGATTCTTCGTAATTACACTTTATAATTGTGACCATATTTCATCTAAATCTCTTTATTTTGGTGATGTGTTCTTCCAGATGTTACAAACTTCCAGGGGTTCTTCAGTTATCAAGACATGCAACCAATCCTGCGTCATTTCTGTGTGTATCACGTGAATGCTCCTGGCCAAGAGGAAAGTGCCCTGCACTTGAGACCTGAGTTAGTATCTGCTGGACTCATACATTTACACACAACACACCCATAATAAGCCTTTCCCCAACAACATATGTGATGTAGGCTTCTATATGTCAAAAGAAATATTAACTTTTATCAACAAAGGAAATCAAACCTTTAGCTGATATATGATTACTTGATGATTATTTTATTTGAAAAATTTCGTTTTTGTCAGCAACACTTGTAAATAAAACTGATTTCAAAAACATCAGACAAATCTCAAGCAGCATCAGAATTATTCTGAATTTTAAATATGAAGATTTGTTTTAGTAACAGCTACATCAGATGAAATGAGGATTTTGAGAGCATATTGTCTTTTGGTGTCGCAGAATTTTGACGTCATGTTTTAAGGGGTCCTTTTGAGCAATTTGGACCTATTTACTGGAAAAACAGTATACATAGATATTAATTTGCAAAATGCTACCACCCTCCTCCCCTTCACTGTGTGCATGCATATGTTGAGGTATAACAGGGATGGAAGCAGATGAGTTGCTTGCTCACATTGCCTCTGCAAGCAGCTGTACACAGCCAAATGTCCTTTAGGTGAAATTATCATGAAAACAGATGCATCACAACTTCAAGTTACAGTTTCTGTCTTATTTATAAAAAACATTTTAAACAATTTCATTTCTATCTGGATGAAAACTGACAATGACAGTGTTTTGATATCAAACATTTGTCTGTGTACTCGCTATACTTCAGTGTATAGATGTGTATTGGATCATTTGACTAATGCCTGTTTGATTGTTGGATGGTCACAGGTAAATACTTGTAAATACATGTAGCTGCATAACATAAGATAGTCTGAAGTAAAGGAATATTATTTGCGATTCCTGACTGCATGTTTCTATAGTCAAAAAGTAGCAGAGGTTATAAGCATTGGAAATTTTATTTCTGGAATGTTGAATGGTTGAAAATATGATTTTTTTCTCTAGTTTAAAGGTAAAGAGTATGTTTCGATGATTAACTAGCCAAGATTTGGTAGTGGCAGGAATTGGGCATAACGAAACGTTTGTCAACAGAAATGATTTGTGAATGTAGATGAAAAATTTGCATATTTGAAGCGAAATTTACAGAAAATTTGCATGAATTATTAAGTTATCATATTCTGTTACTATGTTGACTCACACCAGCTTCTAGCATTTAACTTTATTTGAAAGCTGTACTCATATTTTTTGTCTATTCCTCCAGAAATAAACTTTCATTCTGGACATAAAACTTAATGTTTACAGCTGGTATGTTAGAGGTTAGATGTGTGTCAACATTGCATGAGATTGAGGTATAACATCCTGGTGTATCTGAAATATTAATTAGCCACTGCATTCCTATTATTTTGTTGTTTTCATTTTACGTCTGATAATGCAATGAAACTGTGGAAAAACTACCATGTATGCTTATGAATTGTTTTGTCGCTATTTAGGCATGATGCCCTAGGTAATCCTGACTCACTTGGTAAAAGGTATGTAACAGTGTGATTAGTATAGGTACCTAACTCATCCTGCTTGTCTCCTTTCCTTTACCACTAGTGTACAATTTACAGTTCTAATATGTGGCTTTTATTTTCAGCTAAAGTTCTTCCCTGTCTTTCTGACTTGTCATTTCAGCTTAAATTAGTAACAAACAAAAACAAAACAAAATGGATAATGTACCTGTAGTTTATGTTTTCATGGAAGAATAATAGGATTTTTCACTAGCTTGAGGGTAGGACAGAGAAATCTCTACCCAAGGACAAGATTCACGACTGTTTAACCAGGGGCTTTGCAAGGGTTAGCCTGTCGTAAATTTTCTCTGTCCTGCCCTCACACCAGGGATTGATCCTTTTTATACCCCTTATCTCTAACATACTAGAAATACAATAATGTAATCTTATATTAGTGAATTAGGGCTGAAAGTACTGTGTGAAAATATTATTGTATCAATTCAAATTTGTCTTGTTTATGTAAGATTTATTACAGATGCACATATTTAGTATTACCTTAATTTGCCAAAAGGTGATGATGAGCTAAATACTTCATTGTGCCAAATTAAGTACATCTACATTGTCTAGTTATTGTACTATATAGTTGTTGTGTTTCATGGTTCTGATATTCTGCAATTGTCCCCTGTTGGAACTGGTCTACAGGGATATAGTTTCACATATAAATGCTATTCAGGTAGTATCACTGACAAATATATAGTAAGTTTGTGTATTAAATAGAAATCGCACAGCCTGTATTTTCCCTTGACCAAATAGTAAGTAAAACAATATACTGTATAGTTACAGTGATAAGGATAATGTTTTAACTATATTCCTGAAACAAACTGCAGAAGGAGAAATATCACACCCATCCATCCACACATCGATCCAAGTCATTTCTGTGTTTGTCTTGCTCTCATTTTAGAACTACCACTATTACTTGGAGAAAGTCACTTATTGGAGTATTAGGAGACTTGATAGAACTTGTACGTCAGTCCTTCATCATGATGGATGAACCAATTCATTTTCTATCATGGGTTTTAACCAAAGTCATTTTCAGTAATATAAAAAAATCAGTGTTATTTATAGTTTATTGACATGATTAAGAGAAAACCATGTCAAGGAGCAAGCAAGAACAAAGGCAATGCAGTACTGATGATGACTTCATACTTTTATTATGAGTTCAATCCATTACTAAATGGATGGTGTGGCGCATTTGGATATAAATTTGTCTGATTTATCAAGGAAAAGTTTTATTTCTCATAGAGAAAGTTATAAGAGTTTTGTTTAAAGAAAGGCTATACTGTTCTATAAGATAAATGTGGTTCTATTGTTTAGCTACAAAGGCTTAAATATTTGTTCTGTAGATTAGATGTGTGTTGAATATCTTTTTGTAGATAAATGTGTATTGAATTTTTATTTATCGTTGGGTGGGGATATTCAAATGGGTTCTGTCCTTCCATCCATCTTTCCGTCCATCCTACCGTCCATCTGGATTATGCTTTCTGCATGATATGTTTTGAAGGACTGGTCATATTTCAATGAAACTTGGTTGGTGCACTTGTTACCTTAATCTTTTGCCAAAGTTTGATTAATGGTGAATTCTGTGCATATTTAATGAGGCTAGTGTGAACTGATTGGCTGATTTCTTCACTTGCTCTCGGATGCTTATTGTTAATGCATGCATGTGAATTTTTATGTATCAGATGAATGGATAATTGTGTTATTTTACAGAAATTTAGTTAAATGATTCTTAATTTTTAAAAAGGATGTGCAGATTAAGATGAGTGCTGATAAAGGGAGATAACTTCAGAGGTTGAATGATAAGAGAATTCAAGTTACAAAATTACATAATTTAACTTTAAGATTTGAATAATTTTGACAATTATCAGAGTGCTCTTTTCATATTTATATATACATAAAAACAATAAAAATGTTGGTCAAAGAATCATTTATCTGAATTTTTTAAGACATGATGGCCAAAGCCATCACTTCCTTTTCTTTTTCCTTTTTTTCTTTCACTCTGACACTGTCATTTTTCTCTTGACTTTTTATGTTAATGTTTACATATATAGTATGTTGGGTATAAAATATCCACATTATCAAATTTCTTCAGTGATCACTAAGGTAACATATTTCATGGGTTTTGTAGTGAACATATTGAAGTAGTTTCAATTTACCTTTAACTGAAAGGTTTTTCAATTTATTGAGTAAACTCCATTGTTTCTTTTTTTTAAACATATAACCTAGCTGTAATCATGAAAACATTCAATTAGTCTTCTCTTGGTTTTCATCATCTGCGCAAATGTATCTAATCCTAGAAAACTTTGTAGTTTGATATTCAAATCTGGCACAATGATAAATATCTGTAGATTGTTTAAATAATTTTGTATGTGAAACTATATGTGATAAGCAATGATTTTGTATCCTAGGTTTGTGTATCCTTCCATGGATGAGTTGGCCCATGCCATCCAGAATGTTGTGGACAACTATGGGTATGTTAAAAGTCTTTTGTAAATGATCTTTAATGGGAGCACATTTTGTTTACAAAGGACTATAGTTGCACACTTCACCATTAGTAAAATTAATTGTGACTCCTTGGTTATTTGCTATGTTGGTGAGTGTTTGATATCAAGACAAAATTTTGGCCTAAGAATTGATGTGTCATTCCATTATGGGTGAAGTCTTTCTGGATAAAAGCTCTCAGATGAAGGTCAAATTACTGATATGTTTGCAGGTTATACTTTTAAAGTTTAGATATATGTTGGTATATACCTACCAGGAATTAGATTTTATTCAGAAACATAAGACACTGGTATACATACAACTTAAAATGAAGTATTGATTTAACCTCTCAGCCATCAGATGAAGTCAACACAATGTTCCACATACAGTTTCTGTTCATATAGTTCTACTGAAAGTGAATACCACAGGTTACACAGAGAAAATTCATGTAGTTTACTCCAGGTACTGACGATAATTCAAATCTTCATGGTTAATTTGCAATTTGTGTGAAACTGTTCATTACATTTAAAAATACAAAAATACTAATTCAATGTTGGAAGTGAATACATGTAAAAAAATTTGTTTTCAGTCTGGCAAGATTCATCGGATTTGGGATGGGAACAGGAAGCAATATTCTTGCTAGATATGCTGTAAGTTAAAGTATTTAGTCTAACAACAATGTTTTATCATCTACAAGTATATATATTTAGAAACTTGAATAAGGTCCTTTCCCTAGGACTTTTTCCAATGGATGAAAGTGTGGTTACTGAAATTATACTTGGCAAGAATTCTTTGTATCCTGGTAGCTTTGTGTCTTCTAATAGCTTGAAAATAACATTTATCTAAGAAACCCTGCAGTGAAAGGCCATAAATAGTGATCAGTGTCTGTAAGTGTGATGCTGCCATCCCCTTATAGAATCCAGATCCTTCAATCAATTTGTTATGTTACTAGTTACTGCTTATCTTTTACAGCTGCGTCATCCAGAAACTGTAGACTCACTGGTGCTGATCAACCCTACATCAGGGAAGTCTGGCTGGGTCGAGTGGGGTTACCAGAAGGTAAATATTCCACTGAAAATTTTCTTTAATCAGATATTGGTTAGGAGTAACCAAAAAAAACTCCATATAGAGCCCACCCCCCCTCCCCCCCACCCCCAACCTGCAAAAAAAAAAAAAAAAAAAAATTGAAAATTGGAATAATTTGATAAAACTCTAAACACTTTCATGTAAAATATGAACTAAGTGTTTGAAATATGGGGACTCCATTAAAAATTTGAAAATTGGGTTTAACCTTTATGTACTTATATTGATATAATGAAACAGATACAAAACAAACGTATGTTCAACTTGGAGTGGAGGATTTTTGTGTAATCATGCTTCGTAAGGCGGACATCTTAGATTTTGACTTTGAAAGATTGTTATCACAATTTCTTGAGTATGGAGTACAGTGTAGATCCTTCTCAAATTTCATGTAAAGGTTCCTTTAGGTCTGAAGTTGTGCCAGTTTGAGCTTGGGACTGACTAGAAAAACAGTATGGCTGACAGGCAGCCATCTTGTATTTTGCGTAATGAAGATTGTTATTGCTGTTTCTTAAGAAGCACTGAATGGATATCTCTCAAATTTCATACATATTTTCTCATTGGTCGCTCCTTGTGCTCGTTTGATTTCGGAACTGATTAGAAGAAACAAAATGGCTTACAGGTGGCCATTTTGGATTTGGCAGGTAAAGAGTATCGTCGCTAATTCTGCAAAGGAATGTTCAAATGTCTTATCATTCAGAGCAAAAACATAGAAGAGGAGAGAAAAGGTCCAACTTTCAAAGAGCATATAAAGATCAAACAATGGTTGATGCCAGATCCATCTGGGATCTCTTGTTTATTAGAAGTAATTTTTGTAGGATTTTTTCGGATGAGACTTTAACACCATTTCCAAACTTGTGATGAGTTCCAACACTAAGAGATATAGTAGCTTTAAACATATGTAGGTTCTGAAAATTTGAGAGTCCCACAGGAAAAACTTCAGTCCCAAAAATCCCTGGTTAAATGTTAATATGTTGTGTTTCAGATGAACTCCTGGTACCTGTGGAGTGGCCAGATGACCAACTTTACAGAGGAATATCTCCTATGGCACTGGTTTGGTTCAGTATGTAAATTCAATCCTTAAAGTAAATGTTTTTTTCCTTGAAAAAAAATGATGGTTGGGTATATTAAAATGAGTTATAAAAAGCAGTAATGAAGCTTTTTGACTAGTTTTATACACTGGTCAAGTGAACAATAGGACAGTAAAACTACACTAGGACCAGAAAGGTGATAGAGTATGATGATACTTATTTAGTTAGAAAATTAAATGTAGATGATGACTTAACCTGATACTCTTTGTAGGGTTATTCATTTTGTTCTGTTATTGATTACACCTCAATAGAGAATGTCAAATAGGTTTTCCAGCAGATCATAGGGATAAGGGTGTCTGAAATTCTAAAAGGTCAAATAGTTGAAGAGGAGTATATCTTCATTTCAGTTGACATTAACATATTTGCCAAAATATTTCTATGAATAAATTTATTGATTAGAGTCTCATATACAGAGAAATTGGGGAAAGGAAATTACTAATATATACATAATAGATATGAACTGTAATGTTTTCTAATATGAAGTAAGTACTGATAAGATATATGTGCCAAGGTTGATATATTATACTTTAGCATCTGTTGAATTTTTGGACAAATCATTCACATTGAAAAGGCCCTGATAGCCCAGTCGGTAGAGCCTTAAAGTTTGTAACTTCAGGTGAAGATCTTAGGTGTTAGATTCTAATGCTGCCAACCATGTGTGTTAGTGTTTCTGCAGAAGCTGAGAAACGGACAAGACTGGGCTGTCATGAATGTGACCTTGGGCGAGAAACCTTTACTCTTATTGCCCAGGATGACATGAAACAGATCACACATATGTTGTTCAGTTAGGTAGTCATCTGCTGCTAGAAGGGGATTCCACCTGAAAAATGGCTCTTACTATTCATGGGCAATAAACCAAACAAACAATTGCATTGATAAAACATAACATGATCTTGTGTTTCAGAAAACCCGATGGACAAATACTGATTTGGTACAGGTATTCAGAGAGTACATCAAGACCATCAACCCACAGAACTTGTCACTCATTATTGAGTCCTATCTCAAGTATGTTGCATTATTTTACATTGATATTAGTAAAAATTGCCTCCTTCTTAAATCAGTCGGGCTCTGAAAATGAAAATATAAGCCCTGATTAACATTTTCACGTTTGATAAAAAGATAGCGGGTGGTTGATATTCATTGTGGTCAGCATGGTATGGAGTTTTATGCACAAATTTAAGATGGTGCAAACCACTCCTGTGAAATTACAACACTGTTGTTCATGGATATTAGGCCTAGTAAAATGGTGCATTTCTATCTAGGCAAGTGGACTGAGCTCTAACAAGAGACCCTGATTAAATTAAAAGAGCGTGTAGGATACCTCAGTCTATATCACACATTGAAACATTTCCTTGCAGTCAGTATTAAAACTAACTTAATCTTCAAATTTCTTGTTCAATATTGCTGTTGTATTTCTTTGAAGCTAATTATAATATTAAATTAATCATCTCTAAGTTATAAAAAATGGCCAAATACACCCGTTTATTTAGCAGTCCAGTGCCATGGATTTATCAAGTACAGTTGGCATTGACTTGATGAAGAAGTGTTTTAGCTGATACGAGTGATAAACTCAGCTTCTCAGGGATTCCACTTTATGACAGCCTTCATTGCTTTTCATTTAATTGAAGGGAGATAACCCATTACTTCTTCCACCATGTAGGTTACACAACACCAATCCATGGTCATGTGCCCACAGATAATGTCACTGTGTGGTTTACCACCTGAAGTGCTATATTTTTCTGCATATTTAAACAATTTCATATTCAATATGTTAGGAATTAAGAGGGGTCAGTATAGGGCATTTTACAATACTAAAATAATGAGGATTGGTTTTGTACATTGCTTATTCATTCAGTATCAAATCATGATTGGTTTTAAGAGGGAGCAAATCCCAGAAATCAGATCACTGGATCAAGATTTAAAGACATATTACACAAGGAATTGCATATGCATGCCATTTGGAAGCCATTGGAGAAAGTCCATCATTAATGATCATTTGTCAGACATGCACATAGAAGGTGAATCTTTGCCAAAGTATCCTTAATCTAGAATAGTGTCTTCAGAGTTCATTCCACTACAGGCAATGAAAATTTACACCAATAAAAATTTTACTTTGTGCAGGAAATTTTAACATTCACATTTTACCTTTTTTGTCAGGTCTTGTTACCATCCGGGATTCTTTGTTGATATGTAAAAGTCTTCTCAGCTTATGAAATGCCCTATCTATAAACATACTATTACAGTAACATGATATAATGTATGTAATAGGGGAGTCACTAAAATTATCATGACTACAAGGCCTGAAACAATCACACATTAACTCATTTTATTTTGATGTGATATGCACTAGGTAGAGGGGATTCCAAGGTTGGTAATAAGTGTAAAATTGAATATCTCACAGCTTCTCTACCATAACTAATTTGTACAATATTAAATCTGCTTGGTGGTGAATGAGGTTTCAAGAAGACTTCTTCATGACATGTCTCCTTGTGTAAGTCCAACTTGATTCATATGTGAGCAAGTTGATTGGAGGAGGATCGTTATACATATCGTATTTAAAACGTAGTGTGTGTTATTTTTTCCAGACGAACAGATCTTGGCATTGTAAGAGAACTTGACCAGATGAAGAGATCAGGGACTAACACCATCAAGTAAGGAATTGATCAGGGTTTTTTTATTCTCAGAGTTATTTAAAAAAGTTTTGTGTTCTGTAGCTATATATTTATATGACTTATTGTATTCAACACTAGAACATACTTATTTGTATAATATTGCATTTTCCAGAGAAAGTCTGATAACTGGTATATCATCATAATGCAGCTAACTATACAGATAGCATAAAACATATAAACAGAATTTTTTTGTAATGGAAATTTCTTACAGATGCAGGACCATGTTGTTGGTGGGAGATGATTCTCCTCACATAGATGATGTCATTGGTATGAACAGTAGGATGGATCCACAGGAAACTGACTTTTTCAAAGTGAGTCAATGAGAGGTTATGTAGGATGAGATGCAACATTATTCAATCAAATAAGAAAGAAAATCTTCAGTGGCAAAAACAATTCAGAGTTAAGATCGCCAACAGAATTCAGTAGAAGTGGAATATGTGTATTCCCATTTGGAAGCAGAGAGGTGCATTTCAGTAAGGAAAATGGAAATAGGGTCAAAACATTTTTATTTCTTTTCTATTTATTTTTTAGCTTTGATAGCATGCTATGTCTTTGAGTGAAGGACATTTCATGAGCGTAGATATACAAGCCCTCATGGGGCTGAAGAATTAGGACTTTTTCATCTTAAGCCTTGATTTGCAGGCAATTTGTCTTGGAGATGAATGAAGTTAGATTTTTGGTCACTGATCAAACAATTTTCTTAAAATCTTAAAAGTCAAATAATTTGCAGTGTTGACTCTTTCATGGATATTTTGTGTTCCCTATCTGAAAGGATGTTTTGTTTGTTAACAGATCGCTGACTGTGGAGGAATGCCTCTAGAGGAACAGCCTGGCAAAGTGTGTGAGGCCTTCCGCCTTTTCCTTCAGGGCATGGGATATGGTAAGATAGACCTATGGTCTTTATCTGCCTTGTTAGCATTTTACATAATACTAAGCATACAGAATGTATCCGAAGTAGTCAGTAGTAGTGGGTCTGTGTGTATTAATATAAATATGTATTGTTGCTATTCAATATAAATTCTTTTAAAACATGCACAATATTATTGGTATAGATACACTAGTTTAATTGTGTAATTTATTTTCAACATATATTTGTGCAACATTTACAGATATTTAATGTATCATCCTGTATACTTTATTTGTGTTATATATATTGATATTCCAGTACAGATTTGAACCCTTAATTATAGATGATTAACTTGTATTATGTAATACGATAGAGGATAATGATATCCTGGCAAATCAGAAACATAGAATATCTTATACCCTAGATATTGAGATTTGCTACAATACTTATCTGTAAAAATCTTTAACAACCAATAATTATGATAGAATTAAAACATTTCTGTAAATGTCAAAATACGAAGATATCTCTGTTAATGTGGTTATTGATAATTGTGCCTAATTATGTTCAGAAATATAGTGACACATTACATCTGTATAATACCTACCAATGTATACAGAAGATTGTTTTATAGATTCCATCCACTTACATATTGTATGTTTATAAATAAATGTAGATATTGATCTGTCATTAGTTACAGCTGAAAGATGTTAAGGAAGCATAAAAGTTTTTACACAAAAAATACACAGTTACGAAGGATTCTATTTTTCATTCTTTTTGTTCTGTTTATACCAAGACCCTCTCTCATCATCAGAAAAGTTTTCCTTTGAACTCCAGATCTATTTATTTCTTCTTTATCTGGTACATTCTCTCCTTTAACTGTTTCTTCTATCCTCTTTAAGTTCCCATGAATGGCATTTTGTAAGTACATGAAAGAGTCATTGCATGCTGTATTGTAGTTTGAGTATTTTAGATGACATTTTCTAAGTTTGCAAAAGATTTATTTGACGTGATATCCAGCAATTTTTTCCCTGCAAAATCTTATAAGTTTTTCACATTTTGCTGTATAGATGTACTTATTTAATCTTGGAAGTGTTTTAATTTGCTTGTTACATTTTTTAAAGTGATTTTTATTACATAATATTTGTAAACGATAGTAATTGTTATCTAGTTTGTGACACCCTTTCATTTGTATGTTTCAAATAATTGTTCTTTTAATATGAATGGATTTCTTAAGTAACCTAGAAAAAACAGTTGACAAAAGATTTTGGACAGAGGACAGATATTGATATTACAATAATCAGCAATGAACCAATTGAAGTGCTGTCTAGGTTTAAAACAAAATTTGCCAACAGTTTGTTTATAAGATAGATATTGAACAGAAATGATAATTTTTAGCAGTACAATAAACTGCAATTAGCATATTAGCAGTAAAATAAATTGCAGTTAGCATATTAGCAGAAAAATAAACTGCAGTAAGCATATTAGCAGAAAAATAAACTGCAGTTAGCGTATTAGCAGAAAAATAAACTGCAATTAGCACATTAGCAGAAAAATAAACTGCAATTAGCATATTAGCAGAAAAATAAACTGCAGTTAGCGTATTAGCAGAAAAATAAACTGCAGTAAGCATATTAGCAGAAAACTAAACTGCAGTTAGCACATAAGCAGAAAAATAAACTGCAGTTAGCATATTAGCAGAAAAATAAACTGCAGTTAGCACATAAGCAGAAAAATAAACTGCAGTTAGCATATTAGCAGACAAATAAACTGCAGTAAGCGTATTAGCAGAAAAATAAACTGCAGTTAGCACATTAGCAGAAAAATAAACTGCAGTTAGCATATTAGCAGACAAATAAACTGCAGTAAGCATATTAGCAGAAAAATAAACTGCAGTTAGCACATTAGCAGAAAAATAAACTGCAGTTAGCATATTAGCAGAAAAATAAACTGCTATTGCTATCATGCAACTTTCGTTGTTGTGCGCTGTCAACCGTCTGTAAACTTCCTTTAAAACACTACTCTTGCTTAACCAAATTTGGTCTGAACAATCATTTGAGATGAGAATACAGAGAGTTGATTCAGCCCTTAGGGACCTGGGGACGGAGTTCCAAAACGGGAAGTAAGACAATATTTGCTTCAAAATGCTACTGTTCCTTAATGCTTGAATGGATTTTTAATTTAGATTTTGTCTGAAACATCAATAGAGGTGGGGAATTAATTCTTAATCCAGAAGGTTGATTTGACCCTAGGGACTAGGGATAGGGTTGCAGAAGTGGAAGTTAGACAATATTTTGCTTTAAAACACCATTTCTTCTTAATCCTGGGTAGATTTCAATCAAATTTGAGATGAAACATTATTGCAGGTTGGTTTTCATTTCTTGAATTCAGAGAGTTTATTTGACCACTAGGGACCTGGAATTCATCAGATTTTTCAGACCACCATCTGCAAAGTCTATGGCTTGTCCATTCATTGATTATCAGATGACTGTTAAGGGCCATGACCCTCTTGTTAAGTTGATGCACTGAAACACTGTTTTTGCTGTAAGCTGTTGATGGAACAAATACAACTTGACTTTATTAGAATAATTTGATACATATCTTAGCTACACATGTAACTCTTTTAGATGTTCCTTTTATTTTCTGAAAGTTTGAAAGTCTAGTTTTAAACATTTCCATTATTTTTGCTTGCATTGATACAAAAATGAAACACTTTACAGAAATCAATTAATTTTTTTTTTATATAACACAGAAAGTAATTAGAAAATACACACATACTTGACCGACCACATTATTGTACTTTAGTTTTAACATGTTCAACACAATATTGTCTTACACTGTTATATGACAGTATATCTAAATATATTCTAGATGTGGGTGAAAGTAGAGAAAAGGATTTTAAGATATAGCAAAAATGCAGGACTTCATGGGAGAAAACTCCAGACATAAAACATATGTTTTCATACTTGACACATTTTCAAAGACTTTGTTACTTCAAATAAAATTTAACATTACAAGTTGCTGAATTCAATGACTTGAAATTTCTGCCTTCTTTCTTGTTTCAGTCCCGTCACTAAACCGGTTGCCCAGTCAAAACCACGTCGCCAACAATAACCCTAAGAAGCTGGTTAATACAACAGACTTCACAAATGTCACACCTGTCTGTTGACCTTTTGTACTTAACACTGACAATTCATAAGCCTTGTTACTTAGAGACCAAGCCAGAAAAGAGGAGAGATGCACCTGATTACAACCATGTCTTTTCAATTCAAGTGAAGTTTACATGTTTATATAGAGACACCTTGCTAATTCTGAAATTTTTGTCTGTCTTTATCAGATAGTTCTGATTATGAAATGAAACAAAAGACAATCCTTTTGTTCTATGAATTTAATATGTTTTTACTGCTTTACTACAAATGAAACAGATGGAAAGGTCTAAACTTTGCCTTTTGTTAGAAAACAACATTGTTACCAAAGTTTTATATTGTCTAGTTCTGTTAGTATTCACACAATAGATGGAAAGAGAAGATTGGATACATTATTGAAAATGCTAGAAGATAAAGAGAAAAGCTGCACTACATATTGTGTACAGTAAATATATGTAAAATACACATATTCACACCATCCTTTTATCATTGTAATCCATCTGTTAGACAGTGGTTGTATGTTGTAGGTTTTAATGACACATATTTGTGTTGCAATCGATAATAATAATAAGTCAAGACATGTTTTCAAATGTAAAAGGAAAAGAGAACCATTCCATGTGAGAAGAATGCAAAGATATTGTGATTTCTAGTGGAAATAATTTGCTTTTTCTTGGATTTGATTTGATTTTCTGTCAACATGGTATATGCAATACACATATTTTTACGGTACATCTGATTACATGTTTATACTTTAGTAAGATATTGCTTCTTAACAAAGCTCCGAAAGAATGAGGCATATGACAATTAAGATCATAATAACTCATTCATGACAAAAATAATCAGGGATAGTTTTCTTGGAAAGTGTCACCTGGATGTTCTGTCTTTATCTGGGTGGGGAGGGAAACAAAGACAACTTTTCTACATCATTTTTTGAAGATAGAACATGGATACATTGTCACATTATAAGATATGTCTTATCATTGGTCTGTTCACATTAAAATTTCACACTTGAATCGTTTGTTGATCTCGAGCAAGTGCTATGACAGTTACTGGTTCTCATTATCACTATCATTGCAAAGTTATGATAAACTTAGAAAATATCCCATTAAAAATGTAGAAAATATCCCATTAAAAAGGTAGAAAATATCCCATAAAAAGGTAGAAAATATCCCATTAAAAAGGTAAATGACAATTGTATTTGTTGGTTTAACAATTGAAATTCTTCATAAAGTGGAAACTTCTAAAATATCTGTATCATAAGTTACCATAATCTTCATGCAAGTAAAAATTGACTGGGATGTGTAATAATGATATGTATAATAGGAATGATTAAGGATTTGTTTCTGATTTTATTTAGATTGTTATCCATTTTTATATACAAACTACAAGATCATTGTGTTTGATATGATTATAAATGATGTAACTTATTAATTTCCAATGTAATTATTTATGACATATGTATTTCATTCATTCTTGTTGCTATTTCCTCGATTTATGTGGCATTAAGATATTTCCATAAAAATCTTGTAAATATTTGTTCTGTTACCAGAGTTGTTTGAATTCGTTAGTGATGTTTTGCTTATTGTGAATTGTTTGCAGATGAATTATATTAAGTGGAGTGTGAAGCTACGCATGTGTATGTGTGTGAAAGTGAACCTTGCATTCCTAAATACCTCCAACTTTGTATCCTACTCTGAGCTGTGTTCATGTTATTCAGGTAAATCATTTCGGTCAGATGTTATTTAAGATATCAGATAAAATGTTTTTCTTGACAAATTTAAAGAAGTAATACCTGTCCATTTCAGTAAATTTCTACTTAAAAACAAACTAGCTGACATCATAATTTGATATAAAAACATAGCTAGCCTGTTTAAGAAAGTTGGAATATCTAATTTACAAATGTGTAGTGAATATACCATTGATTCTGAATTCCAGGTGACAGTGTGTGTGTTTCATTTACTTAGATAATTCTTTGAAATATTTCTTAAAAATGATTGAATTCCTTGCATAATCTCAAAACACCATATCAGGTGGATCTGTAACTGCAATGTCTATACTCAAGAAAACTTGTATACCCAATATTTGCCCTAAAAATAAATAGAATCTTGCATGTTATTTGGACAATAGAGTCACAGCAGTGTCATTCACCTGTTCCATTTGCTTTGTTGGAGTTGTGTCTGTATTTGTTCTGTTTTGTAAATTTTAAAAGTTTTTGACAATAAAGTCGACCACTATGATTGATTGTGTTTTGTTAGTGTACACAGGGATAATGAGATCTATTTGTCTCTGGTGTAGAAAATATAGGTTTTACTGTCCACAGTCTTTTAAAAGACACCATATGACTGTAATGTCTATACCTTTCAAACCCTTCCTAGATTTCTTTAATACATTTGCTCTGATTATTATGTAAAAACAAGGTTTGTAGTGAAAATCCGAATCAGAACTCTTTCTTGCCCTGAGGATATTGTGATATAATGGTTGTATCAGAAATTTTGACATATTTTCTTCAGGTTGGTAATGTCAATAGAATAGAAGTTCTTATAACACAGTAGTATCAGATAAGTATAAGAGTGTGACGTTTCGATGACTACACGGTCACCTTCATCAGACAAATGACCAGTGTGGAGCGTACTAGCACTGATGTAGGTAGTGTAGGAGATATACACGGTCACCTTCATCAGACAAATGACCAGTGTTTAGGGTACTAGCACTGATGTAGGTAGTGTAGGAGATATACACGGTCACCTTCATCAGACAAATGACCAGTGTGGAGCGTACTAGCACTGATGTAGGTAGTGTTAGGGATATACACGGTCACCTTCATCAGACAAATGACCAGTGTGGAGCGTACTAGCACTGATGTAGGTAGTGTAGGAGATATACACGGTCACCTTCATCAGACAAATGACCAGTGTGGAGCGTACTAGCACTGATGTAGGTAGTGTAGGAGATATACACGGTCACCTTCATCAGACAAATGACCAGTGTGGAGCGTACTAGCACTGATGTAGGTAGTGTAGGAGATCTACACGGTCACCTTCATCAGACAAATGACCAGTGTGGAGCGTACTAGCACTGATGTAGGTAGTGTTGGAGATATACACGGTCACCTTCATCAGACAAATGACCAGTGTGGAGCGTACTAGCACTGATGTAGGTAGTGTTAGGGATATACACGGTCACCTTCATCAGACAAATGACCAGTGTGGAGCGTACTAGCACTGATGTAGGTAGTGTAGGAGATATACACGGTCACCTTCATCAGACAAATGACCAGTGTTTAGGGTACTAGCACTGACGTACGTAGCGTACCAGATCTACACGGTCACCTTCATCAGACAAATGACCAGTGTTTAGGGTACTAGCACTGATGTAGGTAGTGTAGGAGATCTACACGGTCACCTTCATCAGACAAATGACCAGTGTGGAGCGTACTAGCACTGATGTAGGTAGTGTTAGGGATATACACGGTCACCTTCATCAGACAAATGACCAGTGTGGAGCGTACTAGCACTGATGTAGGTAGTGTTAGGGATATACACGGTCACCTTCATCAGACAAATGACCAGTGTGGAGCGTACTAGCACTGATGTAGGTAGTGTAGGAGATCTACACGGTCACCTTCATCAGACAAATGACCAGTGTGGAGCGTACTAGCACTGATGTAGGTAGTGTTAGGGATATACACGGTCACCTTCATCAGACAAATGACCAGTGTGGAGCGTACTAGCACTGATGTAGGTAGTGTTGGAGATATACACGGTCACCTTCATCAGACAAATGACCAGTGTGGAGCGTACTAGCACTGATGTAGGTAGTGTAGGAGATATACACGGTCACCTTCATCAGACAAATGACCAGTGTTTAGGGTACTAGCACTGACGTACGTAGCGTACCAGATCTACACGGTCACCTTCATCAGACAAATGACCAGTGTTTAGGGTACTAGCACTGACGTACGTAGCGTACCAGATCTACACGGTCACCTTCATCAGACAAATGACCAGTGTTTAGGGTACTAGCACTGATGTAGGTAGTGTAGGAGATCTACACGGTCACCTTCATCAGACAAATGACCAGTGTGGAGGGCAGTAGCACTGATGTAGGTAGTGTAGGAGATCTACACGGTCACCTTCATCAGACAACTGACCACTGTGGAGCGTACTAGCACTGATGTAGGTAGTGTAGGAGATATACACGGTCACCTTCATCAGACAAATGACCAGTGTGGAGCGTACTAGCACTGATGTAGGTAGTGTAGGAGATCTACACGGTCACCTTCATCAGACAAATGACAAGTGTGGAGGGCAGTAGCACTGATGTAGGTAGTGTAGGAGATCTACACGGTCACTTTCCATCAGACAAATGACCAGTGTGGAGGGTACTAGCAACTTTTTCAGTTGTACAGGCTGTCCAGCGTCCCTAAAATTCCTAAAAATTCCTAATTTTTTTTCAGTTTTGCTAAAATTCCTAAAAAATGAAAATTTCAAAGGGAATTCCTAAAAAAAGCCCTAATTTTTCACTACAGTTCCTACTTTTTTATATTTCTTTCAATTTACTGAAAATGTTTTCATTAAATTCATACTTAAAATGTGTTTTAATGTAGTCTGTAGTTCTAATTCAGGGTAGACAATGAAAGGCAGTTGACCAGTGGATCTATGTACCCAGATTGTTATTGGTTGTGACTGAGTGACAGAGGTGTGATTCTTAAGGTCACAGCCAACGGCAGCTGGGACAATGAAACCCTGGAAGACACCTTTCCTGCAATTAAGGCGTTGTATGTTAATTTCTATTTTGTCAAATTTTCAAAAGTAAGTCAGTTTAATGCTTTCATACTCCCTATTCTAGGTACAAAATTCCTAAATTTGCCCTAAAATTAGCCCTAATTTTTTGTCAAGAAGTGCTGGACAGCCTGATTGTACTATAATCCTTACTACACTTAAGGTAGAATATAGTATGACCAGATAGTAAATAGATTATAGACCAAAAATACACAAGATGGTAACACTGTATAATAGTCAGATTGGCTACCCTTTGTTTGTTCGGTTGTATCAGAAGTTTCAGTGAAGGACATAGGATTCATACGAACCTTCAATGGACCTGAGAAACGAATGTGTTTCATGTTAAGACACCATTAATATAGCAAGTCATCAAAGACAATATTAGTTGGTTTTTGGTATTTCTCAATTTTAAAAGTCAATCGCCTGTATTTCTTCCAAGCTGAGAACTAGGAAAAAGTAACGTTATGAGCTTAGTGCAAATATCATTGAAACTTATCTCAGAATATTACCTCTTAGTTATTTATTTCAAATACTTTGTTTCGTCCTTCTAGGACTCGTCGGTGATGCTACATCATACAGCTGTTGCGTCCTTCTAGGACTCGTCAGTGATGCTGCATCAAACAGCTGTTTGTCCTTCTAGGACTCGTCGGTGATGCTACATAATACATTTGTTTCATCATTCTTGCACTCGTCAGTGATGCTGCATCATACAGCTGTTGCGTCCTTCTAGGACTCGTCAGTGATGCTGCATCGAACAGCTGTTTGTCCTTCTAGGACTCGTCGGTGATGCTACATCATACATTTGTTTCATCATTCTTGCACTCGTCAGTGATGCTGCATAATACAGCTGTTGCGTCCTTCTAGGACTCGTCAGTGATGCTGCGTCGTACAGCTGTTGCGTCCTTCTAGGACTCGTCAGTGATGGTGCATCATACAGCTGTTGCGTCCTTCTAGGACTCGTTAGTGATGCTGCATCATACAGCTGTTGCGTCCTTCTAGAACTCGTCAGTAATGCTGCATCATACAGCTGTTTCGTCCTTCTTGGACTCGTCAGTGATGCTACATCATACAGCTGTTTCGTTCTTTTAGGACTCGTCAGTGATGCTACATCATACATCTGTTTCGTCCTTCTAGGACTCGTCAGTGATGCAACATCATACAGCTGTATCGTCATTCTAGGACTCGTCAGTGATGCTATATCATTGATCTGTTTCGTCCTTCTAGGACTCGTCAGTGATGCTACATCATACAGCTGTATCGTCATTCTAGGACTCGTCAGTGATGCTATACCATTGATCTGTTTCATCATTCTTGCACTCGTCAGTGATGCCAAGAGCCTTGAATCCAAAGAGGCGAAAAAGTTAGAAAAAAAAAAAAAAACAAAACAAAACAAACAAAACAATAGGATATGCACTTACTGTCCCCTTGAGTAATTTTCGTATCTTCCGTATATCAGATGATTTTAGAACAACGTTAAATATTTATATACTGAACCGTGCCTCTATTCGAATGAATTAAAACGTGACGTGCATATTACGGGAAACCTTGGGTAGTTAAAATCCACCAGCAGTGTCTACTACCTGCAATCTCGAAGAATGTACGACATACAAGTGATTAAAACCTTTTAATACAAATTTAGTGGTGTTTTAGGGCCTAAATTTTAATGTTTTGGTGATAATACCTGTCATAAGTAATGCGTTATTCGGCAATAAATTACAGGTTACTTATCTGTCTGGGCTGATAATAACAAACACTGCCTATATATATGTTCTATTGCGTAAAAGAAGCAATTGTTTTTTATAAGAAACTATTAGGAAGATTTCTTGATAGCTACAAAGTACGGAAAAAGTGTTTCCAGTTTCATGACCGCCCATATATTTTTTACCGATCGTTTTGTTAACATTTTCACCCGAGGCTAATTATATAGAGCTTTCTATAGCAAACGTTCTCTCGACACCTGGGAAGATATCGGTCTCCAGACCATCAGCTGTGACTGGAACGTTCAGTTTTGTTATTATGATATACATTCATGTAGATCGACTCTGACACAATTAACTCGCCACTTCATCTTGATATCACCCGACGTCTCCTCGTTCAGCCGTATCAATATCTAATGTAGACAACATTCCGAGCTCTTTACGGTGGTATTTACATTGAATTGCTCTAGTTCACTTTCCTGATGGAAAAATGAACTTATCCAATGTTCGGCGCCCGTTTGGCGGACTTCATGGCCCAGGGTCATGCTATTTGGGTATTGCAGCTTTGCTCAAAATAATGAAATTAGCCTGCTGTAATGATTACAGGGGACAAACGCGATGAAACTTTAACAAACGTCGCTATAACAAAAAGGCGCAGAACTTCGCAATTTAATATGGATTGTACTGGGATGAACGGCTACAAAAGTTGTTCAACAGAATAACGTTGACATTTAAATTCACAGATGGGAAATGGCTTAAG